TAGTTGGCCACCAGGTTTCAACACATCTCAGGAGGGATTTTTTCCCACTCCTCTTTGCAGATCTTCTCCAAGTCATTAAGATTTCGAGGCAGACGTTTGGCAACTCGAACCTTCAGCTCCCTCCACATTTTCTATGGGATTAAGGTCTGGAGACTGGCTAGGCCACTCCAGGACCTTAATGTGCTTCTTATTGAGCCACTCTTTTGTTGCCTTGGCCGTGTGTTTTGGGTATTGTCATGCTGGAATACCCATCCACGACCCATTTTCAATGCCCTGGTTGAGGGAAGGAGGTTCTCACCCAAGATTTGACAGTACATGGCCCCGTCCATCGTCCCTTTGATGCGGTGAAGTTGTCCTGTCCCCTTATCAGAAAAACACCCCCAAAGCATAATGTTTCCACCTCCATGTTTGACGGTGGGGATGGTGTTCTTGGGGTCATAGGCAGCATTCCTCCCCCTCCAAACACGGCGAGTTGAGTTGATGCCAAAGAGCTCCATCTTGGTCTCGTCTGACCACAACACTTTCACCCAGTTGTCCTCTGAATAATTCAGATGTTCATTGGCAAGCTTCAGACGGGCATGTATATGTGCTTTCTTGAGCAGGGGGACCTTGCGGGCGCTGCAGGATTTCAGTCCTTCAGGGCGTCGTGTGTTACCAATTGTTTTATTGGTGACTCTGGTCCCAGCTGCCTTGAGATCATTGACAAGATCCTCCCGTGTAGTTCTGGGCTGATTCCTCACCGTTCTCATGATCATTGCAACTCCATGAGGTGAGATCTTACATGGAGCCCCAGGCCGAGGGAGATTGACAGATCTTTTGTGTTTCTTCCATTTGCGAATAATCGCACCAACTGTTGTCACCTTCTCACCAAGTTGCTTGGCAATGGTCATGTCGCCCATTCCAGCCTTGTGTAGATCTACAATCTTGTCCCTGACATCCTTGGAGAGCTCTTTGGTCTTGGCCATGGTGGAGAGTTTGGAATCTGATTGATTGATTCTGTGGACAGGTGTCTTTTATACAGGTAACAAGCTGAGCTTAGGAGCACTCCCTTTAAGAGTGTGCTCCTAATCTCAGCTCGTTACCTGTATAAAATGATGATCAAATACTTTTTTCCCTCACTGTAGCTGGTTGGTAAGGGTTGGTGGTGGGTGGGGACAGTATAAAAGAACAATATTTCTGCACTGCCCTCTACTACATAAAATGCAGACAACACCTGATTTCGGTCCTTGGTGGTCACCTGTACTTAGTGGTTACTATCCAGGCTCTATGCTGCTTAGCTTCCTAATTCTGATCAGAGCAGGCATGTTTCGAGTGATTTGGTCATAGGCACACACGCATTGCTTTACGTCGTTACGTAGGGCTACATGTCGATGAGGGTGCTCTTGCCAATAACGGTGGTGTGATGTTATCTTCTTTGCCTGGTATGCATGAGGTCGTTAGTTCCATCTCGACCCTGGCGCCTATGTATTTGGAGTTTGCATGTTCTTCCCGTGGTTACGTGGATTTTTTCCCTCCACATTTTGAAACATTTATTGAGATTATTTTGCTGCCAAATGATAAGACACAGCATCGAACTACCATTTGTGGCCAGGTCGATTCTGAAACATAAGTTAAGACCTCTGGGCTTTGCCTGATAGGATGGGATGGTTTAGTTTCATTTGTTTGTGTTTGTGTGATTTGTTTACATTTCTTGTACTTTGCACTCTTATCATGTTTTTGTATTGTTGTAACATTCTTACCCACCCCTACTGGATATTTGTGAAAAATAACTTCATATCTCATCGGATTCCTCCAGTATAAATAGATATTCTGATTCAGAGTAACATCTGGCAGCCGGTGGTATTTGTTTATTGAGCCTTGACTACTGATGAGACTCAAAATGTCAAAACCAGTTCAATTTGTTTGCTTTAAATGCTGTCGGATAACGTTGGTCTGGAAAGGTTTTAGGCTGATATATATTTTTTTGTGGAGAGCAATCTTGTGATTGGGATTTAATTAACTACCAAAGCACATGGGTGACAGCTAAACAAAAGAAGAGTTGTGTATGTCGCAGGACATTTGTTGCATCACAGGCTGTGAATTAAAAGTTTGTGGCCTGACATAGAATTAGTGGTGTTAGGACAGAGGGTGAATGTTAATTGAATATGTTCAGTTACTTGATTAATTTAATATTGTGCTCATTTTAATTGTCACTTTACTTAATGTTGAAATATTTTTTGTAATTTTTAAAGGAAATGGAAAGTCGTCTTGCTTGTGTTATCTGAATAATACTAAAGTCTAGATATCATCAGAGAATAGCTAGATAAGTGTGCAAAAACTGCATACCTCAACACTATACATGCACCAATTCACTCCTGCCAACGATTCAAATTCTGGATAGACTTTCGTTTCAAGGATTAAGTCTTTGTAAATTGTGCTATCTAATTTTGATTTAAATATTTTCATATCGAAGACAGACTAAGTTTGTAGACCATGTCCATGTTCTATTCTATTCTTGCTCATGATGGAAATATGGTTCAGGAGCTAAACACCAGTGTCGAGGTCTGCTAGCCACGAGTCGTTCAGGAGAGCGTTGGTGTAGTATTGCTATTCCTCCATTGAAGGGAGTGCAGACTACAGTGCTTTACCGTGTATGGCCCATAGTTTGGGCTGCACGCCTTGTCTTTTAATGTATCTCTATGTATCTCTATGAGTTTAGATGTATCTCTGTGTTTACGATATGGTCCATAGTTTGTATTGCATGGCTACAGTCGCACCACTGTGGCTTGTGTCTTTAATTGTCCATTTATGAAGCAGATGTGCGTGCGCTTCGGCCTGCTGTTGTTCTGATGCGGTTTATTGAAAGTCATCTTGCTTGTCACAGTTAGGAGGTACAAAGATTGGGTCTCATGAGGTGCCTATTCTGAATGTCTGCGTTGTTCCACTCTGTTCGCTGGCGTTCTTCCATGTTTATTTACGTACATCTTAAATGACCTATTATCACAATCGCAGAGTTACGGTGAACGTATTTTGTACCACCCTAGTAGAATGTCTCATAATTAAAAAAGTGAAGCAACCTCCAGATTCGGGACGTGATCACCCACAGCCAGAGGAAGACATCTGATAGCACCCCCTGCTGCAGTAAAAAGATGGCTCCAGACGGATGAAGAGAGATACAAACTATCTAAGGCATCCCAGCTTCTGCTCTTAGGCACGAATAGTGGACCGACCTCAGGCCCTAGTGCCATGTGAGCGAATAGCGAATCGCCCATTCCCCAGCAAGACATGGACCAAGATATGGAAATCCACTTTGCAATGGGGCCAGACCCTTCCCTCTGAGAACTATCCAATTCAAATTTGCACACGGAGCCGACATGACCAACCAGGGGACAGGGCTATGTTTGGTGCAGCCTCATCTCCGAGACTGCCTGAGGTGCCCCCCCCGTGTGTAGTCCACGATTACGAACATGCTTTCCCGTCATGTCCAACTGTAGCTTAGGTCTACGAACATATAATGATGAGATTTACAATACACCTGTAAAAATAAGTGTGGAAACTACACAGCAGGGTCTGATATAAGTGGGACTGACTCCAGAGCAGAACTTTTTGTTAAGGACTTTCAATATAGTGGCCAGGAAAACCATATTGAGTATGTGGAAGAATTACGTATCCCCCCTCCCCTTCCCATACTCAATGGCTGAATTAATTCAGCCCAATCTCAGCACTGCAGCATCCTGAGCTATAAGCTCGTAGACAAGGAAGAAGAATACACACGCACATGGGGTCCATTCCTAAATATTACACCAGTCTTAAATACCTTAGCCCAGAACGGCAATGACCCCCCCCCCCCCTACCTGCTCTGATGAGTCCGATGTGCCTGATACCTTCGATGCCTCTGGTGTAACACCGTCCAGAACTTCAGGATGTTGCAATGTATTAGGTGAGGGAAGATGTGGAATAAAACATTTTACATTTTGAAAAAGTTAAGCAACAAGTAACCAAGATGATAGGGTGCCTTACAAAACTAGTGGCGTGCAATTTGTGGGAGGTCGGAGAACAGAAGATTGGACAGGCCCTGACAAAGCCATGGAGGGATGACATTCATGCACGGGCTGAAAAACAATGTCTGCAGGGCGTGCAGGATTGATGGTGCAATGGTAGTGTGATACAGTTACGAGTCAACGGGGAAGAAACTGCATTCATGCGGTCCGTGTCTCTTCCCCAATATTGAATTGGCTTTAAGAATGAATCTGCTCAGGCGTCATAGGTGCTTATTCATTTTTGTACCAGGCAAGCCAACAGCATTTGTTAAATGGGCAACTGCTGTTGATGAGAGAAAATGAAACCAGGTCAGGTATTTGTTTGCTTAAGGAAGCAAATAACATTGCTGGAAAAAAATTTGTTTGGAAAGCCTTTTGGTTGGTGGATAACAATGTTATTTTGAACAATACAAATATTTCCCCTGTTTGTTTCAGCATTGTAAAAGGTAATATACAATATAGTTTGTCAATAGTGTGTATAAAGCATCTGGAATGCTGCTGTGGTGGCAGTGTGTGAGAGTGCACTGCGCTTGCAATCCAGAGGTCGCCAGCTCGGCTATTCAAATGTAGGACACGTTTCTTGAATTGCCCCCCCTCCACCTCTGTCCATGCAGCAATATAATTCGGTTCACCGCAGTTGTTCGACCAAACAAGTCGCGTGTGGTGGAGTAAAGTGCGGGAACTCCCTCTGTCCAGCATGAAAGAAGAGGCCAAATGACCCTCTTGAGCTCCCTCTAATTGGAGAGTTGCACTTTCGCTTCTGTTAAAACACATAATGCCAATACATTTCGATGCAATTATAAGTTGTGTTTGGTGCTTGTATTTAATAGTATATATGTTTTTTTTTTCTTCCAGCCAACTAGTTGCATATTAAAGAAGACTGAGAGGTTTTTTGAATAATCTGTCTGTATAAAAGCTGTTATTTTCCACGTGAGATGTTTCAGCCATCTCACTTTGTTTCGTTGTTTTTCTATTTTACAGCAATCCTTTAAAGATGATGACGGCAGTCAAATGACTCTGGCCTGGGTTGGCAACAAGTCCGGGGTAAGATGCATGTTTACCAATTGCCCATTTTTATCTCTACATAATCCAGTTGTTTGTAATCCAGTATAATATTATGGGTAAAATTAGCACATGGAGCTGAACTTGAAAACAGTTGTGACTCTAAAACATGGCGTCTTGAATGTGCTTTCAATGAGTGTGCTTTTCATACGTGCGTAGCCAACCGATTAGCACGGTTTGGCTATGTACGGTGCAAAATAAGTTCTACATACATGCATACATATGTACGTCAGGCCAGAAACAGGAATTCACCATCGTGCATTTGTATGAAAACTTTCATATAAAATGAACAATCGCCTCTAAAAATAATAGCTCTTCTCTTAAAGATAGATATGTAGTGCTTGGGTTCTGAGCTGTCTAACATGAGTTTACATACTCTTTAGTTCTATTCGGTAAAGTCACGTAGGTAAAAAAATTAGAGTATGGATCCTTGCAGTCACGAAAGCTTAAAATCTAGAAATGATATTCTTAGTTTTTTCGGTAAAGTCACGTTGAAGAGAAACAACATATATATTTTATTATTTTGTTGTTTCTCTTCAACGTGACTTTACCGAAAAAACTAAGAATATGAATTACTGCAGTCACGAAAGCTTTAAATCAAAATTTAAAATCTAGAAATGAGTTTACATTTTCAGATGTATGTATGTTTAACTTATTTCGTACCGGCACTTCACCAAAGAATCCGCAAGTGCGCGCGCCGATGGTGACAGTTCAGAGTTCTGAGATGGATTTGTGGGGTTGGCAGAAATGACCTTGTGCAAAATGAAGAAGTGCAACGACGAGTTAAGGTGGAGTCGATAGAGAAGAAGTTGAATGAGAATAGACTGAGATGGTTGGTTGGTACGTGTGGCCAGAAGGTCAGAAGACTAAATTGAAAAGAAAGTTCAGAAGGTCAGAACACAACATTGCAAAGAAAGTCCACGCAAAGACCTTTGAAGAAAAGGGAAATTTGAGGGAGACCGAAGATAGAGAATACTTGGAAAAGAAGATTTAAACTTGAGGGACAAAAAGCTCAGAATAAGTGAATCACACTCTAAACTCATGGCACAGCTGAGGTATGTGTGCAGAAGATAAGAGATAGTGGCTGCCATGTTTAATGTGGCCAGGGTATGTATGTACAAGATAATATCTGCACTATTTATTGGGTTAGTTTAAGTTAGATATATCTTACGCATTTTAAACTTTAACCTGTCATCGCACTGTTCCATCTGCTCCGTGATTGTGTGACCTACATGTGCACATGGGGCCCTGCTTGTTGGTCAAAAGAATTACGGCGGTTGTAAATCAAACACAAAACTTCCGAGAGAATCGGTAGAATATTTCCTTTGAAAATATTATGGTTTGGTTTAAAATAAAAAAATATGATTAAGCAAAATATTTCAATAAATCAGATCATCAGTACAATTGGTATTTGTGCCATTCTCAAAGCACAAAGCTATCCCGAGGGTGCTACATCTTGCAAGCAGTCTGCTGTAGATCCCAGTAGAGGTTGTTGTTGCTATGTGTCATTTTAAATTTTGGCAAATTTGGACCATAACGCTGGCACACAAGTTTTACTGAGACACTAAGCCATCGTGTACAGGAGTAAGCAGTCATGTGTCATCGGGGGAGGGGACAGTCTTCTTCCATATGGCTGCTGATGTAGATGCAGCGCGACAGCTGCAATAACCGCGTCAGAAGCAGCGGGGTGTATCCGCTGTCTCCTTTGTGTTTGTGGATTGGGTATTGCATCGTAATATGTTGTACGGTCCGTTCTGGATGACCACAGTCGCACAGTGAGGGATAGAGATGGTGTGTGGAGCCTTTCATCTAGCAGTGAATGTGACACACATGATGATGATGATGTTAATGATGTCAGCAATAAAAACATTCTTATTTTAAAATGTTGTATTCTCCTTATTTAAAAATGCTCCCCAAACTTGTTCTTCGTGTAAATAAAGTTGTATAAATATGGTCACGAGCATACACACACACACACTGGATCACAAGATGCACTCCGAACCTCTATTGTAAAATACGAGGGGAGAAAAGTGTGTTTATAATTCCGTGTTGCATTCCCATTTCCTTAGGTTGTGTTGGCATTAACAGCAAGAGACTTCAATGTGCCATTCTTGCAGCTGTTGTTTGATAGAAGCAAACTCTACATAAGGTATTTATAGAACAAAAACACACACTTGAGCTTGGATAATCATCACATCTGTGTTGCTGTTGTAAGCTGAGGATATTAATGATTCATAATTTTGTACATTTGGTACTTGCGCCATTCTTATAGCGCAGGACTTGCCAAGGCTCTGTTTCTAGAGGCTGGCCGAAATTCGGTTTCGATTTCGGCGCCGAAAGTTGGCAAATGGCCACTTTCGGCATAGTTTCGGTTTCGGCCGAAAGTAAATTTTTTACTTTCGGTTTTCTTTCGGTTTCGGCCACGTAACACGCCGGTCATTTTTCAAATTTGGACCACGATGCCAGCACACAGAGGTCAAATCAGTTTGCAAAGAACCTTGGTATCGGAGAAAGGTTCTTTGCAAACCCACGGGTTTTTATCAGAGATTTGTTCACGAGACAATTCAGATCTACAAACACAGACACAATTTCAACCGAGAAGATGGTTTCAAATTAAGCAACCATTGGAAAGATGTTCTAAATCGAACCAAACATGAAACTAATTTTCAATGGTACAGTATATTTTTCAAGTAGTGGTACCCCAAACTTTCGCAGCTTCTTAAAATCCCTTTTTCACACCACCAGCATGTGGATGCTACCGTGCCCCCTCGCCAGCCTGCACAGGTCGACCCCCTCCCTACCTTTCATCATGCTAAGTCCGCCTATTAAAATGCAAATTTTTATGCTAATTCCTTTGTCAAGGCACCTTAATTACTCTCACACAGCTTAAAGGTCGCGGTCTGAGCTTGGCTGTGTTTCACTCCAGCGCTGTCCTCCAGACAGTCTCGTCCCTTCACCTGATGAAGGCCGCTTGTGTTGTGGCCGAAACGTCGTGATTTTTATTTTTTACCTACGTGACTTTACCGAATAGAACCAAAGAGTCACGAAAGCTTCAAATCTAGAATTTTAAATACATTGTTATTGTCAGTGTAATTTCTCCCTATACTTAAAGTGGGTTACACTTAAATGGATCACCAAGTATATTTTAGGAAACTAATAAAATAGTATTCCCCAGTTATTTAAATACATTCAGAAGTACTGTCAGATATTCCATCTTACTCTTTATTAAAAGCTGATATTCAGTAGGCTCTTGATTATCCACGTGCGGATTATCCGATTTGCTAATTAACCACGCACCTGAGATTTTGACATAAATCAATAATGAATGTATTTTCCTTTAAGGCCAAATTAATAATCTAAAAACAGTGATACATTGTTTTTCTTGTTCATGTGTATTACAAGTCTCACATGCTTATACCGAACAAATATGAGCTCCGGTTTAATCGTAAATCCACGTGATCGCCTCTACAGTACAGTGATGGCATACCTTTACAACATTGTGTGGAGTTTGATTTTGATTGGCGTGGCTCTGCTGCTACCCACTTAGTGGGCAGTCTCCTGCACGGGAGCAGGAAAGTGTTAGCACTAAGCACGCCAATCGATCGGTTGATCGTTAGTATTCGTTCTAAACCGCGGTCATTCTCCCCGTCATTAGCGTGGATAATCGAGAGTCTCTACTGTTTCATTGCCTGGACTTCCATGTATAATAGGAAACAGGACCTACGCTTTTTGGTAGAATCAGTTGTGGCAACTGAAACAATACAAATACGAGAGGCCTGACTATCATGATGGTGATGTAGTCTCAATGGTTATTGTTTGGGATGCCACAGTGGCAAGATGTTAACTACCTTTCCTAGTATACAGAAGTTAGCGAGTTCCATCCCGAAGTTAGCATGTTCTCCCCGTGGTCACGTACATTTTTCTCCAGGTCCTCCGGTTTTTCCTTCCACATTTAGAAACATGTGTTTTCGAGTATTTGGTTGCTAGATATTGCTACATGATAAGCCACTTCGTTCAGCTATCATTTGTGGCCAGGTCGCTTCTGTAAAGAGCTATATAGCTCAGTGGGCCTTACCTGGTAAAATAAAAATAGTGGAGTTTTAGTTTAGTTTGACAGTGTGATTTGATTTACTGATTATTGCGTTGATGTTGCAGTACGGATTATGGCAAAACTTACAAGGACATCACGGATCAGATAGGATATGGCATGATCAGAAATGATCACTCCATCATCTCTCATCCACTGAATCCACAACGGGTAAGTGTTGTATTAGCCCAAAGGTGAGCACACTCACAAATTAATAAAGCAAGATGTTAGATATGCGAAGACACCTGAGAGGGATTCAGTCGCTCTACCACTCTAGGTTCTCAAGGTTGTGTGTGTGGCTCCCTGATGTGTTTGCTTGTTGCACCATGCGTTGTTCGGGACAATGTCCGACGTTTCACTCCACGTGCTTGGGAGCACTTTCAGCAACCAACATTCAGTGCCGCTCATTATGCACTTGGACACTGCCACTGTAACTATACATTAAGCAGTCCCCCTCCCAAACCTTCCATTCCTCTCTCCAAGCTCACCTCTTCTCAATTACCCAGTCTCTTCCCTCCCCTCCCCTACACTTCCCTAACTGCTACCTGCCCTCTATCGTGGTCACCCATTCCTCATCACTTGCAAACCCCTGCCATCAAAATATTTTGTATACCGTTTTTATTATGTTAAGTACCTTGATCAAAGGCACTCGATAAATATACAATAATATACGATAACCCTGAGCAAATACATGAAATACTTGCATTGTGACAATAGCATTATTATTTTCACAATAGCATACATGGCATGAATATGTATGAGCAGCCTTGAGTGTCTCCCTTGTGGCCACCACACCAGCAATACAAAATTATGCATATTAGCGGAACATAAGCACTTGTTCTTTTTAGCCGCAACTATGAGGTTTAGAATACAGTATAATGTCGCATATCCAACTCGCTAGTCACCGACGTTATTAGAAACATGTGCAAAGGTATGTGGATATGTGTAGAAAATTATAATGACACCCTGCACGATTCGTTTTCTGGACAAAAAGTGTAAACTGCTTAAAACTTGATGAAATGCTTGAATGTACTTTTCGAAGTGAATGAATGTAATATTTTAACAATATCAGTACCCTAAGTGAAACGGTCAGAATTGAGAACATCTATAGAAAACGACATGCACAAAAAGCTGCATTGTGTGGGGGCAGCTAATAGATTAGGGCGTACATACGGCAGTAGGATGTGCGGCTGTGTACAGAGATTTGCTCATTGTAATTGGTGTCGATTGACACTCTCTTTTACCTCCACGGCCCCTCTGAACCTACAGGTTGTGCTGCTGACGGAACAGTTGGGGCGCGCCCTCCTCTACTTCCTGGTGACCTCCAAGGACGGAGGTTTGAACTTTACGGCCCAGCTTATACCGTTCGCTCCAATGACCAAGTTCTCTTTCCATCCGATAAACCCCGACGTTCTCGTGTGCATCAGCCTCAACGTAAGAACCTGCATGCGACCCACGTTATCAGATGCAATAGTCGAGTTTTTCGCGGTTGGCGCTGCTGTGTTTTCGTGTTGGACCATGCATTATCTCGCATGATGTCCGATGTTACGCTCCGTGTACTGCAAGTGCAGCTAAAGTTGAGGCAGTGAATCGATGTCCTGAAGAAGCTCCCCCAGCACGTGGAGAAAGATATCAGACATCGTGCCGAACAAAACGCGTGGTACAACCCGAAAATGCATGGGGCGTGCTATGTGATTTGTTAATGGCTCTTGCATTCAGTCAGGTTTGGACACTTCATTTTGAAAGTTTTGCTCAAATAATGATCACAAAATTTATATCCGTCCATACCAATTGTGCTGTGAGTTTTGACCAGGTTGCGGAGGTGCGCTCACGTGCGATTCAGCAGCTTTGAGGTTGTGGTGCGCTGATCCTGTGGAGCTGGGTTGGGGAACCTTTTTTCTGCCAAGGGTCATTTGGACATTTATAACATCATTCGTGGGCCATACAAAATTGTCAACTTAAAGATTAGCCTGTTATGTTTGGTCAAACATTTAATTAACTCACTCCTAATGTGATGGCTGGAACAGACTAAATTGTTTTGCGGGCCTTATCCGGCCCGCCTGCCGGACATTCCCCACCCCTGCTGTAGAGGCTTCAGGAATTGCATACGTGGGACACAAACAATGGCATAACCCGACATCTGTACAGCAAATAACACTCGGTGCATTCATCTTAAAAATAAATACATATGTAATAGTCGATGTTTCAGACAATGGTCATCAAAGAAGAGAGTTAGTCCGATTAATGTGTTTGTATATTTGGAGTTTGCATAGTTTTTCTCCGGGTTCTCCGTTTTGTCCGTCCACGTTAAGAATCAACATGCTTTAGAGTATTTGGGTGAAAGAAATGTCCACATTATAAGCCACGTCGTTGAGCTATTTGTGGCCAGATCGCTTCTGAAAAAGAACTTTCTAGCTCAGTGGGCCGTACCTGCTCAAATAAAAAAAAAATAGTTTAGTTTAATAAGTGTAGTTTATAGTTTGAGTTTATTTTTGCATCATTTGTGCTTCTAAACCACTGCCAACCAAGCAGCAGCAGAATCACCAAATGGTTTGTACAGCAGGTAGATCAGTTCTCTTGTCAAAACTTTCCCTCATTCATTTTGTCTACTGTGGTTGACTGCTGTGATTTGGTGGATTTTCAGCCACGGTGACACGAGCCTCAAATTTGTGTGAACGCAGTCCTCGTTGGATGGCATCTGTGTATGTGTCGTGGGCTCAAACGGAGACTCAGACGTACTGTTTGGAGGCAACACATTTATTAGTACCAACACTCTAACACAAAGGTGTAACTGCCCCTTCACCAGATAATAACCTATGGTGGTGGTCCACCAGACTAACGACGCTAACTACACTGGGAGTTAGCTACCACGGACGGGACCCCAGCTTGGGTCTGGGTCCCCGTGTTAGTGACTTGTCTTCAGACGTAGTGCATAGACGGAGAGTCTTGAGGATCACAACAGCAGCTGGTCCCACTGGGAAACCAGCTTATAGCCTCCGTGGCGGGGTTCGCTCCGCCCCTAGCCACGACCCCCTTCTCGAACCCTTGAGGAGGACCTCCAACTTGACACATGGTCCCCCAAGCCCCTTCTTTGGGGGTCCCTGGGTAGACGCCTCCGGTCACGTGACCTCCTAGGTCAACCAGAGTGCCATTGCCTCTTGAAACGCCGTTCCGGGGCCGGCACCCCCGCACCTCATCCTGTAGGGCTGGCACTGCACGCAGCATGTGGTGCCATTGGTTGCTGTCAGTCAGTACTCCTCGAGCCCCGCTTGGGCCGGTACTGCATCCACCTTCTGTGGTGTCTGCGATGTCGATGCATCGCGCGCCGTGCCTCTCCCAGGCCGGCTTCACACAGTGACATGCAACGATGTCACTACATATGTATGTTGAACTTATTTCGCACCGCACGCAGCCAACCGTGCTTATAGGAGGTGGGGGGGGGGGAAGGACAACAAACGGAACACAAAAAGCAGTTCTGAAGAAATGGATATTCAGATTATAAAAGTGCATAGCTCCCAGTAGCTTCCAAATATCGGAAGAGCATTCTCGACGGCTACAGAAGCGCATAAAAAGTGCACGATGCGGTGACAATCTTTGTTCGATGGTTGGCCAAAAGCCGCCGCAAGGATGACTGGAGTTTGCGCGATGCTTTATGCTCCGTGACGAGATTACCAAGGTATTGTGGTTAATTTGTGGCAAGCATTTTGTACTGAGTGCGACCTATTTTCAGAGAGAAGTGTGCCGACTATGCTCGCGAAATTGAATTGAGCTGAGCGTGGCCTTCACAGTGCTGCAGGCAGCTGGTGGAATTTAGCGTTCACTCTAATGGACGTACTTACAGTCTTGTGAATAAAATTACGTGAAACGCTTTCAACACATTTTGAGACGGTGTTCCTTTGACTAATATCGCATTAAAAATAAAGAAACCCATTTTTAAATCTAGTAGGTGTTTGTGCGTGTATGCGAGTGACCAAATTTGTATAATTTTATCGACCAATTGGCACGAGTTTTGGGTGCATTTTGCTTTCGGGAGCATTTTATAATTTGGAGAATACAGTAATCGTCATGAACAATAACATTTGTTTATTTTTTTAGGCTTCGCTCTTCATCACGAAAGACTTTGGGATTACCTGGCGTTTAATTCATAGCCATGTCATCACATATAAATGGTGAGCCTCGGTTCTAAATAAGCACAAACATTACAAAATACATTTGTTGTGTTTAAAGTGAAAATTAAGCTCTTGAATATTTTTTTTTGCCAGGATCAGTGGCATGCAGCTCAGTTTCTGCAGATTAGGTTTTAGGCCACGTATTCACCTCATTTACCCTGGTAACATTACCAATAAAATCACCTGGTATTACCAGTGACTTCAGATTACGATGTAAAAACATACATTTGAGAAAAAACATGAAAGTGAGCCACTCTAAATAATGTAAACCATATTCGGCTCCAGAATGAGAATTGTTTGATTTTGGGTGCCTTAAATAAAAATAATCTATTTGATAACACTTGACAGTATTTGTAACACTTGAAAGAGTTTGCGCATTCGCGTTTGCCATAACCAGTGCCAAAAAGAACCCACCTTGTTTTTTGTACTAGCTATGTGGCCGATGCACGCAAGCCCTCTACAACGGAGCCGCTATCCGAGCTCCATGGTCTCAATGTGGCCTGCAGGCAATTATCCTCAAGATAGATCAAATATGGACAGAACTTTAGTATATGGCTGTGTTGCTATGAGAGGCCTACTTTATAGAAAACCGGCAAAAATGTACAAAATTGTTGCCCTGTTGTCTTATCTCGGCCTATGGACATACTGCCTCCTGCACACCTGATGCAACTGCTTCCATTGTCCCTGATTCAATACTCACAACGACATGCTACAAATTGTTACACAAACCATGGCTAACCATGGCTTTTCTTGTTATTTGTGTTTTTTGCGTATTGTAAAAGTGTGGTCCGTAACGCAAAGCACAGTTGTCATCGCATTTAGTTTGCTATTCTTCTGGGTGAATGAATTTAAACTTTTACGGTAACATCTCGGTGGCCATTTTGAAAGCTTACCGATTTTACGTTTTTATATTTGCGTAAGTGTTGCATGCGTGATTGTGCATACAATTTCAATTAATTCTCTTGTTCAGATTACAGTGCATGGCTCATGTCATGCGTGCAAATAATTAATGTCCTAATCTTATAAATCTAAGAATTTTCATTCCGCTGGAGTTTCTGTATGCGCTGCAAGGTTAAGACAAAGGCTGTCTGTGACGGTAGTGTTTTGAATTGAGATGGAAGTTAACGATTGCACCAATTTACATTAACAGGGCAGAGGATGGATCACTCTTCCTTACAACGACAGGTGACGAGAATCCACAATGTAAGTGTGCCTTTTTTTAAACGCGGGACATGGTCATTCGCATGCTCACAATAATATGCAGCGAGTAAAGAGCACGTTCATAATCACAGCATCGGTCCCACTGCTACTACAATGTTCGAAGGGTGATCCAATTTTATAGATGCCCCCCCCCCAACAAGTGTTGTGAAAGCGACGGTCCTTGTATCTTAAAGGAGAGTTACATGAGTTAACAAGTGAGATTGGTGGAAGATATGTCGAGGCTTTGACATAAAATATTTGTTCTCATTTAGTGGTGGTATCGCTTAATGGATCACACTGCGTATTTGCCAATATAGACACCAACTATACAATTGCTGAAAATAATTACCAAATATTTATATTGCAAAAGTTGAATACCACATACTCAGTTTTGTATTCACATTGCCTTCGGTAACTCTTGTAATTTATTGTACTGCAAGAGTTAAACTCCTTTTAAGTTCGTGTTATTTTAGATTCTCAGTGGTGGTAGTTAATGCAACTAAGACCAAGAATTAAGACCAGGAAAGCATCACTTAGTGTATTATTTAAAATTAATCAGGAAACACAATTTAATTCTTATCAGGCACCATGGAAAGTTAGTTCTTGTGTACAACCCTTATCCACTCTACTTCTCTGGCATCTCTATGTGCAGTGCAGAAGGGCCATTACCACCAACCATGACCTATTTTATATATTTTCTTTTTAAGGTAGTGTTAATATTCTTTGGTTCAAATGCATCGCTCCGGATGACCGCTGCAAAGTATGATCTTGAGTTTTGATTATAGTGTGGTGATATTTAAAGGTGCATTGCAAAGTTTTGATACTCCTACTGATTCTCCTGCTGTTATGGAGTGACTCATGCAGCCAGCTATGGCTGCAAAGTTTGGTAGTACATGTTATATATATCGTTTATTGTAAAATTTGAATCACAGTTCCTATGTTCACAGTTACATTGTTTTTATAGCTTTATTTTGGTGATTTCGAAAACGTATGGTTTAGACATGTTCATTTGTTGAAATACAGAGTTAGCCTGATAATTTTAATCTAAATTGTCTTTTGGTTGTTATTGTTTGACTTGCATCCCACTGGGATTTTTGCACACAGCGTTGATATACGGTGTTTTTTTCTGGAAGACTTCACTGGTTTTTTTCCTGGCTTTATCTGTTGCGCGTAGTCACTTTAAGATGTTCTTTGTTCATGTTTTTGTTTGTTGCGGTTGCACCCGAGTCAAGAGCCGCATGGCTGACAGGGCTATACCTAATAAATGAAACTGAAACTTTCGGTAAGTCACGTAGATAGAAAAATAATAATTTTAAAAAAGTGAATAAAAATACAAATAATAAAAATAAAACAAAAACCACGACGTTTCGATCACAACACAAGCGATCGTCTTCAGGAGGAAAGAGGGGGAAGGTGAGGGAAGGTCGCAGAAGGCGACAGATTTTAAAGGCTTCAAAAAAGTTGGCGTGGCACAAGCTCTGGCGGTGGCATGGAACATGCAGGGTCACGTTTTGATGAGGGAATTCATCTAAAACCTGATTCCCACCACCACCCATCCCAGAAGAATTCCCTCGTCAAAACGCTGCACCATAGAGCTCAATGTATCTCCGACCATGAACACCTAGCCAGTGAACTGGAACACGTACACCAAGCTCTTAAGGCGTATGGATATTCTGACTACACAATCCGCAAAGCTATCACCCCAACCGTGAGGAAGGAGCCATCTGAGGATCCAATCAAAACCATCACCTTGCCATACATAGTAGGGGTCACCAAAAATATTTCCAAAATCATGAACACAAGATCCAGGTCCGATTTAACACTACATAAAATTCGTGATCTGATCCCATCTGTTAAGGACAAGATTCCTGACATGCAATATCCCGGCGTCTACAAACTAAGCTGTATCTGCGGCAGCAGTTACATTGGGGAAACTAAGTGACATGTCTCTAACCGTGTTCGTGAGCATAAGGCAGATTTGAAACAAGGTAGGACCAATACTTCTGCCGTGGCTGATAATTATTTTAATGCAGCTGGCTCATACGAAATTGATTTCTCTAAGACGATGGTACTTTGCAAGCCCACTGGCTATCAACAAAGATTTGTTCATAAAGCCTTCAGTTTCTACAGATACAGACAATTTCAACCGAGAGGATGGGTACAAACTCGGAAATCATTGGAAAGATGTCATCAACTACTTTGGGTCATGACTTGATTTGTGTTTTTTTTGTTAAGGGAACACGGGTCAAGTCATGACTTGATTTGTGTTTTCCTGTTACCTTGCCCCAGGGCACATATGCCCCGCCCACTTCGTTCTGACACTCTTTGGCGCGTTGTTTACGTGGCCCTGCATGTTCCATGCCGCCGGAGCGCTTGTGCCACGCCCACTTTTTTGAAGCCTTTAAAAGCTGTCGCCTTCTGTGACCTTCCCCCTCTTTCCTTCTAAAGACGATCACTTGTGATCAAAACGTCGTGGTTTTTGTTTTTATTATTTTTATTAACTTTATTTTTATTATTTTTCTGTCTACGTGACTTTACCGAAAGAACCAAAGAATATGAATTCCTGCAGTCACGAAAGTTTTGTCAAAATTAAGGTAGTGTTCTTGACAAATATGAGTTTTTTTTATTGTATGTGCTTGTGCACCTCTACCGATGCTGCAGGAGCAGCATCACCTCCAAGATAATGTGTTTATTATTGTAATAGCATTTGTAAATTGATTGTGTTTCTGATCAAGATGTTCGTAATATTTGATTGACAGTCAGCAGACAGTGGCTGCAACTGAAGAAGTCCATCGATTATGGAGATACGTTCTTGACAATGGCCAGTGGAATTCAAGAGTTTGGAGTGGCCGGTCACTTCATGTACTCGAGTGTGCTTTATCAAAATGTAAGTGTCAAGGAAGGTTATAATTTAACAAGATATATCAATCTTGATAACTCGACAGTCATTGTAATGGACACCTTTGTATGTACATAGCCAACCGTGCTAATCGGAGATATCCTTCAAAGACCTTGGGCTGCTGCAATATGGCTATACAACGATGCATTCTACGATCTGAGATTCACGATAGTAAATAAAGAAAACCAATGAGTAATTCACTTTACCGAAAGAACCAAGAAGATGAATCATTGCAGTCACGAAAGCTTTAAATCGAAATTTAATTCACGATAGTCATATTGTCCATTTTTCTCCGTAACTATATATCGTGATTATAATTATCATGAATAGATTTTTTTTAAACGTTTTATTTCTTGACAACTTATTTATTAAATTACTATGAATGCTCAAAGTTACGTATTAATTGCTATTATGCATTCGAGTAATGCTCTGTCTGTAAAATGTTTTTCATCGTAGTTTACGGCATGGATATATTAAGTCGTAATTTTCCTAGTTCCTTTAATTATCTTAATGTAACTGACAGCATGTGCTTCATAAGCATTATACATTGTAATACAAAAATGACTATGGGTAGTCTAAAGTTTAGTGAACTACAATTCAACAACTTTTAACTAATCTTTATTTGGACTGGAAGTCCAGCAAAGCACAAAAACAGTACATGAACCATGCGAAATACACATTTTTAAAAAGATTAGAAACTGATTTCTCAGTGATTGTCATTTCGTGACATGTGAAAGTGAATTGTATCATGAAAAATAATATCATGGCAGTCCTATAAAGACCTAATACCAGATGTGATATTTTAACAGCACACCTTGATGGTCATGTGATGACTGGATAATTTGCAGGATATGTCAGAAGGAGGGAAGCTGGTGAGGCCTGGTTGCATCGACAGCATTGCAAATGATGACCTCTTGATTTTTGTCATTGCAGGCCAGACTAGTTTTGCACATCTCCATCGATGGAGGCAAAAACTGGAACATAGCTCAGCTGGCGCCCTCTAACGTGTCACGGGTGAGTGAACACACAGCCACTCTCTCCTTATTTGCGTAAAAAAATGTTCTTCTTAGATCGGATGCATTCCATATGATTTTGTCAGAGGCATAAGGTTTCTATTACTGCTCTCATATATATGGGTGACAGGATTACCTTGTGGCCCAAATAACAGTCTCAAAAACTGTTTTTGTTTACATTCGACTCGTGGCTTTTACCGGGCGAGTGTTTACACAATGTCTGGGGTTCAAATTCATCATCGGCCCAGTACTGACCAAAGCATGCAACAAATACACACTACAGCCCCTTTGTCATTCTACTGCTGGATGAGAGCCTCCCCTTGCTGTGCTGGGAATCTTCTGGATGAAATGCCCCTTACGAATGTTAATTATTATTGAGGGTTAATTGACCATACTTGACCATCGCGGTCAGTGCACGTTTGAAGGTGAGGGTGGCGGAGTGCAGAATAACGATAGATTCTGTTGCGTTGCCCTCCACTTCCCACAGCGCCAATCACGCCTGTCTTTTTTTTGCTTGGTGTTTTTCCATTCGAGTACTACCCAAGCCCAAAATCCTGCTTAGCTTCCGCGGTCTGATGGTATCGAGAGCATTCCGGGTGATTTGGCCATCTGTTGTTTGGCCATCTGTTATTTAATACAGGAATGGACTCTTTTTAACTGTCCGTATAACTTTGGGCCTCCTACGTCTCCCTTTGCCAAATGAGGATGATCACTTTCAGCTCACTCGTTATGAGCACAGTGTGGTATTAGAGACAGCCCTTTGTCAATTAACTGCAAGATGAAGTCCTCCCCATGTGTCGACAATGGCGGTTATTTGACCATTCTTCACCACGATGGTCAGTGTGGCTCAGTGAAGGTTGGGGGTGGAAGGGGGGGGGATGTCCCAGGACCTGTGATATCGCTCATCACTGATGTCAGCAGCGACCTCGGAATCAAACTCAGGTCGCGGGTTGATATTGAAGTGTGATAACCATGGCTCCGCACCATAAATACAGTAGTGTCTCTTTTTTATTTGAAATATTACAGAAAGTCCATGCTTGCATTTTGCTTGTTCAATATTGCTTGTGTTTCACTTTCAGATATATGCCGTGCTGTGGTATGATGAAGACATGTTGTTTATGCATGTTGATGACCCGGAAGGTAGGATATTGTTCACCACTGCATGTGTTACAAAATACGAATCAGTATCTTACCTACCCTGAATACAAACTGCATGTTGTAATATATATTATAATTATATTTCAGCTTGTGATGTAACTTTAGCAATCGCAACATTCAACACACAAGCGTCACTTGAACTTTAATATTTTCTAAATGTTATCACAGGGCTCCGCCGAGTCGAAGCCTTTACACCAGCAGTGGCGTGAGCAATCAATTTCAGTGCTGCACCAAGCTGCTGTTTATGACAACAGCTTGGTGCAATTACATGAGACCATTTCTAAACACCGCTGCATTGTCCTTGTAATTCAGTTAATGTAGAGTAGAATTAGCCCGCTTACTGTTTTATTACACTCGTTGAGACGCAAAATAAATTGTCTGACAGGTGATGAAAGTATTTATTGAGAATGCTAATTAATGCTCTACTTTCGTGCCACATGCTTATTTTATCAACCGACATGTTTCAAGTTTATTTTTGCTCAACCCAGTAATAACTCAATACCTGGTGGCGTGGTGGGGTGCAACAGTGGCGAGATGTTAACTATCTCGCCTGGTGTTCAGGAAGTCGTGGGTTTGATCTCGACCCTGACGCCTGTATATTTTTTAATTTGCAGGTTTTCCCTGTGGTTGTGTCGATTTTGTTTTGAGTTCTCTCTCCATATTTAAAATCAACATGGGTTTCAAGTGTTTTGCTGCAATACATTTCCACATTATAAGCCACTAATCTAATCTGATCAGCATATGCTGCTCATGTGATATCTAGGAATACCTCCACTTTTGATGTATAATTCTGCTCTGGTGTAATGATTAGTATACTTGACCCGGCATGCCAGTTGAAACGGCTGCCAAGTTTCTTCAATCCCCCCAGCAGTTATAAATGGGCACACCACGGTTAGTCAATCAGCATGTTGTGCGTGGTGGGGGTAAGGTGTGAGGCAAAAGATGTCTGGCCAGCGTAGAAGAGTAGGCCAAATACCCTCGAGGAGCTGTCCAGAGCTGTAAGTGGGGAGGCTCTTCTGCCAGCAGTCTCACGAGGAAGACATTTCAGGGCTGCACCTTTTACCAAAGGACAAAGTGCACACCTCTACGAGTGCGAGAGACGTCCTCACTGCTACCCCCTTTGGCTGTGCACAGTGAAGACCTATGGATGCATCTACACTTCGGACAGGCGTGGAATCATCTTCTCCAAGTCGCTCGACAGACACTTCTTCACCACGTTCTTGTTCAACACCGACTTCACCCCCGTCGCCTCAATGAAGGGGGTCTACATCACCACCCGCATCGCAGAAGGTACGAGACCATTTCTTTTACTTCATGGCGTCTAAAAAACTCAAAGGCATTTGTGGATTCGTACACGTGTAGAGTAATAGCGCCGGCTAGTGGACAGCAGCGGCAGCTGGGGGCGGGACAGACAGTGTACACGTGCGGGAGCGTGTGCATAGGGCTGTTGGCAGAGTGGGGCAACAGAGGCAGGGGTCATGAAGGGCCCCATTTGGAGGCACCTGGAACCGGCTAGAAGGTTCGAGAAGGGAGGATTGGTCAGGATGGGCCCAGGTCGCACTGGGAGGATCAAAGGGGAGCGTAGCTCATGGCTGTCGGCATGTGAGTGGGCTCATCTCGTCGTCATTGTCGTCTTGGCTCCCTCGTCGCTGCCGTCTTCGCTAGATATTGCGCGGCCGGATAAGTTGTAGCTGTCTCGGTCAGTGCCGTCGGTGTTACACGGTTAGAGTTGTGTTTAGGCTAGGCTACTAAGGAGAGTGTGAGGACGAACCTGTGAAGTGTGGATGTGCTGAATAAAGAAGGTGCCTCCCGGAAACCCTTGTTTCCGGATCGTGACACTCTACACACGTTTGGCTGTAAAGCGATGGGAAAGCTCGCTTTGCCTTGCAAGACTTGCATTGATGTCCGTGCATGTTTAGCTCTTGCTGTTTTAATGGCTGCTGCTGCTACGACGTCCATTCCATTTGCAGACAACAGAGTGCAGTCACGAATCACCTTCAACCGCGGGGGACAGTGGCAACCTATTTTGAAACCCAAGAACGTGGAATGCAAAGCAGATGTTTCGGTAAGTGTCACCTTTTCATTCAACCAGAGCCTGTTGCAGCTGAACCCATTTGAGTGTGCAAATTAGATAGTGGTTGACCCATCTCCATTTCGTTGTCTATGGCGAGGAGTCGATCAGCAGCGTTTACATGTTCGTGTCGAGGTTGGCGAGCGAGAGCCGGTGGACGTCTTCAGGAGTAGCCACGTGGTGGATTTCTCAAACGCTGCCGGGGAATAAATGGAAGCAGCAGCAGCGGCGTTTTTTACCCCTTTAGTCCACGGTTTGAGATTGGTCACTGCAGTTGCACCGTGAGCCCGCATCTTGCATCTACTCAACGTTCTATCAGACCAATGCATCTCCTTTTATACGGCCAGATTCCCCTTTTCTCTTTGTTGGACATTGATGTTCATTCCTGTCATAGCTTGTTCACTGTCAAATAAGCGTGAAGTTATTGTTGGCAGTCGTGCTAGAATGAGGGCCTATCGCTTGGCATTTTATTGGCTGTGTGTTTGCAGTTAGCATTAGTATCCTGTGCTAAAGTAAATGTTGGCAGTAAATTAATTGATTGTTCACATTTTCACTAAGATAATCTACATAGTTAACGTTAGGATTTAGCATCATACGTATTTGTAATATATTTAGAATTCGCTAAATGGTATAGGTAAGCAATGTTAATTTAAATCTTGACTTAAAGCTTTCGTGACTGCAGGAATTCATATTCTTTTGCGTCTTTCGGTAAAGTCACGTAGGTGGTTCATAGAAAATAACAAACTACGACGTTTCGATCGCAACACAAGCAGTCGTCATCTTTCTTCCTGATGACGATCGCTTGTGTTGTGATCGAAACGTCGTCGTTTTTTGTTATTTTCTTTTAACCATCTACGTGATTTTTACCAAAAGACCCAAAGAAAATGTTAATTTTATCAGGTCGGCAGCAATATTTCAGCAGCCATTCGTCGATATATGTGGGGAGCTGTGGCGTGGCGTGGTGAAGTATGATTAAACAACCCTATAACCATTATAGAATGGGGAGGCCTTCATTCAGAAGTGGACAGACAAAGAGGTTTGAATTATAATGAATTTTATTTAAGCCTGCAAAACAGGTCATGGATTTAATGATGTTTACAACATTTGTTCCCTTTTCACAGGAGTCAGATTGTGCCCTTCACATCCATGGGAAATACACAATCCTGCAGGACAGCAGTGTACCCCAGCTACTGCTCAGTGAGCAAAATGCTATCGGACTTATTATTGCACATGGTGAGAATATGGTCATGCTGTTATCCATACAGTTTAATAATACAACCTGATTATTTGAGTAATCAAAATACCCGTCCGATTACTGCGTCAATTACTCAAATGACACAAATTGTTGCGTAGATTTATTACTTGTGAAGCAATGGCGCCTTTTGCCGTGAAATACATTTTTTACACATCCACATTAAGGGGCTTGCGTCCAAGTCTAAGTTAGGGTTTGGTCGGCTTGTGGGTCACTTTTCACTGCTTTCCAGGAAATGTGGGCGCATCGCTGAATGTGACCGAGCGAGACGTCTACCTGTCTGAAGACGGTGGCTACACCTGGAGCCGAGTGCTGCAGGGCCCCCACTACTACAGCATCCTGGACTCAGGGGGGCTCATCGTGGCTGTGCCATTCAGCTATAGCCACACTCCAGGAGTTATTCAGTACGTGTGTGTGAGTGAGACGACCGAAATTAGCTCTAGTGTAAGCGGTTGGCGCGCTGCGCTATGTACCCAGCGACCCTGGAAAGGGTGCTATATTAATCCGAAATAGAATAGACCCGAGTTCGATTGCTGCTCACGGCCAACACCATCAACGATTATCTGAACCAGTCTTGGGCCTGCCTGAGGTCGACTCGGCCTCACATTAGTAATTGGTGGGGTGTGTATACATCATTCTAGAGAGACAAAGATAGCCGGGAGTGGTGCTGGCCACCCACCCCCTCGTGTGACGTGCCGGTCTTCATAGGTACTCACTAACAGCACTAGCCCCAACAGTCTGTTGAGGCTGAACGGTGGATCTTTGTCTTTTTAACGACTGAATGAGCTGTCCATTTAAATATCCCTGCCAGACGCGTGTAGGTTACTGTGTTTGTAAGATTTGTTAGGTGCACTTCCCCTCCTCCCACCCATCTCTACTTTTGTTCCTCTTTCCTTGCCTTCACTTCCCAATATAAAACCCCTACGCTGTGAGTCCAATCTCTCCCACCCCCCTTCCCAGAACACAGGAGCACTGAGCTCAACATTTTTGTATGGGCCCCCTCTGTCCCCCCTCCCTCCCTTATTTCGGTTCGTGCCTTTTACTGGGCTCTTGTAAAAATATATATATTCCTGCCAGACACGGGGGCAATTAATCATTATTAAAGTAAAAATCCGAGTCACTTTCCATGCAGCAGAGTTGTGAGGCCGAAGTTGTGTATTTGTCATTAAAATGAAATAAATATGATAAATGAGAGAGCACGTGAATAACTGAGATGTCCAAGCGCATGGGTTTGCTGAATTCCATACAACAGATAAATATATAGATTTATAATCGATAGTACACCTCCAAAACAGCGCTGCTCAGTCATCCCATGTGACCATATCCCACATGACCACTGGGGCATTACGCGACTTGCCTCGTGTTCCCCCGAAGAGGTGTCGCACGTACCCTACGGGTATGTGTACCACAGGTTGGAAACCACTGATATAGAGAGCATTCTCTTTGCATTCACATATTGGCAAGAGGGCAATTGAGCCATTGGCTCACTGCCGGTCTGCTGCCCTCCAGCTTGACCTGTGGTTCCTCGGCGATTGTGAGATGCGCAATGTGCATTAGCGACGCTGTATACAAACTTCTTTACATTGTTATTTACGTGTTCTTTTTGTATAATTGGAGAGCTCTATGCATTTTTGCATTTTCCAATTAGCTCTGCCAAGATTCTATTTTTATTTTTTTACCCAGGCTTAATTTCCAGCCATCTGGCAGCATTTGACTTGTGTCTTCCGAGTAGAGGATTTGAGTTCTCAGAATTTTTCCATTTAAAAATGTTGATTTTAGACTTTTTTTTGCTTTTATTACAAACCTGGTATTTGTACCAACACCAAACACACTTTACATAGGTAATGGACCCCCCCGCCCCGGTGCCTCGTAGCCAACGTAATTGCTTGCTGTTCTGTTTTTGTTTGTTGCTCACAGCTTTTCAACCGATGCGGGGCAGACTTGGCACGAGTTTCTCTTTTCGCCAGAGAACCTCATGGTCAAGGGGCTTGTGTCAGAACCAGGTGCCAAGTCCACTCACGTGAGTGTGTGGGGGCACCACTTGAAGATGACCAACCCAGTCCGCGTTGACCTTGTCTGGGTCAGCTACACGATCGACTTCGGCATCCTGCTGAAACGAAACTGTAAGGTTTCACACAGCTTCACGTTCGTTTTTCACATTGCAATACAAACTGAAACTTAATCATTGCACATTCAGTTCATGGCAATGTCAGTTGAAATTTAAGTTTACGGTTTGTTTAATTGCAAAAAAATGTTGTGTTCATAGTTCCATGTATTACCAGCCACAAGAATAGTGCCATAATACATCTATATATATAAAAGGGAAATTTGTGAATGTGTGTCTGTTCGAAATGTTTAGCATACTTCCCAACATGCAACAAACTTGAAATTTGGCATGTGGGTAGCTTCCAGACTGTACACAATGGAAAGGTATTTTTGGGGGGGGGGGGGCACAATAATGGATATATTTTGCACGCCAAGTGAGCGGTGACGTCACATCTGTGATGTCACCCGCATGTGGCAGCGTCACGCAGTGTGCCTGCTGACGTCACGCATCCCCCCCCCCACCCTCCGCGTAGGCCGTGTGTTAATCCAAGACAAATCCAAGTCTCGGGCGAAGCTGGGTAGTAAAGCTAGTTTTTGTATAAAATATACATTTGTCTCGAAACTGATTCTTAAATTTGTTATTCATAAGAGGTGTTTCGGTTAGATCGCGTAAATGTAAATGTTTTGTCAAACGAGCCACCACCCGACAGCCAATTAGTAAGGGGTTTGTCAAAAAAAACCTCTAATGGATAATATTGGTCGCGAAAGCCTACGTGTTATGTAATTATTATTTCCGTTGATTTAGTGTAGGCTGCAGCAAACGGACACAATGTGAAATGCAATGTTACGTAGCTTAGATTTAAATGGCCAACTTGTACTAAATTAAAAAAATGAATGAATGATGTAGCTAGCATTCTTTTTGCTTCCTGAGCCAGTTTGCACAGTTAAACGTCTGTTTCCTGTAGCCACGTGGTAATTTCTGTAAGGCGAGAGTAACAAAGTGCACCATATTTCACTGGTACCGTGGATTTTGACAACATTGACATATTTTTTTAATAATAGTCCATTACGCATCACGATTTGTTGTCCTTCCCCCGCACCTCCGATTAGTTCGGTTGGTTACGTAAGGCGCGAAAGAAGTTCAACATACATCCACACCTACTTTCGCTACCAAATTATTTCCTGTTTTTTTGGCACGGTGATATTCCGGATTTTCTGTTTTGTATTTTGTAAGCCACCTTGAGATACTGTGATATACAAGTGCTTAACCCTATATTGAACTGAACTTCTTTCGCACCGTACGTAGCCAACCGAATGGCTTTTATTTTGCAGATGCGTACCTAGGTTGTGTGTTCTGGACTGTCGCTTAAGTATTTTTCTAAATGTTTGTTTTAAAGTCACACTTTCATTGTCAAACATCGTCAGGCACAAAGCCCTGGGTATGAATGTAATCACGGTGCTGCAGTGATTCACGTGCTACACTTTGATCCCCTCAACCTAAGTTTGATTCCCGGCCAATGCTAACATCGGTGGCGAGTGATATCTGAAAGCTTTCCTGGCTTGCGCTCCTCTTCCCCATAATCATCCCACGCTGACCAGCGTGGTGAAGCATGCTCAAACAACACCCTTGACTGATAGGGCATGGGGAGGCCTTCATCTAGCAGTGGACTGAAATAGGACTATAAATTAATGTTTTGCTCTTTTTGAGCATTGAGGCGGTGCTAATCTCTTGTTTTTACAGCCTTGAGCAATTGTTGGTAATTCCACATCTCTCTTGCGCATGTGAGTCTATTGACAGGAGTAGCATTGTTGACCTCCCCACAAAGTGGAAGGGTGATGGGCTCTCAACCTTTCCGATTTCGAGCCACTCGCTCTACAGCTGAGCCACCTGGGGCCAAATTATTGCGATGGATAAATGTTCATCTTGCGGCTGTTGTGCGGTTCGTTCCAGGCACGGATGAAGACTTTGAACCGTGGTTGGCACATTGGATGGAGGGTCCCACCAACCAGTCAAGCGGCTGTGTCCTGGGAGTCAAGCGAACATTCCGCATGCTCAAGAAGAACTCTTCGTGTTTGAAGGGACCTGACTACTTTCCCAATGAGACCCTTGGCTACTGCCCGTGCACAGAAGAAGACTACATGTGGTGGGTTTATGACGATGCATGGACCCCCCCCCACACACGCACACAGTGGGACACTACAGTGGCGAGATGTTAACTACCTCACCTGGTATACAGGAGGTCATGGATTTGATCCTGACCCGGACACCTGTATATTTTGACTTTGTATGTTCCCCCCCGTGGTCGCATGGATTTTTCTCCGGGTCCTCTGATTTTTCACTCCACATTTAGTAAAATGCGTTTTGAGTATTTGGCTGCTATAAATTTCCACATAATAAGCCACGTCATTAAGCAATCCATATGTGCCAGGTTGCTTCTGACAAAGTGATATAGCTCAGTGTGCCTTACCTGGTACACTAAAAATTGTTTCGTTTAGTGTGAAAATATAGCAATGCGCTTGACTGCAATGAGGTCCTGCGGATGTGGGATCATATCCAGCTCGCTGGAGACAGGTATAGCCCGATGTGAAAATGTTGGATATGTGGAAATCTATTAAAAAAATGTACAGTTATTAATTGGTCACGACGGATACTTGATGGTCGGGTATACAACGTTGCACTCCAGAGGTTATCTTGCCTGAGTCCAAGTCCGGCCACGGCTAAGAAAGTGGGCAGAGTGAAGAGTTTGATTTTTATGGCAATGTTTGGAATGTGTGGGTTTGGGGAGAGAAAACAGAAATTACTTTGTATGGAATCGCTTTTTGGTGGATCTAGAAGAGATGTATCACTGGTCAGCAGCACCCAAGGTGGCACAACGTTCATCATCATCATCGTCAGCAGCATCTGTGAGCGCAAAAACGTGTTGAGCAAACACGCGGTACAACCCTGATAATGAGGCACTTTGGAAAGCTTGTGTACAGCACAACCGCAAACAACCTACGCAGCAGTAAAATTAGTACCAGTTTATGGGAAGTCAACACTGGTACTCTTAGGGCAGGATTTCTCAAAGTGTGGTCCCTGCACCACCACTGGTGGTCCGCGACGATCCTCCAGGTGGTCCATGGGGCTGTGATGCACGGGTTGATATGGATAATAATGACAATGTTTATTTGCCATTTGTTTTGAACATGAATTAAGATATTTCAGTACGAAAAATTAAGTTAAATAAACTCCCCAAATTTAACTACCCTTAACCCTAAGAACTACATGCAACACCCACCCCCCCTAAAAAATATCCTTATATCTGCGTTTAAAAAAATAAATGTTGTTATGCTCCGGTAGTATGAATAATCTTGTATGGCTGGTATTGAGAGAGAGAGAGAAGCATATCTGTGAACCCATATGGTTTACCCGTATTCTTGTACGGGGAAATTTTGTTTTTAGGTCCATGTGGCATACAGCTGTTTCAATACGGGCAATTTTTTGCCTTTGTGTTTCTCCGTTGTGATGGGACTTTGTAGGATGAACGTTGAAATGTATAAGGGCACAGGGTGACCAATAAGGTCTGAATTGGTCTGTAATAAGGTAGGCACTGATAAGGGGTTGACAGGTATGGAGAAGTGAATCCGTTTTGTCACCGAGGGTGGTGGTGGGGCTGCGTGGTCCGCGGAAATGTTTGCATCGGCTGAGTGGTCCACACGCCAAAAAGGTTTGAGTAACACTGGCCTAAGGGGGGATACAAGCCTCAACAATGGGAATGTGTAATTTCCACCACTACAGGATTGTAAAGAGGAGATGAGCACTGCTTACACGCTCATGAGCGCAGATAACTATATTCTTGGTTCTTTCGGTAAAATCACGTTGAAGGGAAACAATTAAATAATAAAATATATAATAAAATATACATTTTTATTTTATTGTTTCCCTTCAACGTGACTTTACCGAAAGAACCAAGAATATGAATCACTGCAGTCACGAAAGCTTTAAATCAGCAGAGAACTACTTTAAGTTTTTGGCTTCTTTGCCGTGACCTTCATCGTGATTTCTTTCCGTGTCACTGCAGTGACTTTGGATACTACAAAGATAGTGGCAAATGTGTAGAAGAGTGGAAATTCAACAAAACCTCGCTGCACGTGTGCGTTACTGAAGGGGAGCAGCTGATCGAGACAGAGGGGTAAGTTACAACGTTGTACTTTTTTCTTGCAATTGTAAGCAGTGTGAAGTTGAACAATGTTACTGGCTTTAAATTGCAAAAAATATTTATCAAGTGTTTGACACTGGATGGATACAATACAAAAAAAATATGCGTGACAAATTAGTATTACATTTTGTTTGTTCTTGTTATTTGGAGTTGTATATTCGGTAGAATTTCAGAGTGTGGAATGTCATTTTAACATACGGTTAAATGCTTGAAATTGGGTAAAAAGATCTAGGTTAAAAATAACAATCATCAGACTAAACAAAATTGTCGTAATCCTCATCTGAATTTTGCAGTCTCTTTAAGCCAACCAATAAATAATACACAGATCCCTGGGAAATTGGAAATAAGTTAGATGATTGGCAATAACTTTCATATTAACGTAACATGTAGATTTTCACAGCCAGTTTTATGATTCAGAATAGATATTTGGGTTAGGCCACATGTAACGATCTGGACAAATTTGTGTTGCAAAACCCTCCACCACCCGACTCGGCCAAAGAAATGTTATTGTCACACTGAGCACAGGCGGTTAACGACGCGCAGATTGTTATTTTTTATTATTCAAAATCTTCGGCCATTTAAAAGACCCTATTCTCACAGCAAAGCAATTAGATACGGCTGTTTCACTTGAATTCTCGCCAAGCATCAGAACAGTAAAAGCTCCAAGCGCTGCTCGCTAATTCATAGCTATTGTTCCATTAATCTGTCCATTCTACATTACAATGTTGCTCCTTTATTCAGTCTTTAAACGACGCCAGTACGTCGGGGCCAAGTTCACGAATCGTTTTGAACACGTCGAGGGGCAGTTTTTCAGTCGTTCTGCCATTGGATTGGGAGCCTGTGGAGAGGTCTTAAGAATTCGGAGCGATGTGGTCTCGTTCGCGAATGTGGGTGAGGAGTCTGGCTGCTGCATCTCATATCGCTCGTCGCATGCATCAAGGTATCGCAAGGTGCCAGGAGACAAATGCGAGGGAGGGCTGCAGCACAACAGCACGAGGAAGGTGACGTCGATAGCGTGCACGCACACCCTCATCAAAACCCAGGTCGACCCGGTGTTCACGACAACGGCGTCGTCGTCGGAGGTACGTCAAGTTAACCCTTTCCCATTCCGAGACATCTGACAGTTGCAGGGTGGGGTCCCTTTCACCGCTGAATCTTGGGACGCGTTAGCGTTAGTTTTACTTAGAGAGGCATAGCGCCTTTGTTTTTAAACACATTGTACTCACCGCAGAGGACTGTAGCGACATAACCGCACTCTGATAGATGGTACCAAACTGTGCCACACGCCCTCCGGCATGGCTTTGTGGGAGCCTTGGTACGTCTTCAGACCTCAAGACGTACCGAGAAAGTTATTTCCTTTTTTTTTTCTTCAGACTTCCGATTTCGTTCAGATAATGTAAAGGTTATAATAATTGTAATAATCGAGTACAGTAAAACCTTGGATTGCGAGTAACTTGTTTTGCAAGACGAGCAACATTTTTAAATACATCTTAACTTGATAAACGAGCGAGGTCTTGCAATACGAGTAGTACGCTTTGTCTGCCGAGCGTCACGTGATCACAACTGAGCCGATGGTTCTTCAAGAGCTGGTGGAGGAACATGGCCAGGAGCTGACCACCGACGAACTGATGGATCTGCATCGTGAGCAAGAGGTTATGGAGGAGAACTCGTTTGAGGAGGAGGAGATAAAGACGAAGGAAGTCCCTCACTTCAAATGAGATTAGGGAGATGTGTAAAATGTGGGAAACGGTGCAAAATTTTGTAGAAAAGCACCACCCGAATAAGGCTGTAGCAGTGCGAGCGATGAATCTGTTTAACGGCAATGCAATGTCACATTTCCATGAAATCCTCAAAAGGAGGCAAAAGCAAGTGTCATTGGATATGTTCCTTGTTCAAGTTGCACAAGAAGAAAAAGATTCCAGTGAGCCAACAGATGGCAGTGATTCCGTTAGTGACAGTGAAAGTCGTCCTACACAATAACCCTCCTCTCTCTCGTCTCCCTCACACCAGCCACGATTACATTTAATTAATACATTTGATTACTTTATATTACATTTAAATAATAAAAATATAAAAAGTTTTGTATTAATCATTTTTACATGAATATTTTTGGGTTGTGGAACGAATCATCTGAGTTTCCATTATTTCTTATGGGGAAATTCGCTTTGATATACGAGTGCTTTGGATTACAAACACGTTTCCGGAACGAAATATGCTCGCAATCCAAGGTTTTACTGTACGTTGGTATTCGTGCCAATTGTACTGCAACACGAGTATACGTAGGAGGCCTATGACCATAGCACCCAGAATGCGGCAGTCTTGTCAGATCTCGGAAGCTAAGCAGATCACCACCTGCACAGAGCTAGTGTGGGTAACCACCGTGCGTACGCGACAGGTCGTTATCGGTTACGGGGCTTACACGGTGGGCAGCAGCAGCAGAGGGCAGTGCAGCACAATCCATTGTCGTACTGCGCTTCTATGCCCCTGCGTTAATGCTCCCCGTATTCAGAAACCCGCACTGACAGCGAACCTCTAACGATACGCATGGTGCAGGGGAAGCCATCATCCGACAAGTCATTGAATTGTATTAATCGCCGGATCATTTTTCCGGTGCGGCAGTTCAAACAATGGTGCAAAATTCTTAAATCCCCCCCCCCCCGCCTCCTCGTGTCCACGCAGCGCTCTCAATGGGTGTGTCACACTTTATTGATTGGCAGGTCGGTTGTGGTGGGGCAAAGCGTGAGCAACCCGCACCAATTTTTTCTTCGTGATTTGTTTGCCTATCCTTTACTTTGCGCTCCTGTCGTGTTTTGTATTGTTTGTTGTAACGTTCTTACCCCACTCCTACTGGACGTCTGTACAAAAAAGAGCTTTGTAGCTCATCAGATTCTTCCAGCATGAATGAAGATTTTGCTTCCGATCCTATTCGATGACGTCTGGTTGGCATGGAAGATTAGGCCAGATACCCTTTAGGAGGAGCTCTACAGAGCTTCCTATAATGGAGCAATTTTAGGGCTAAACCTTTACGGTTTGCCACTTATCGTAGTGATGCTATCTCTCAGCATTTGTGTGATGGTGGTGTTTGGTGTTTTGTAGCCAAGCTCGCAGAAGCGCACATCAAACAACCACGGGGGAGTGATCGCTCTCGTCGTTCTTTTCGTCTTGGTCGTCATCGGCGTGCTCGTCATTGCGGCGAGGAGGAGCCAAGCCTTCAAGGACCGGTGAGTGTTTAGAGCTGCGGCCTCCTGTGCCTCCAAAGCCTTCCGCATTCCGCGAGGTCAACGGTAACGACGGCCGCCCCATGGCCACTGCCACCTCATCCATATCACTCCTGCACGTGAATGTACAATCGCTCTTCTCTTGTAGAGATAGGAATCTCGTCCGTGTGTTTTAAGCTGGCTGACGTGAGTTCACATTTTCAGATGTATGTATGGTGAGCTTCTTTCGCGCCGTACGTAGCCAACCGTACTAATCGGAGGTGCGGGGGGAAGAACGACAACAAAAAACGATTTCCTCCCTGCGTCTCCACGGTGCATATCTTCTTAGCTGGCTTCTCTCCGTTGTCTGCCATTCTGTCACCAGTCTAACCCACCGATATGTTCTGTCCACAATCGTAAATAATATTAATTCTGTACATTTAGTATTCGCGCCTATTCTTGTAGCGCAAGGCTTTTACAAAGGCGCAATGTTTCACAGAAGGTCTGCAGTAATTTCACAGTCGGGGAGCGATGTTGCTATATTTAATCCAGTTTGGTAATTTAGTTTGAATGTGGAAAATTTTTACCCATGACAGCAGCGCGCAATGGCCTGCTCGTTTCGAATGACATGAGGGGATCTTTATCATCCACCTTGGAAGCATACAGCATGTATTTTTTTACGGTCAATACACCACCACAGTGTTAACCAGGGCGGCCTGCTAGATTCGAGCCGCGAACCTGTGCAACAAGCGGCAAACGAACTGCTGCTGGGCCGTGTCACCGCCCAGAGTTAACAAATCGACGAAAAGTCCCGTACACTCACCGCGCTGTGCCGCGTAGCACGTGCGCGCCAAAAGAACGTTTGCATGTCGTGTTTTGCAGATGTAACTCCATTCGATACCTGATTCTACGAGAAGAACAAGTCAATCTCTAAAGCCATTCGCAGGAAGAGACCCAGGAGCCTTGCTGCCCCGTTCAAGTGAGACCTTTTTTTGCAACAAAACAGAAAGGTGGTGAAGGTTTCCCATGGTTATCTCACGCACATCCCGACACGGCTGCAGCATGTAAACACGTGGTTATCAATGCACAAAGTCTGACTAGAGTTGGTTTGAGGTTCTATTACGGGTTATCTCGCGCAAAAACCCAGCTTTGGATTTGCACGCACGACTTCACGGCACAGATTTGGATTGTGTTTTGCTGTGCACGTGATTAAAAAAAATGCATTCCGGTATATAATTCGTTTGCCTAAATTACATAAAAAATGCCAATTGTGCTTGCAGTGGTGTTTGCATTCATAGCTTCCAAAATGATCTTATCAAGCTGCTGGTGTTAATCAGATACATTATTACAAATTACAGAGAAGTCTTCTGCTATAGGCTGCGACTATCAAAATAGAATTGCTGATGCACTCGACATGAAGCCATTTGCATCGCAGCAGGGAGGACACACGTACGAAGTTACGCGTTGTTTAATAGTTAAAAAAGCGATAAGTGATTTCCTGCTCAAAAAAGAGGCAGTGCTCAACTCCCACTCGCAGGCTTGAGCCATTGGTGGAAATTCCTCATTCCTATGGTGGCAACAAGTCCCCTCCACAGGATAACCTCCTCTCAAAGTGGTGCTTTATGGGTTGCCTGGAGTGATTATAGGCCGAATTGGTTCATATCACTGTTTCATTGACCACGGACAATGTGATCTTTAGGCATCAACTATTATTTCATCTTGATATGCGAGCTAGTGATTTGGCTAAATTTGAACAATTTGCTCGGGTGTTTCCTTAACAAGAAAGGTACGAGTGAGTTTAACGCTGACAATGTAAAAAAGTGCGTCGGTTAATTCTGCCTTTTAACAACCGGGGGGAGGGGCGGTGGGGTGTCCTGCAAAGTCGATAACGCACGAATATTTCTTTTCAGATTGCGAATGTAAGCTTCATTGGAACAGCTTATGATCCATTTTTGATAGTTTATTGTATCATCCCCTTGCAGATGGCCACGCAATGAACGTATCAGTTAACTTGGTTTGTCAACTTTATCTGCCTACTTTCTGGACAATTAAATGTCTTGCGTTAACGAGTTTTTCAGCGCACACGTCGGTTGTTTCACAGAGATTGTGTACAAGAGCACACGCACTTGCACCCACATGACCCGACAAACTTGTAATTTAATCAAAATCATCCAAAGTTTAAGCCTTTGCCTTATAAATATGTCTGTATGTGCATCGACTGCTGGTAATTTACATAATTCCTAGCTTGTTATTTCACTGTAATAAAAATCACGATATTTGATTACTTATTTACACGCATTATTCAAATGCCCGAATTTTGTGTGTCATTTAGCGCAGGGTAAAGGACTATCGAGTATGCGCAGTTTGTGTGGTATGGCAACTTGTTTTCCAGCGTGTTGTTTTGCTTGTGAAGCCTCGCGATATTTAAGTGAAAACACAGCCGATCTCAGCGTGGATTATTTTCTAGATTTTGGTGGAAGGCCAGAGGGATATTGGAAGCCTTTGGCGACAATTCTATCCCACTTAAATATCTTTTAGCATGGATTATATTTCAAAAGGGAGAGGGGTAAACATAGTTCCCTCCGTTTATGATTATTGTTCATCTTACACTTTATTGAATACTCTTTTATAGCTGATACTGACAACAGAAACTAGCCTATTGCTTTACGTGGCAAGAACTTTACAACAGCTACTACACATTGGTAATTACCATTATTGTGAGGCTATAGAAATTGAGCAATTGCTATTTGTAAAATGCGTGGCGATTTCTCAGCTACACACGAACATTCTTAAATGCATATAATTGTACAAATCCTCATACATCCATGCGCGATAGATTACCTACTGAAACGGTGTAACAATTACAGTTCTCTATCTTCCGGTATTGTTGCAGATGAGACGAATCTGTTACCTAAATACCTGCACAAACATCCTGATGGCAATGGAAAAAATAACATCAACAGGTCAATACAGTTGGTGTTAACAGTGCTGCAGGTTTATATGCCTACAGATATTTAGGCTTTGCCATCTGCACGATACGGGAACGCTAACTACGGCACTTTGGGCACGTGGCTCCTCGCTTGCCCTTGGCTAGCTCTGCCTGCCAGGTTCTCTGTGCGAGATAATCTCGTGGGTGGAGGAGGACAAAGACCTTGGCCACAGGCAGTATGGATGAACGTATCGGATTGACCACTACCGTTGAGATTTGGGGGATCGAAAGGGGGCACAGCTCATTGGCTTTGCCAAGTACCCCGAGGAATTGGCGCCAGATGGTGGATGCTGCCACGCACGCTGTCTCGGCGTATGCTCCCACACTTGACTTGAAGTCCATTAAAAATACATTTATCCCAGAAGTGCATTTCGCAGTTGAGGAAATGCTTCGATGTGGCGAGCGGGTTGCACGCAAATAACCGTGCGGCACGGGTGGCATGCAGTAGCAGGAGAGATAACATGAGGTTCAGCGGCTCTGACGAGCGGCAATAGCACGAGCATAGCGGCGCAAGTGATGGTGCAGGGATTGCAGTGAGGCAGACGGACAAACAGCGCAGGTGAGAATGTCGCTTTGCAGATGGGCACTTTAGCTTCGTGCAGTGGTTCTTAAAGTGTGGTCCGCTCTGATCTTTCAGGTCGTCCGCGGGGCTGTGATGCAAATGCAGGTTGATCTGGAACTAATTAATATTTTGGTCATGATATTTAATTAACAAAAAAAATTAGGTTAGGTAAACTTCACTGATTAAACTACCCTAACCGAAAGGTAATTTTTTTTACATTTGTTATGCTAATGTAAATCATTTTGTATTGCTGGTGTTTGGGGAGATAAGCGAATGCGTTTTGTCACCAGCAGAGGGGGTGCTGGCTGGTCCGTGAAATGTTTGAGAAAGGTAGAAATGACCTACCTACTGACTTGTTAATTTAGAATGTGTTAGAGTACGCTTCGTTGAGGTTATTAAAACCCCGAAAATGGCTCTGGAAAGTACAAGGCATCGTTAAAGCCATAGTTTATGAAGCTGTAATATATTTCACATCTGCACTATAAGATAAATGGCACTGTATAGAGGTAGCTTCCAATATCACCACAAAAGTGTAAATAGCTCGTGTGAATTTGAATTATTAGAAACTATATATCATACAATATATTGGTATGGCAGAATTATATAACTGTTTTATTTGGTGTGAATATATGGTTCGTAACTTTACCTTAACATTTTAAAATGTTTTCGTTTGCTTAAGGGAATTTACATTTAAGACTTTTAGGGGTATTAAAATATAAATATGCATTCATAGGAAACTAAGCAAGCGGTACAATCAAGGCGCTTGATGTCTTTGAGTTGCACAAAGGGGAACACGAGAGAACGTATGCCGGATAGACAACGTCGTTTAATAAAAGTGCGTTCAAGTAGGACACGTTCCTCGGAGGGATGGCACATGGTCGAGACTAATGATGGAGTGGCAACCAAGGGATGGAACGCCCCAAATAGTCTCACGGAATTGGAGCAATGAAATCACTTCGTGTGTGTAGGTGCCATGTGATTTGTTAGATTGCAGGGTGATGGGAGAGAGCAATGGCCTTGGAGAAGGCCTTCAAGGCTGATGATGAAAATGATGGTGACCATAGAAAAACACAGTAATTGCTTTGTTGTGAGCAAGTGGAGGAATTGTCCAGGCTTTTTGCTGGTTAAGCTCAGGACTCGCGCAATGGCCGTTATGTAAAACCAGGTGGGAGCACGTTGAGAGCCGTAGTAGTAGTATGAGGCCTTGGTTTAAATACAGTGAAGCTGCAAGTTCAACAATTTGGGAATGTTGCAGCAATTTAGGAATGTATAATTATGCTTTTATTTTACATAGCGTCATTCATGCTAATAGCATCCAATAACGCTGTATATTAATTATATATGGAGACCAAATCCCATTTACAGCACTACCAAGCAAATGAAAACCCTACTACTGCAAAGCTAAATAAAAAAAAATGAATAAACAAATTTAGAAATGGCACCAAAACAAAGAGCATAAACAGTTTATCACAACAGAGAAATTAGTCCATTCAATCACATCCCACGTTTGAGATTTTAAAAAAAACTTATCTTGCGTGCCTTATTTTAATGTTACTATCTACTTTTTGCTAAGCATAGGTAAGGCCTGCCATTGTGATTTTGATCAAGGGACAGGCTCTGGGCGATGGTTATGATGGCATGCTAAAGGGACCGCATTATGGTCAGACTTGTTATGGCTGTATTTAGTTAGTCCGTATCGTACTGTAAAGCCTCGGCTTGTTTTGGTTGACAGGCTTGTACATTTTATGGCTGGGCGATAAGGTTGTTATGGTCCTGGCTTGGCATTTGGATTACGGCAAAAAAAGTCCTATGTAACCAGAGTTGTGGTTTGCTTCACGATGTGTCTCTTTGTGCATGGTGTAAAATTATGACGCATGGTTGATGGATTCACGATAGCATCGTGTGTGTGACACTCTCCTGGCAGGAGATCGGGTGCCTTTTTAAAAGGCAGTACAGCAAGTAGGTTTAAGACCTGTCTTATATGGCCTTTGTGTGTCTTCTAACGTATATGGGTTTCTCAGGGTATTCTTGTTTCCTTCCACAAGTATAAGTACTGTGCGTGAGTAATAATTGCCCAAGTATCTCGCGTAAAGCAAAAACCCCTGTAAGAATGTGAGGCTTTTTCAGAAGCAATAAACCAAAACATCCGTATCATTTACAGCAGTAATAAAACATAACACAGGACATTAAAATGTGAATCGTTTTCTTATTCTGATTCCCATCGCACTGTACCTAAATCATTTGCTGTGTTGATAAAACTTCCATTGTCAGTTTATTTTGATGCATAAAAAAACTGCTAAGTCTGTAAAATGTAGATGTCTTCCTTTGATTGCCCAAAGTTTTAAGTAGATCTGAAAAAGTCACAACATAATTGGAAATGTTCCCAATTTGTTTTTCAACGGGAAATATAAGTTTCCAATGGGCATTTCGACACATTTTATTTAAAAAAAAACAAATTTTTAAACGCAGCATAATGATGTTTTTTTCAAATGCCACTGCCCGATGCATGATTGACCTCACTACTTGGAAAGATGCCAGACGTAGATGCTTTCGCGGTGTGTCCAGGTTGTACCGCGTGTTGTTTCGGCACGGGCAAACGCCCAGAACGTGGTAGCGAAACGTCGGACATCCCGCCAAACAACACGTGGTTCGGCCCAAAAATCACACGGTAGGGCATTGTAAGTTTTAATGAAAAAGAATTGGTTTACGGTTTTTTTTTTAGCGTGGAGCCATGAGAACACAGGGGACGACTTTTGTACTCAACGGGACGTTAGGATTTAAATTTCGATTTAAAGCTTTCGTGACTGCAAGGATTCATCTTCTTTGGTTATTTCGGTAAAGTCACGTAGAATGAGAATAAAATAATAAATTGATAAAATAAAATAACACAATAAAATTCTCAAGACGTTTCGGCCACAACACAAGCGCTTGTGTTGTGGCTGAAACGTCGGGAGAATTTTATTATTTTATTTGATCAATTTATTATTTTATTCTCATTCTACGTGACTACCGAAAGAACCAAAGAAGGGGACGTTAGGAGTCGAGTGTAAGGCTTGCAGTTCCACACCAACCAATTGGAATCATTGTTTTTTGTTTCACGTTTGTAAATAGCACTCGAAATGATAACCTCATTGCCCACACAGTGCCTCAAGTCTTCGTTGTAAATGCGATTACGTACATATTTAGTTGTACTCGTGAATTACAACGCAAGTACAGTTTCTGTTTGTTGTTTGTGTTAAGCCAAACCTAAATTAATTTGAACATTTCCTAAAACGATTTAGTCAAAGTGGTGTGAACAATTGCAGGGCTGTAGCTATCCGTAAAACTTGGCCTTTAACCAGGTTTATAAAAAAGCTGGACGCCAATGATCCTAAAAATAATTGGAATTGAGTTTCGAGTCTTCAGGGGAGAATGTAGTTGATGGAACACAACATAATTTTGTTGGCCACAAGTGTTGCGCGATTATTATTATGCCGCGGTTAGCTTTTAAAGCAGCTTTGCTCTCTCCGCTTGAAAATTGTAACGAAAACAGTTGTGATGTGCGAACGTATACCGCCAAATGTGTAATTGTGAACGTTACATCGGTATATATTTACATATTTGTTCTATTCCAAGTTGTCACGTGCTACGTGGTATGTTGCTGATGTATGTGGTGTCCACCTTAACTTATTCAGTTTTAATGCTGCACTGTAAACAATATTCTGCATTGACTTTTCACCATGTGTTGATGCTCCTATATTGCGACCTATTTAGACGATCACATGGGACGCGGACAACTCGTTGTACACGCGATTGAATAAGTGGCACAGAACTGTGTATTGATTTTAGGGGTTTTGATTAGTTAAAAAAATTAAGTCAGTGCCATCCACAGCCTGTTTATAAAATGTTGATTGCCCTATAGATAACGCAGGGCTTGAACTCAAAACATTAAAGGGGCTTGATTTTATTGTTCTGCACACTTCATTTTAGCGTGCATTGGATTTTCTTAATCATTTATTTTCCATTGCAATGTTTATTGTCTGGGTTGACTGGTGTTTGGAGCGAAGCGCCAGTCTATCGAGAAAACCCCAACGATTTTAAATTAATCTCGCGTACAAATGCAAGTGCATCTTAAGACCGTTTCCAAACAAAGTGACGAGGGGATGATGGGGTAAACTTTGGGTTGTGCAGCGTAAACTCCCATCGGCGGACAGCCGCGTCGACGCACGGTGACGTTGGGATTGAACGCTTACGGTTTTTTTGTGTGTTCCGACTTTCACCAATCCGTTACCCCACTCCACAAAGAAACGCCTCTGAGCAAAAAGCAACAGCCCTGGAATGAGAACTTACACGGCTGCCCGTCGCCCCCTGTGTCTTATTCAGTGAATGTACTTTATCTGCCTCGGAGAGCGCAATGGCATCAGAGACTCGTGCCATTCTCTGACGCTTTTATAAGTTCATGCCATCCGAATTGAAGATCACGTAATATGGGTTTCATGCATTTAACTAATCAACCTGTTGACTGCCAAAAATAACGCACGATACACGTTTGTTTAGCCGTGTTACCAAACCCAGGGGCTTGAATGCAAACATACCTTCGCAGTTGTGTTTTTTGTTTTTTTGTGTGCACTTACACAACATCACAGTTGAAGAAGGGAACTAGTGGGGTGCAAATGAGAACTCCTAAAAGCACAACCCACCACGTCCCTCTTTTTTTATTTGCCGTGTGCTGGAATGTTACGTGCACAGGATAGCCTGATATAGGTATCGGTGTATAATAAAAAAAAATGTTTTGTATTTTTGTGCAAATTTAATTTGTGGCAATGTTAACTATCAATGTTATACGGTATACACTTTAGCTTTTGTAAAAGTTATTTTCAATAGAGGCATTTTACTTAGCCAAGCTAAGTTTCTTCCCATATATTTTGTTGGGCAATGTTATTAATCATATAAGGTATACCCTCAAATTAACAATGCCCGTATTTGTTTCAGGGATTATTGAACTGATAAACATTTGGAATATTGTGAAAGTTTGGCTATGTTTAAATGGCCTCTATCCTTTTGCTGTGCGCGTGCACCACCGATGTGACAGGGGCAGAATAACACGAGGGTTAAAAATACATCTTAATATAATTCACCAGTGCCACGTAGCCGTTTGCAAATAGCATTCGGTACGGCGGCGTCATTTTCAAAATATCGCCCACGTGTGCCGTCCCTTCAAAGTACTGGATGGGATCAACGACATTTTTAACACCCTTGTCAACAACACTGTCTTAAAATAGTGTTGCAAGGCGGTGTTATTGACGAGTGGTTTATATATATCAATATTCATGGATGAAAAGTCATGTTGTGGCACATCTTAGCTGTGTGGTGGATGGGGTTTGAACCGTGCTATGGCATCTGGATACTCTCAGGCTCGTTTGCAATCTGTTCTGTCACCTGAATGTCTCGACACATTTAGCGAGTGTGGACTTTAAATGCCTCCAAGCATTGCAAACATCACTGTGTTGAAACCTTATGTAAGGTAGCAATACAGTTATTTGCAACAACAAACAGGAGGCATTACTTTGATTGTAACCCTCAATTTCGCTTTCATCAATGTGTGGCTTTTTAAACGAATGGAAACCTCAATAAAGCTTGTTTTTAAAGGTGATCTATACGTTGTGGTTATCAAACGTCTGCACTTGATGTGTATATACTGGCTTCTTCTTTCGTATGGCTGATGTAGATGCAGAGCAACAACTACAATTTCACATTCAGGTTGGTCAAGCCAGACAGCCGCGTCACGAGCAGCGGAGAAGTGCTATTGCCGTAATGTCTCCGTATTTATGGATCGTGGCATTGCGTCGTTATATGTTGTATCGTCTGTTATGGATGACCACAACTGCACACAAATGGAGGGTTTTTAATGTGTCCATTTGTGCATCAGGTATCCGCATCTGCCATGGCTTGTGTGCGGATGCGGTTCAGGGTGGACCGTGAGCTTCATGGAAGATCAAAACCGAGGAACTATTTGCGTAGGATCTGCTGTGATACAAAATGAGACAGCATCTGAAGACAGCCCAGACAACTCCGTGTAATTTTATTTCGATAACAAAACACTTTCCAACATTAAATTACCTTCTGGGGTATTCAATTTGCGATCACGAGGTTGCGTTTTAAGCCGCACGAGATGATGCCACTTGTCATTACGACGAGAGGGGACGTGCTCAATGCCGGGGTGGATCCTTTGTCTTGGGTGGGCAACCTACTTGAACATTTTGCCAGTTTCGATAGGGCAAGTCGCGAACACATACGAACGCCTTATTTATATTGGAGTATATTGTATGCAAGTTATCATACCCCCGGCGTTACGGAACTAATTCACGACCAACGAACACGGCTATGCAAATCGGCTTCTTTGAATATAAACCAAAAGAACTTGCAGATTCGCTTATCAAATTTTGCCTCTGCTATAGGATGCAGTGACCCCATTGGATTTCAAATTCACATACATTACTGTACTGGGCTCTGTAGATAAAAAAAAAAGAGCAGCTGTTGTGAGCAGCAGCCCAGGATCATTGTCCTCGAGCGACTGGCAATGGGAACAATTATTTTCTTGAAACATTAAATGTCAAGATCACAGACGTAGGGTAGCAAAGGTGGTCACCGTGCCGAGTTTGTTGCATGAGAAATATTGATTCAAGTTTACCAGTGTTCGACAATGTTTTGGAACAAAATAAACTTGTGATATGAAACATCTAATGGAATGACGATACTTACATTTTTATTTTACCAAAGCCTACTGAGCTATTGGCTCGATTAGCCACACATGATAGCTCATCGAAGTGGCTGATGCCATCGTGGGAATTTTATAGTACGCCAACTAATCTTAACGCACGTTTCTAAATGTGGAGGAAAAATCCGGAGGGACCCTGAGAAAGATCCACGCGAACACGGTAAGAACATACTCCAAATACAGTATACAAAGTGTTAGGGTCGGGATCGAACCCACAACCTATATACCAAGCGAGGGGAGACACCTCATCACCCCGGCACCCCATAAATAGGAAGTGTGTATAACAAAAATCGTTATCATACCTATCGACCCATAGTTAACTCGTATTCTTGTACAGGGAAATTGAGTTTTCAGGTCCATACGGCGTACAGCCGCTTCAACACGGGCAAAAAAAATGTACAGTAAAACCTTGGATTGCGAGTGTCTTGCAAGACGAGCAATTTTTTTAAAATAAGTATTAAATTGATAAACGAGCGAGGTCTTGCAATACTAGTACGAACATGATTTGCCGAGCGTCACGTGATCACAAGTGATATACGAGTGCTTTGGATTACAAACACGTTTCCGGAACGAATTATGCTCGCACCCAAGGTTTTACTGTATTTGTTTGTGTTTCTCCCTTGTGATGGGATTTTGTAGGATGAACGTTGAGATTTGTAAGGGGGCACGGGGTGACCAATAAGGTTTGAATTGGTCTGTAATAAGGTAAGCACTGATAAGGGTTTGACAGGTATGCGGTAAATACGCCAAGATTAATGCCCATGGTGAATACTGGTATGTAGCATTGCCATCCCAAGTGGAACCTACCAATCGCCCAATTGGCTCATGAGCTGCCATGGTGTCCTCCCGACTTTCGTCAACATTGAGTGCCAATGTGGCTGTTACGTCACGAGACGGCGCTATGGTGGTGCACCTAAAAGACAATTTCAAATGCACGTTTCATTCTGACTTTAAATTACTTTAGCTTCATGGAACTTCAAAGTCACGTCAGAAAAGGCAGCAGGGCAGTCCTGGTGTGTACTTACAATAAAAAAACAGCTGTTTGTTTTACGAGTTGAGTTTTCCTCAAGTTAACAAAAGAACGCCCGTTATAGTGGCGCTGAACAATACCACACGATATTTATTCAACAGTACGATCCAATAAATATTAATAAAAATATTTACGACGAATGTTCTTTTAATGCCTTATACTTCAGCATTAACAACTCCTCCCACACAAACACTCGCAAATGCAGAGCACATCACGCTGCATTGGCTTGCGTGACGAACCACCCCGCTACAAGGCGACTAATCACAAATGAGATGGCTTCTGCAAATAAAATTCCTCCCTTAAAAACAAATAAGCATTAGCAAGGCAGCCGGTACAAGACTGACATCATACAAATTTGGACCCTTAGAATGTATGAACTTTCGCACCATACGTATCCAACCGTGCTAATCGGGGGAAATCACTTTGCATGGAATGACTTGTAGTCCATGTAGAACTTCTTTTGCACCGTACGTAGCCAACCGTGCACCTACTTGCCAGAGCGCGACAAATAATTATTCGTGCTATGTCACAAAAACGGTTTAATTTGTTATGCCGCCTACTAACTACGTGGGACCAGCAATGCAGCACTGGCTATGCCGTTATCTAAGATAGTAGAGTAGACATAAATACATGACATCCTCATTACAAACTTTGGGTTACCCCTTACAGGTTGTATAGGTTTCAGATGGGAATCTTTATGTACTAGTTGCACCTCGGTGAACAAAAGAATACCACGAATCCAGAACCATGTCTTGTCTATCAAGCGAAAATAAAAAAAAATGTTCATATTTTTTCGTGAACGTTTTTACAACTGTGTTTGGTATAACGTCATGAGATGAGGTATCAAATCATTTTCTGTCGCAGGCCAGTGGACGGTCCATAGAAGCGGGTATCAGAGAGCTAACTCTGAGGTCCCTTCAATCGACACAGGAGGGGAAAGCACTTCCCCACCCGCCCTGAAACAGAACAATGTGCAGAGCATGACAGTGCAGCTCACGTATTATTAAACTTCAGAGCTGAAATAAAACCAACTTAAGTACAAACCTAAATGTTATGCGATTGTGTTAGTGAGCAGTAGTTGGTGAACGAGAGATTAACTCATTGCACTTGAGGATCCAATTGATACAACGGCAGCTGTCTGAATTCAACCTACGACCCTCAGCAGTGTCATCTCTCAGCATTCTTGAGGACCCACCCTTGCCCCTTGAGGCTCCGCCGTCTCCTCTAGGCTCCGCCCCTTTCTCGACACACAGGCTTGTACGTTGAAAGCTGCTTTTTCTCTGCACGAGACTCGGCAACTCTGGGCCACACCAAGTTGATTTGAGTGAGAGACTGCGCGAGTGGGTAGTGGTGGGGGTTGCAGAGGGGTAGTGCGTTTGCGCAGCAATTTAATAGATAACAGAAAATAACCGTGACTTAAAAGCTTTCGTGACTGCAGGAATTCACATTCTTGGGTCTTTCAGTAAAGTCACATAGGTTCAAAGTGAATAACAAAAAACTATGACGTTCCGATCGCAACACAAGCAATCGTCATCATTCTCCTGATCATTCTCCCGATGACGATTGCTTGTGTTGCGATCGAAACGTCGTAGTTTTTTTTCTTATTTTTGTTATTTTCTTTGAACCTATCTACGTGACTTTACCGAAAGACCCAAGAATAAGAAAATAACCGGCACAGATACTTTCTTTTGTGCTTTCGAGCTGCACCACATGTTGTACGCGTGATTTCGGATGACTGCCTCCACGTGCCAGGAGCTTCTTCAGAATCCAAACTGAGTCTCTCACTCCCAACCTCAATTACGTAGAACCGCTGCTGCTGGTGTTGCCGATTGGTTCAGCTCTCTGACATGTAGGCTGGCCAGGGTTCATAGTTTTCCCTGTGGTCTACATAGCAAACCAAATTGTCAGTTGATTCATTCAAAGGCAGGGTAATGCATTTTACACGAAGCTCTGGCGAGCCTTGGTAAAATATTTTACGAGGTCCCATATTGCAACGATGTGGCATAAATACTTTTAACCATGGAATTCTCACCCACCCGGCGTGATGTTCAGAGAAATCGGCACAAACGGTGAACTGGGTTGAGCGACTGCCGTGCGTGATTGCATCGAGGCTCCAAGATGTTTCTCGGCGTGGTCGTGCAACATGAATGAGAGAAAGCCTCTGCCACTTTTTGGGAAGCTAGTCCGCACTGTTCTTCGTGGTTGAACGCGATGAGAACGTCTCCGTGGAACACGGCGCTGTGCTTGCCCTTGTATTCTGCTGTACGCACAAAAACAAAAAAAGCACAATGCATCAGTCGCATCGCATTGGCATGTTTCAGTTTCATTTATTTTGGTATAGCCCTGTGAGCCATTCGGCTCTTGAATCGGGTGCAACCGCAACAAACAAAAAACAAAAACATGAACAAGAAAACATCTTAAAGTGACTGTGACTATATGCAAACAGAAAAATCCAGGAAAAAACAGCAAAAATCTTCCAGAAAAAGCACCGTACACCAACGCTGTGTGCAAAATTCCAGTGGGATGCAAGTCAAACAACAACTACAGAGAGAGATACACAAAGCTACTACTGTTTGACTGTATAGACCAGATGTGGCCAAGGATCCTAACCCTATGAGCCGCACGTCAAAGTCTTCATATGGCAAACGAGCCACAAGACGCTGACCAGGTCACATGAGGTGGTCACGTGGGCATGTCATTTGTGTCGGTCATGTGGTAGGTTCACTCGTGCTGGTTTGGTGTAAAGTTGGAGGTAAAACATCTGCAGGAGCACCCCAGGAGTGAAACTAAACTATACACAATCTTTACTTTACCAGGTAAGGTCCACCAGTGTGAAGATATTTAATATGAAGATATTTAATATCTTCACACTGGTGAAAGGGTTCCATGGTTAAAGGGTTATAGGGTCGATAAAACGGGTACCGCCTTGTGAAAAATGTAACCGTGATTATCTTTTGGATGGACTTGCGTCCATGATCACAGGGATACCCTCTAGAGGGACTGTTCCTCCAGTGGACCCCCTCCGCTAGCAATGGCGTGAGCAAGTAATTGCAGGGCTGCACCTTTGCCTTGACCTCTCAGCACTGCAAACAGGAGGTGAGTACCGCTCCATGCCCAAACAAGCATTGAGCCACCGGGCAAGGAGTTGGATGAGAAACCCAGTGAAAACAAAGCCACGTAGAGACCACAGACGCACCGAATTCAATGTCACCGGCCAATCATCATTCTTCTCCTCCTCCTCCTCCTCATCCAATATGATGATTTCCTCAGCGGGGTCCTGCCGCGCAGGAGCGGGCGTCCACGGCGCCTCAGCTGGCCGCCTGCGGTATGGGGCGAGTGGGCAGTCGCGGCGGCGGTAGAAGAGAAGGTAGGCGTGACGCGACATCACCTGGCTCTCGTTCACCATCGTCACCGTGCTGTCGTCGAACCAGCGCCAGCCTGCTCGCGACACGCGACGGCAGCCGTGTACAACCGCACGCTCGCGTCCACGTGAGGCCAGCCAGAGTTACAATGCACAGAGGGCACAAGGTAGAGTTGCAGCCATTTAACACATAGGCTTTCACGACCAATATTAATAATTAAGTGTTTTTGGGTTAGATCGCGTACATATAAATGTGTCGTTAACCAACCACCACCCGACACAGCCAATTATCGGCGTGTTGGAGAGTAAATCCACAACATTTGCAATGTGAGTACGACGTTTTAGTTGGTGGCAAATCGTCTGTTGAAGCTGGTTGTAAATGTTGTGGGTTTACTCTCCAGCACACCAGTGTGCTCAAGTAGTCACTAATTGGCACGTTTAGTTTACGTGACAAACCTTACCACTTGGCTGTGCCGGGTGGTGGCGGTTTTAACGACACATTTGCATTTTCACGATCTAACCCAAAAAACCTTGCTTAGGAGTTGCCGCCGTGCAGTTTCTTGCGTATGCCACCGATGGTGGAAGGGTCTACACTGCAGGGGAATGCTACGAGAGAGCCCTTTGTAGAGGGAATATTTGGCCTACTATTCCACTACCTGCAATGCACCCATTCACACTGCTGGGAAGGGGGGGATTTAAGAAAATTGCAGGACATAGAATCGAACCGGCCGAGTTCTGGATTGCAAGTCTCCCGTGCAGCTAACCATAACATTACACCACAGCAGCTCCATTTTATAGATTTATGTAACCAGCAGCATCTCTACAGGAGGTGGCATATAATTATAAATGTTGCCTACGTACGGTTGGCCCGCACCTCCGATTGGCACGGCTGGCTGCGTATGGTGCGAAAGAAGTTCAACATACACATGTAAACAAGTAGAAAAATTATGACTTTGGAATCGACGTACCCATGTCACTGCACTGGCTGTTGCGGGCACAGGGCAGCCGTGCGTACGCCGTGTAGTGTCCACCGATGAGGCCCCCGTAGTGGTTGATGGCGGCGTAGAGGTCGTAGACCGCGGCCCCACCGGCGTCGCCGCCGGCACCCCCAGAAGCCGCCTCCACGCAGAACTCGCTGAGGTCAAGACCCCTGGCGGCACGGAGATGGGGTAAGGAAAGCGACGCTTCCTTCGTCCCCTTCTCGCAGCTGGGACAAGGGGCTGTTGTTGAGTGTGCGCTGTGACCCCCCCCCCCCCCGCCTGTCTAACGCCAAGGGCATCAAGGAGATGAAATTTGATGTCACCACTTTAGACAGCAAATTAGTGAGCACGGTAATTAATAGTGCAATGACAGTGGTGGGGGGGGGGGGGAGAAGAGGTTAGAAAGCAAACTGAGAGAAAATCGTCTGAAACTGGAAGATACGTTGAGAAAGCTTAGGAATATAAAGCCATGGGAGATGCAGTGGTTGGGTTTTGGATTGCCTCACCCCTACCACAGTAATGTGGAATTTAAATAAAATGCAATGGCTCAAAATCAGTGGCTTGGGGGATGTAAAAGAGATGCGCACCCCTCCAAGCTCGTTTGAGAGGGAAGCTATGATGGTCATACTGTGAAATTCCCCAAGAGTTAATTTTGAGATTAAGTTTCATTCCGATGCCGAGTCGACCTAGAGAAGGCGCCCAGGACCGGTTCAGATAACCCTCACTGGTGTTGGCCATGATCGAAAATCCAACTCGGGTCGCCGAGTTTGAAGCACATTAAATCACACAACTACGCACACGCAACCTGTCGAAAACATCTGAAAAATATAGGCCAGCATATCGCGATTTGGTTCTGGCTCAGATCGAGCAAATTAGCCAGTGGGACACTGGCCATACCGCGATGGCCCTGCGCGGGTACGGCTTGGATGTGCCAGTGGAAAAGCAGCAGACACAAGTGGCTTACCGGATAGGGAAGGTGACCAAGTTGGAGATTTTCTCTCGCCACACGGAGCTGCAGAACGAGAAGCGTTTGAGCTGCACAACGAGCACGGGCGGCAACCGCCACAGCATCAGTTGCTTGAGTGCCTCTCTGGGTTGCTCGCACTGGGGACACAACCTGCAATGACAGCGAGACGCGGAGAAAGGGGCAGCGGTTACAGCTTTAACGAGGACTGCGTAACCGCCAGACACAGACACTGGCCAAGCAGTGGTGTAGTCGGCGGTGGACGGTGACATGGGGGAACAGTAGCACAATTGCTGCTTGCTGCAGAGGTTCACGGCTCGAAGGCAGCGTCGGTCGCGGTTAAGACTGCGGTTGTATTTGCCCTTTTCCGTTCCGAGACGACTGAAAGCTGCAGGGTGGGTGTCCCGTTAACCGCTGATGTCGTTCGTGAGTGTGGGGTGAGGAGTCTGGCTGCTCCGCGTTGTATCGCTCGTCCCGTGCATCAAGTTATCACAAGGTGCCAGGAGACAAATCCGAGGGAGGGGTGCAGTACAACAGCACGAGGATGGTGACGTCGATAACGTGCACGCACACCCTCATCAAACCCCAGGTCGACCCGGTGTACACGACAAGTTAATCCTTTCCCATTTCGAGACGTCTGACAGCTGCAGGGTGGGGTCCCGTTCACCGCTAAATCTTGGGACGCGTAAGCGGTTAGCGTTAGTTTTATTTAGAGAGGCATAGCGCCGTTGTTTTTAAAGACATTGTACTCACCGCAGAGAACTGTAACGACACGGCCGCACTCTATGATAGCTGGTGCCAAACTGTGTCACATGCCCTCTCACATTGCCTTGTGGGTACCTCGTTACCGATAAAGTAATTTTATATTTTCTTCCGCTTCCGTTCACATGACGTACACGCATGTCATCAGAATGGGAAAGGGTTAACAAAGAGAACACTACGTGCCATCCGTTTCACAGTGGACGTTAAATGTCCCACGACGATATAAAAAAAAAACTTTAGGCCATGCGTGTCGTCGGTGTCAGTCCAGATTTTCCAAATTTGAAACTGCTTGCAAGTGAACTAATTGGGAAAAAAACATAGCAACATCGCCCCCTACTGTGAAAAAATTGCAAACAAAACAAATCTGTGAAACAGCGCCATCACGTGATAGCCTGACGCTATAAGAATGTCATGAATACCAAATGTGCTCATCTAACAACGATTTGAATTCGAACTATTATTACTTTCTAAGAATTTAAAAGTGGTTGTCCTATGCTGCAATTGACCCCTGGCTAAAGAAATGTGGAATTTCCACCAATGACTAAGGGCCATGAATGTAGATGAGCACTGCCCGATGGATGTTTAAGCAGGGAAATCCAGACATAAAGATTGATTTATTCAATCTGAATGTATGTGGTTATGTGTACAGGCCTTCCTTGGATCTTGTGAAATAGCGTAATTCCACAGCGGTGCAGATACAAGGCTTGGAATCATAATGCAAATGTTGGGCCGCGGAGGTTTCCAGTCTCTAGCCCAGGATTAGAGACTTGGTGGGTTACAATTTGGTTCCTTCACCGCATCGTGCGCAAGTGTAGTTGTACATTTATTGAGTGGGTGGAGGGTCTGATTATACCTAGTGATTAATGGCAGCAACTACTGCTGCTACAGCTGTGTGTGTAGAATCAAATTTTCAAAGTGTGTAGACTCAAATGTTCACACAGATGAAGTCATGAACGATCTCGTCAGTGTAGGGGAGCCAGTGGTGTAGTCGTAAGAGCATTGCACTATAATCCTGGAGCACGAAAGTTTGAATGTCTGAACCAGTTCTGGACCTTCCCTATATCAGCTCAGCCTTGAACCTGTTGTGTTGTGTAAACACCAGCACTGGGCAGAGATATGCCAGGTGTGGCACTGGCTACAACATCCTCTCATACTCCGTACTAGGCTTCATAAGTGCTCGCTGCCAACACACATGTTGAAGTAATTTCACAACGTACGTGGCCAAACAGCCCGTGTAGGCTCTACAGGGGATCTATGCCGTTGCTTTGCATATGTGTGTGTGTGTGGACAAACCAGGCTTCCTCTGGCGTGAGCGTCTCGGGCTTGGTGAAGAGCTTTAGACAGTGGTGCAGGGAGGTGGGCATTGAGACAGAGTCTTTGATGTCCCTGCTACTCGCGTGCTCCTGTGGAGAGTAGTGCACAGGAAGCCTTTACGATGGGGTTGGGGAGCACAAGGCCTTCCGGGTTTGCCACCTGTCCTGCTTTACCCAGGATTTGTCCTATTTTTGAGATAGCCATCCTGGAAAATCTGTAAATCTTCCCAGGAAAATGAAAAGTTAAAGTTTTTTGTCAATTGTTGAATAATGGTTATATAACACTACTCAAGACAATTCACACACACATGCAGTTCCCTCTAACGATTGTGATAAAATTCCTCTTCCCATGATGTGTTCCAGTCTTTTGTAACGCAGAGGTGGCAACCCTATAAAGTCTGCAACTCAACAGAATCCTAGAAGGTGATGCAAAGAGAAATGCGTGCACCACCTCTGTGGGCAACTCCTCGTCGCAGTCCAACTCCCGTGGCAGAACCATCACGTGGCCCTGCTGCTTGCTATCGTTGTTCCAGTCCATGGCCAGCTGGGCGCCATCAGGGATGTCCAACAAGGAGTCTCCTGTACAGATCAGATGCATTTCAGCATAGTGGTTATTATCGTGCTCTTTTAGCCACTAACCCCCTGCCCTCTGGAACTCCGTTCCCAGGCATTTTCCCCACAGTCCCCCTACACTCCCTCCCACCTCTCTCTCTGTTTTCAAGGCTCTCCTCAAAATCTTATTCTTCAACCGTGCGTTCGGGCCGCCTTCATTGCTTCCTTTCCCTCCTTCAGTCCATGAGCCAGAGCAGAATTTGCTACCGCTAGAGATCGCACATATGTTGTATACATGTACGTTTAACTTCTTTCGCACCGCACGTAGCCAACCGTGCTGATCAGAGATGTGTGCAAAGGGCAACAAACTAAACACAAAAGCAGTTCTAAAGAAACATTTTTCAATCTAGATTTAAAAGTGCATAACTGCATTCCAGACGGCCGCAGAAGCATATTTGAAAGCCCGCGATGTAGCGAGCATCTTTGTGATACCCATTTCTGCATGTGGCTATTAAAGGTGGATTGTGATGACATACTTACAAAGCAAGATTATGGCATAATTCGCTTTTTCTTAGCGTTTCATCAAAAGTTGGTACAACTCAAGATATGCCATCATCAGATGGTACCAACAAATAAAATATTTTATTTGGGTTCATGAACTACATCCCTTGCTCAGTCCCTCCCGTTGGTCGTGTGCAGTCCGGCGTCAGAGCCATCTGTTACATCATGGGCGCATCAGCAATGCACGCAGTTGTGTCGTTGTCACTAACGCATTTCTTAAACGAGAATCGTTAGATGTATTCAGGTGGCTCAAGCAGCTAAAACCACATCTGAGCACAGAGCCAGCATCGCTGAGAGATCCTGGATTAAAAGCCAGGCAACTACCCATAATTAAAATCGTTTGTGCAGTGTATCAACATCGATGGTCTAAGTATAGTCACTGATAACTAAACAAAAAAAAATAATGATGTAAAATTTTCTTTGCACTTAATGTGGCTTATTCGATTTCTGAGAATGTAAATTTTCATCTTGACTGCAATTCAATGAACACCCTTTGCACATGTACAGCCTTTTTTTCTTCAATCCACCAATGAAAGAGGGCCTCCTCAGGTCACATGGGTCATGATGGTTGTTTGACGAAGCTTCACCACGCCGGTCAGTGCGGGTTGGTGAAGGAGGGAGGCATAGACGCCGTAAATGGTCACGTACCTCGGTGGTTCAAGGTTTTTTCCACGTTATTTTCAATGACCTTGATGGAAAACTGTGGTGTCCAGCCCTGCCATGATTTGTCCTGCTGCTGCAGCCCATGAACTGCAGCTGTGGCACAGAGGACAACTGCATCATTTGTAAACAGGGCAGCAAGGAGCGCAATGCCATGAACACATAATATCAGTGACGACAGAAACAAGTAAATCAACTGTATTGTACCTTGCCAGAGTACTGAACACACAGATGTACTGCCCTTTGTCAATCCACTGTCAGATGAGAGCCTCTCTTAACCTTGCGGATCATGGGGGTTACTTTACCATAATTCACCGCACTTGTCAGTGTGAGTTGAAGGCGGGGGGGGCACTGACATAAGCAAATAGATGCAACAAAATTACCCAAAGGCAAAGAAGAGAGCTTTAGCAGCAGAGCAGTCACCAATTCACAGTTGCTGTTTAAAGGTTTTCACACACACAGTATTGTAAAGACGTCATGAGCCACACCTTCAGGCCTCAATGGCTTCTTGGTCCCAGACCCATCCTTTTCCTCTACCCTGGCATGGGGGGACGAGCTCTCAACCCGTGCTTCCACAAGCGACGCCGCTGCTGCCACCCGCTCCTGCATCCTCCTGTGGCCCAATACGTGGCAGCCGCCGCCAATGTCTCGCTTCAATTCGACGCCATCTTCACCTCTCAGTGTCTTGAGCTCGTCTGCCTGCGGATAGTCACTCTGCCTAAATTGAATAAAACAAGAGGTACATTCCAAGGGATGATTAACAAAGAGGTATAACACTATGTAACGCAATTTTTGGTCCTGGGTAGTAAGTGTTATTTCGTAATTGCTAATGCCTAAAAAGTATAGAAAATGGCTATTATTCCCCACTAACTTTACTTTTGTGACCAGGACAGTGATATTTAGAAATTTACCTATTTTCAATGAGAAAACGGGCGAATTTGTGTATTTTCGTTCAAATAAAGTCAGAAAAAAACAACATGTCAATCCATTGCTGGATGAGGGCCTCTCCATGCCATGCGGGTCACGGAGGTTATTTGATCATACCTCACCAAGATGTTCAGTGCAGGTTGGTGATGGCGACGAGCACAGATGTAGGCACATGGAAATAGGGCCTGCGATTCTACCATCAACCAGTAGCTCGATTAGTAGATCATTGGGAACAGTAAAATATTTTAAAATGTAAATATGCATAACCCACTAACCAGTCTCAAAATTATGATGCATGCTACCAGAGTGACTAAGCCAACACCATTTTAACTCGCTTACACCGAAGAACATGGCTGCTGCTTCCGGTAATTTAAAATAATGAGACCTCAGTGCTGCCAGCTTAATGCTTCGTGCCTCAAGATTGGCTTGAAGAGCGGAGAATCCAGCTCCTCCGCCCATTCCGCATTTTCCCACCCGGACTCCCGCTGCTCGCCCCGAGTCGTAGCTTGCGGCCTGGAGGCCTGGAGGCCCTGGCCTTCTTTGTCGATCTCGGACGGCAGTTGCGTCTCCAGGCGGGGTTGCTCCGCGTTGCTCTGCCTGGAGCAGGAAGCTGGCGATGGGGGCGGCAGGGAGACCTCGGACGAAGTGGGGGACGGCGAGCTGTACTCGGGATCTTGGAGGAAGGCCGTGCCGGGCTGAACAGGAGGCTGGAACACGTTCACGGAATACCTGCGCAGGTAACGATCCGCTTCGTCAGTAAGCTAAGCTGATTTTGGCCGATGCATTCGTGTTAAGAGATTAAATCACAAGTACCGAGAAAAGCTCACGCATACGAGAGATGAACACTCAAGGATCCACAAGGTTGGAATCAAGAATCACGATGTATGTGGTTTAACTCCTTAAATGTATTTTTTCTCATTATTGACAACCCATGCCAGACAGTGTGTGACAGTTTTGCAGCTGCAGAAAAAGATATCGGTTTTTGTTCTTGTTGTAGGTTTTTCTCTTCCTTAGAGAGATAAGTAGGTTGGGTAGTTCTTTGATAGCTCACCTTGCGTACGCCTCCATGATCTGTGCAAGTCGGTGAAAAGTAAGCCGAGACTCAGGGATGCTCACGAGGAATGGCAGGCCGATTGCCTCGGGCTGGCATTGACTCTTGTGTTCCACCCAGTGGTTTCTCTGGCAATTCCTACCAGTGAAAGATAGAGATGCAAGACAGAGATTTAAGACATCTGTACAACTGAGGTGTCAACATATTCACCACGAAAGCCCAAACCTGACGCGACTAGTCGCCAGTTTTAAGCACAACAGCACATATTTATGGATAATGATTCACCCCCAGCATAGCTCCCGGGAGGGATTCATAATGATTCAGAAGTCACAATGTAATTCACAAAAAAGGGAACGGTTGGCTATGTGCAGTGCGAAAAAGGTTCAAAATACATACACGTAGAATTTACAGTGGTAGGAATCAAAAGTGATACAATTAACTTCATTATACAGGTGGATTAATCACGTCCATCATGTCTTTTTGCATGCGTGGCGGTTTAATTAGCTGCTCCTGACTTGTCGGGTCAGTGGCTCAACTTACACCTGGCCACAAACATATCTGAAAGAAAACCGATCATTCAAAAGAGGCCATTATATTTGGGTGTCAATTACGAATTTCGAAAATATTAAACATCAAATAAATAATAAGCTTGCCGAATAATCCGTGCCATTTCTCTCGGCAAGACACCCTGCATCTGACAATGTCGGTTACCGATTGGACAAACTGCCAGGGGCAATATTTGACACTTCAAAAAGGATATAGTTTTCCCGTTACTATCTTCCATTCACCACGTCATTATAATACTACGTTCATAATTACAAATATTTCTAAATTCAGACAAATTAAGTTTAGGGTTTGCATTTAGAGAGTACTTAAATGGCTCAGCATTTACAAGCACCTTACACCTCATCTCAACAATTACAATGGCCTGCGGCAGCTTAGCCTTGTGGATCACAGGGGCAACTGTCCCTATGTGGCACAAGGTGAAATAATAATTTAGATTTGTATGGCGCCCTTCAGCAATCAATCTTAAGAGTACCATGTAAGTAAAGGAGGAAGAAAGAACAAGAACCTTGCAAAAAGTAAGACTAAAGTGTACGTAGCACCGGCCTACAAGTGAGTATAGTTTGCTAGTAGGGGAAGACGTTACCGTGTGGGTTTTCTCCAATTAAAACATTTGCAGGTAAATTTTATGCTAGTAAACTTGGACGACAACGCCAGCACACATGGCCTGCTGTGTTTAATACAGTTACCAACAACTCACAAGTTACAATATCCCACGCGGTAGCAATTCATGCAGCGACGCAGCCTGAGGTGGAGAGGGCTCGTCTTCTGGCAATTGGCGCAATGCGTCACGGGCTTGTCCGGGATCTTCCGTCTCTGGACAAAAGGCAGTATTCAAATCTTCGTTTTACTCTTCTGCATTTTCTCCAGCACTTCCAATCAAAAAAACAGTGCAAGGCTTTCGAGTTTCACCACACAAGTCTGCGGTAGTTTCAGAGTAGGGGGGCTACTCATCATTTTACGTCCTCCTATTTGAGTTGTGGGTAATTTTCTAATTTATAAAATTATGGACTATTATTTTTTTCGGAGAATGTAACAGGGTCTTTAACGTCGTGTGTTATTGGTGCAACCCTTCATGTTAGGGAATGGCCCGTGGAAGCGGATATCACAGAGCTAAACTCTGAGATACTCTAATTTGATTCCTGGTCCACACGGTAGGGGCAGCCTTTTCCCACTCGTCCTGCCACAGAGTACTGTTTCCTGGATGACCGTCAAACCCACATTTTTTCACTGTCAGTGATGGAATTTAGCTACGTAAAAAGGCAAGACTACATTTAAGGTGATGGTTTTCTTGTGCAGTCATTAGTGACCGGCATCAGACCATCAACTCAGTTTCATCAAAGGTGGTTTGCCAAGATTAAACCAACGATCTGAGTTGTGTCGTATCAGCGCCCTGCCGTGCGAGCCACTCAGCCACCCACACATCACCAAACCAATTTTCTAGAATACTTATTTTTATTGATGCGATGCGCGGGCCTGATACATCACGTTGTGACGCACGTGCACACTGTCAACATAAGCCAACCATGTAATGAAAAGCAGGGGATATAGACAGATGGGTAACGGTCTCACTGCCCCAAACCATACGGAGTCCCATTGAAGGGGGAAAGGGTAACTTAATTTTAAGTAAGGGGGAAGGGATAACAAGAGGAGAATGGTATAGCTAAAATACACCTGATATAAAGAAATTAAAAACATGAGGCAGCCTAAACAAGCATTTTCTTTCCACCCCTCAGAATCCGGCTCCCGTCTAATCTGCCGTGGGTATGCCCATGATCCTCAGTCCCTGTCTCCCGACCCTCCATCCTGCAAACTTATTTCAGGTGTTGTATGAGGCAGGGAGCATCTGGAATCGAATTCCCCCTCCTTTCCCTTGAGCTTATGTCTCAGACACATGACCACACTTCTTAGCAAGTAGCGTTTCATCTACGTTGAGAATATTGAACCATTGGGTTGGGATTCAGAGGTCTGGGCAAAATGCGCTACCTGCTTGACGGGCAGCACTCGCACCCTCTCGCCAGCCAGCTCTCGGCTGAGCACCTCACAACAGAAGACCATGTCAGACGACCCAACTTGCTCCAAGGAGGTAGTCGCCTGCACGAACCGCTCAAAGCGTGCTTTGTTCACCTGCTCAGAGCAGTCGCAGGCAAAGGTGCAACGTGTGAATCGACCTTGGAGTGCTCGCAGCGTGGACACGGGTGAGGGCAGTGACGTGGCGTGAGCGCAGCCACCTCCGAAAACATTAACACTGCACGTGCATGGACCAAAAATACCACACGCCATTGTATTCACAGTAGACGTTAAAGATCCCGTGACGTCATTCGGAAAAGACATGCCCACGTGTGCCGGCGTCATGGTCCACATTTGGCAAATTTGAGAATAACTCACAATTTACCCAATTGTGTGAAACCACACAACATCGCTCCCTACTTAGAAACTAGTGCAGGTTATACCCATTGGTGAAACAGCGCCTACATGATAGATTTGCGCTATAAGAATGGTCAAAGTGAATTCCTGCTCATCACAGCACTGAGTCAGTGGTGCAAATTCAACAATCCTATGATGGGGGCGAGTCTATCCACGGGATAACCACTGTTGACTTCCCCACAAAGTTGCACCTGTTTAATCGACTACAGAGGAATAAATGGGCTGAGTGAACCCCCTCCAACCAGGGTTTAAAGTCGCTTGCCCCATTGCGGAGCCAACTGGTTGAACTAGCACAACATATTTTATTTACATGAGTTTAACATGGTTGCTATGCAAAAACCCATTAAAATTATTATGTAAGGCAGGGGTTGGGAGACTTGTGTCTCACCACTTGGTTTATGAACAATATTACCCATCACTTCAAGCATCTTAGCTAAACTAATCAGGCAATAGAAGGAAACATTTTCAACCTGGAAACAGTTTCTAACTCTTGTTATAAGACTCTGTAAAGAGAGAGACAGTCAATCACATGGAAGGTCACATGTTGGGAAAACGACTCAGCCCATCATCCCTCCATGTTTGGTACTACCAATGCCAATTTGTGGGAAGGCAGCAATAGCTGTATAGAGCAATGTGATTTAATCACATGATTTAATCACATTGCTGTGACTCACCTGAACCAGCTTTAGGTTGTCTGGGTGCACCTTCATCCTTTCAGCCACGAATTTTATGACATCCGTTCCATGTGCATTCACCTGCCTCACTCTGACCGACAGCTGATGAGATACATTACAATTAAACAGAAGGAATACAGAGGTATGACCCGGTTCAAAAAGAGCATCATCATTATCAGCAGCAATATCCATGATCCATCACCCAAATCTGATGATATACCCATGTCACTCTTGCAAAATAAATCAACCTGAATTCCTGAAGTCTCACCTGGCCAAACTAATAAACCTGACATTATCACGTGGGCTCAGCGGCTCACACAGCTGTCTCCTGTGGGAGGAATGAGGTGCAGCAGTAAAATCTCTCCTTCGTGATACCGCACGGTGACATAAAAAAGGAATGCAACCCACGTGTGTGCTAGTTCATTAGGTTCAACCGTGCAATTGCTTACTCGTGTCTGACAGTCTGTGCTACACGGCCCAGGTGTGTGTGTTTTTTTAGCTCTCTGTCCTTACGTGTGACATGCTCAAACACACGTGACTTGAAAATTAGGACTTGAAAATGGGGACAAACTTGCACAAGTAGCATGTGTACCAATCACATTGAGCAACCGAGTCGTATTGAAGAGTGCGAGTTTGTGAAATCAGATTAATCCCTCCGAGCGGTAAATCATGGTTTAAACACAAATGATCACAGCTATGCTGACTCAGAGTACATAATTGCTGAAAATGCTATGGAACAGCTTATCCGCAAATAACAGGTCCCTGCAGGGTGGGCTGGTAGGACAAGTCTCTGCGCTGTCTATTGCTGATTTTACACCCAATAGCACGAGATTTCACTTCGTTAAAGTATTGAAAGGGGACGGACGGACGGACACATTAATCTATTGCAGGCTGGTACACTCAGTTTACAACTTCGTTCCTACCAGTATAACTAATGCACCCATAATTGATCAATTTCAGACAACATTTATTTTATTATTTCAGACATTACGTGAATAGCTCCAAGTGGATGAAGTAACTATTTTTTTGTGCATTGCTTTGACTCTGTTTTGTACACATGACATTTCGACTGCAATCGCATCTTTATTGAGTAATGACGTGAAACCTTTGTTCTGGCACCATGAGATGTACTGCAAGGGCAGTGAGGTCTAAACATAAAATGACGATGGCCATCGCTACTCGCCAGAGATGGACACGTAATCACATGCAATTTAAATATTTAACATCGTTACATTTTTAAAGGGGTGCCTGGTATACAGGAGGCCGTGGCTTTGACCCCAACCCTGTTGCATGTTCTCCCTGTGGTTGCGTGGATTTTCCTTCGGGTCCTCCAGTTTTTTCCTCCACATTTATAAACATGCGTTTATAGAGTATTCGAATACTATGAATGTCCACGTGATAACCCAACTCCGTCGAGCTATCACTTGTGGCCTGGTCGCATCTGAAAGATAGCTAGATACAGTGAGGGAAAAAAGTATTTGATCCCCTACTGATTTTGTACGTTTGCCCACTGACAAAGAAATGATCAGTCTATAATTTTAATGGTAGGTTTATTTGAACAGTGAGAGACAGAATAACAACAACAAAATCAAGAAAAACGCATGTCAAAAATATAATCAATTGATTTGCATTTTAATGAGGGAAATAAGTATTTGACCCCCTCTCAATCAGAAAGTATTCTGGCTCCCAGGTGTCTTTTATACAGGTAACGAGCTGAGATTAGGAGCACACTCTTAAAGGGAGTGCTCCTAATCTCAGCTTGTTACCTGTATAAAAGACACCTGTCCACAGAAGCAATCAATCAATCAGATTCCAAACTCTCCACCATAGCCAAGACCAAAGAGCTCTCCAAGGATGTCAGGGACAAGATTGTAGACCTACACAAGGCTGGAATGGGCTACAAGACCATTGCCAAGCAGCTTGGTGAGAAGGTGACAACAGTTGGTGCGATTATTCGCAAATGGAAGAAACACAAAAGAACTGTCAATCTCCCTCGGCCTGGGGCTCCATGCAAGATCTCACCTCGTGGAGTTGCAATGATCATGAGAACGGTGAGGAATCAGCCCAGACCTACACGGGAGGATCTTGTCAATGATCTCAAGGCAGCTGGGACCATAGTCACCAAGAAAACAATTGGTAACACACTACGCCGTGAAGGACTGAAATCCTGCAGCGCCCGCAAGGTCCCCCTGCTCAAGAAAGCACATATACATGCCCGTCTGAAGTTTGCCAATGAACATCTGAATGATTCAGAGGACAACTGGGTGAAAGTGTTGTGGTCAGATGAGACCAAAATGGAGCTCTTTGGCATCAACTCAACTCGCCGTGTTTGGAGGAGGAATGCTGCCTATGACCCCAAAAACACCATCCCCACCGTCAAACATGGAGGTGGAAACATTATGCTTTGGGGGTGTTTTTCTGCTAAGGGGACAGGACAACTTCACCGCATCAAAGGGACGATGGACGGGGTCATGTACCGTCAAATCTTGGGTGAGAACCTCCTTCCCTCAGCCAGGGCATTGAAAATTGGTCGTGGATGGGTATTCCAGCATGACAATGATCCAAAACACACGGCCAAGGCAGCAAAGGAGTGGCTCAAGAAGAAGCACATTAAGGTCCTGGAGTGGCCTAGCCAGTCTCCAGACCTTAATCCCACAGAAAATCTGTGGAGGGAGCTGAAGGTTCGAGTTGCCAAACGTCAGCCTCGAAACCTTAATGACTTGGAGAACTGCAAAGAGGAGTGGGACAAAATCCCTTCTGAGATGTGTGCAAACCTGGTGGCCAACTACAAGAAACGTCTGACCTCTGTGATTGCCAACAAGGGTTTTTCCACCAAGTACTAAGTCATGTTTTGCAGAGGGGTCAAATACTTATTTCCCTCATTAAAATGCCAATCAATTTATAACATTTTTGACATGCGCTTTTCTGGATTTTTTTGTTGATATTCTGTCTTTCACTGTTCAAATAAACCTACCGTTAAAATTATAGACTGATAATTTCTTTGTCAGTGGGCAAACGTACAAAATCATCAGGGAATCAAATACTTTTTTCCCTCACTGTAGCTCAGTGAGCCTTACCTGGTCAAATAAAAATAGCAAGATAAATAACGAATTGGCTGTGGATTACACGAGCCAAGGTTAACTGGTTTATTACATCTTCCACAGTTATTACATCTTCCCCAGTAATATGACGTTAGCATGTATTTTGCCCATTCTCCGCTGGCCGCCACGCAAGATGGGTACCTTGACAGGGCGGCGGTAGGGCTCACGGGGCAGGAAGTAAACGGGCAGCACCCGTTGCCTCTGGGGCAGTGGCACCGGCAAGTACAAGAACGGGTCAAACGTGATGGACACCTGCAGCGCAAGCACACAACATTTTATGGGGTAAAGAACCGATACACCAATCAATGTCATCACTTCCTAGCTGCACACCGCTGCCGCTTAAAATGTCAAAGGGTAAAAGTTTTTTTTGTTTATGCTTGGATAAGCGTGCAGCAGTGCTCATCTACAGGTTGACAGCGCTGGTGAAGGGGTGACAATTCCACATTTATATGGCAGGGGTGAATCTGTCCAAAGGAAAACTGCAACCACAAAGTGGTAAACAAGGGACTAAAAAAAATCCCCCAAAAGCATCCCCATTGTAAGCAGTGCTCTAAATAAATTACAAAAATGTTACTTCACAAATACACATCATTTCGAATAACCAGTAATGACATATTTAAACCAAAATGTTTTTATTTTGCACGGACGATTTTTCATTACTTGATCTTCACTGTGATTGTGCACCCTCTGTCAACACAATCCCTTCACATGGCCATTTGCCGTTCTGCCCTCCAACAGGCACTTTTTTTTTGCCCTGCAGTTGGCTTGCCTAAATCACATTTATACATTTAAAAAGACCCCACAAAGTGACCACGTGGAGGTGCGAGTGAGTGTACGTACATGACCACACACTGGGCAAACAAGCTTGGACTTGTAGAGGCCATGGAAGAGGTGTACAATAAAGGAGTCATTCCATGCCTTGTGCCTGGCCCATGCTCGTTCCGCCATGTGCTGCACATAGAAAACAAGTGCCATTCGTTCTGCTTTATATTATATTTTAACGTATGCAGTATTCGTTCAATCTCAGAAAGGTAGATTCAGAGGCGCGGGAAATCACAGACAAGCGAAAAGGCAGCCAGAACTGGTGCCAGACCACTTTCATTCCACCCAAAAATGGCTTTCTCATGGGGCCCAATGCATGAACTTTTATGGCCAATTTTGAAATCCTTTTTAGCCAAAATGTACCAATGTGCTCAACATTTAACATTTTTACAGTATAATGGGACGTCATTTTTGTCATGTACACAATAACACCTTTTCTTGGGTCTTTTTCTCCAAGTTTATTCGGGCCCTGTTATTGGTAACACATCACGAGATGAATAATCCACTTGAATCTCTCCGCGTTGCTGTGGAGCATTATGGGTAGAGGCAAATAAAAACAATTAATTTACATGCAAACATGTTCTTGTCCATTCACCAATTTGCTTTTCAGACCAATATTTTAACACTTACCCAGAATGCTCCAAGGCAATGCAGTAAAAAAAGGTGTAAGTGTCTGGAATCTCCCCGCCACTGTGCACCAGGCAGTGTTTGCGCGTAGTCACTTTAAGATGTTTCTTGTTCATGTTTTTGTTTGTTGCGGTTGCACCTGATTCAAGAGCCAAATGGCTCACAGGGCTATACCAAATAAATGAAACTGAAACTAAATGAATAACACCATGAGTTAGAGGATCGGCAGGTCGCGTGTGGTGGGGTAAAGTGTGGTTACTCTCACCTCCTCCTGTAACAAGTGTAGCCCACGTGAAAGAGAAGGCCATAAACACCCTCTAGAGGGCCTCTCTGGAACTCCCTCTAGAGGAGGCCCTTCCACCAGCGGTGACGAGAGCAAGCAATCGCAGCCCCTGCACCATTGCCTTCACCGAGCGTGACCCATACATTATGAGAAGGCCTTGGTACCTGGTCGGAGAGGCTGCCGTGCGGCTCTGGGTACTGCTGGGGAGTCGGCGTGTTTGCCGCCAGGTTCAGGTCCTCGTGCAGACCGTCCAGCAGGAAGGCCAGAAACTCCTGGGCGTCGTGCTGTGAGAAGCCAGAGAACTGGCTGGCTTTATTCGACACAATCTCCTGTGAGGTAAGCACACACATACCGATCCGAGGCACGGGAACACAACAAACGATTTAAGCCTCGGCCAACGCATCTCCCTAAGCTACCCAATGGTAGACAGTCCTCTCCATTAGGGACCCTGAGGTTAGTGCAAAAATAATCCACATTCCCATGGCAGTACTCAGCCTGTCTTCGAATCAATCGTCTGTTGATTTTAGAGGCAAAACTTGCGATCTCAAAGGGATGATAAGACTGAGTCAAACGCCAATAGGGATATAAATTTGCATCCTTCGCAATGGGAATGTAACAGCCAGGTTATTGCAGCCACTCATAATCCAGGATTGGTCTTCCGTGTAAGGCCACATGTTTAGCTTTTCTTCTTTTAAGCTTGATCCGTGAACTACTGTCGGCATCTTCAGGAGCTGAATATGCTTTGATTGAAGATGTCCACAGTAGTGCATGGCGAAAGCTTGAAAGATTTAATTTAGTTGTTTTCATTTATTTTATTTTACCTACGTGACTTTACCGAAAAAAAAACAAAGAGTATGAATCCTTGCAGTCACAAAATCTTCAAATCTATAATTAAAGCTTGAAAGAAAAATATGTTCAGCACGTAACCTAAGCCAGAAGACAACAGTGTGCTTACCAATGAAAGTCCAGTACTCAAAGTTGCACCGAACTGGATTATGAGTGAAGCTCAGGGACATGCGAGTGTCCCACCTCAAGGCAGTCCAGAGATTGGCAGGGGAATGCTCACCTTGAGCTTGGACGGAGAGAATGCATAGTGGGTCCCTTTCCAAAGGGTTCGAAGAATGATTGCGAAGCTGACAGCCAACCGTCCCCCCGTTCCCAGGACGTTGGAGTAATTTATATCGGCCTTAAATGCCGAGTCTGCTGGTGAGGACAAAACATCAATGATTAAAGCAGCAATAATAATTAAATTAATACAAATAATCAATTGTAAAAAAAAATTGGCAAGTTTGTTATCAACACTGCCTTTATGCGAGTGAAGCCTATGACTAAATCACCCAGGATGCACCTGATCTTGTCATATATCGGAAGCTAAGCAGGTTTAAGCCTGGATAATGCTTGGATGGGCAACCACCATGCCCTACACGTGTTATAGGGTAGGGGTGGATAGTCGAGCAATGGAAATTCCAAGTTGTCACGGCAGGTAGAGTGCTACTGCAATAATACTGTACATATAGAAAACATCCAGCAATGTTTCATGAGTGCTCAGACAGCACGCGCAGTGGCAAACTGAGAGCGTGACAAAAGATCCCCCATCAAGTGTTCGCTATTAGAGAACACCTATGAAGGCCAACGTGGCACACGAGCGGGGTGGTGTGGCCAGCACCAAGCTCGGCCATCTTTGTCTAACAAGTGGCAATGTTTACACACCACACCAGCGACTCATTTGTGGTCGAGTCGACCCAGAGAAGGCCCAGGACTGATTCAGATAATCGTCACCAATGTTGTCTGTGAGCGTGATTCTAACTCGGGTTGTTGAGTTCGTAGCGCAGCTCAGTAGCCGCTACGTCAGTGTTCTTAATTGCAAGGCCCGCGGGCTGCAAGCGGCCCCTGGCGGCCTTTAGTGTAGCCCCTGGCAGCCTTTTTAAGCGGCCCCTGACATACGGCCCCCAACAAAAAACAAATGTGAAGACACCCTCATCATCGTGCTGTCAAACACCAATGGCCCTCACACTGAAGATGTCTTATCAGCGAAGTGGCCGACCTCTGAAAATTAGCGAAGAACACTGCATTCCGCTGACACTCCCCAAAGAGGGTACGACAAAGATGTACCCCCCACCCCCCCCTGCCAAGACCTCAACAGACTTTTTAGGACACGTGTGCAAGATGCAGGCAGCGCGGTCCCCACCGTGCAGGTAGTCGCGCAGCTCGCGCGTGTTGGACAGCGCCTGGATCACGCTGTTCATGAAGCACGTGTTGCCCAGGTTGACGAGCCCCGTGAAGCCCGGCACACACACCTGCTCCGCCTCCTCCCCCTCCCCCCCGCTGCTCGCCATGATGGGCGGAACCTTGCACATGGGCTTAGCCTGGTGGCGCACACAACGCCCGGTCAGCAGCGGCAGCAGACGCGATAGCGGCAGCACCAGTGTCATGCATGGGCTTCGGTAGCAGCACAAGCAGCGGCGCCAACATTAGCAGTGGCACCAGCAGCAGCGCCACCAGTAGTACGAGCAGTTGTACCAGCAGTAGCACCAGCAGCAGCAGTATTCTCAGCACCAGCACTAGCAATAGCACAGGCACCACCAGCAGTAGCACCAGCATAAGAGCAGCAAAAGCAACACTAGTGGCAGCACTGGCAGTAGCACCAGCAGTAGCACAAGCAGCAGCAACACCAGCAGTAGCACCAGTAGCAGCATCAGCACTAGCTCGAGCAGTATTCTCAGCACCAGCACTATCTGCACTAGCACCAGCACCAAGAACAGCACAAGCAACACTAGCTGCAGCACTGGCAGTATCACCAGTAGCAGCAGCACCAGCAGCACTAGCAACAGAAGCAACAGAAGCATCGGAAGGGTAAAGTTTTAAATTAATAGGTCACAACTCGAGGTCTTAGAATGGAAAGGATTCTCATACTTCTTCTTGGTTCTTTCGGTAAAGTCACGTAGAATGGAAATAAAATAATAAAAATAAAATAATAAAATTCTCACGACGTTTCGGCCACAACACAAGTGGCCTTCTTCATGTGAATAAACAGGTCTGTCCAGAAGACAGAGCTTGAATGAACGCTGTCAAGCAAGGACCACGTCTTTTAAGCTTAGAGTCGCGGCATCTCTTCAGAAAGGTGAGAGACTCGATTAGTTGAGCCTTCTTATCCCGGAGTTTGTTGAAGGATCTTAAGGTTGTGTGGAATCCCTCCCCGTAGAGGTGGTTAAATTTCGATTTAAAGCTTTCGTGACTGCAAGGATTCATCTTCTTGGTTTATTATTTTATTTTTATTATTTTATTTCCATTCTACGTGACTTTACCGAAAGAACCAAGAAGAAAAATCCCTGCAGTCACGAAAGCTTTAAATCGAAAATTCTCATACTTGTTTACATTTGGAGTAACATAGTCTGACCAACTGATCGCTTTTTTCAAATGAATGTACGTTATGCTAAATGTAATCCGGTATTTATTGTACTGTGCTTCTATGCATCCCCATCTATGCTGTCCACCTTCACCAACTCGCACTAATCAGCGTGAAAAATGGTCAAATAGCCCCACCACGAGCCGCACGGCATAAAGAGGACCTCATCCACCAGTGGATTGACAAGTGGGCTGTACACGCACACATGTATGTACGTTTAACTTCTTTCGCACCGTACGCAGCCAACCAGGCTAATAAGAGACACACATGTGCACAGTGACAACACTAGCTAATATACTTTTTGGGGAGTGGGGGAAAGGGTTATATCCAAGAGGGGCTGGCAAGGTCTCACCGTGCACGCGGTGGCGGATTCCGATGACTGCGAGGTACAATGCTCGGGGAGGTCGGCGAGAACGTGGTGTGTGGCGGAGCCACGGACGGGCCCAGCAGCCGCCCCCACCGCAGGCGCCGCCTTCCTTGCCTCCGTAGGGCTACGCGGCGGCAGTGACTCTTCGGGTGCTGAAGTAAACACAACAATAACACGACGCACGTACCACCCTCCTTTCCACCGCACGACTGAAGGTGAACCAGAGGGGAGATGTGCCAAGCCAGCCCGGTGCAGCTGACGAGGAACCGGATTGTTGGCGGTGATGCGGTCCGACGGTAGAGCGTTCGCCGATTTTGGAAAGGTTCATGGACTGAAAATGGTAGGCCACCCTGGTTAATACTACAGGGTGTACTAGCTGGAATTTACACACCGTCTGCTTTACAGTAAATGTTAATGGGTACTGTGCCAGCGTCGTGGTCCAAATTTTCCATATTTTAAAAATTACTGAATGGAAAATACACAGAAATCGTCACCACCTACGCCGAAACTTGGCAGGTCCCTCCTGAAAAAAAAAACATCCCGAGGCTTAATATTCAGCCGCTTCCTTGGGTAAACAAGCATTGTAACAGTAGTCTATGCTTACTTTTGCAGAAGGGCTCATCTGTTGGCTTCCAGCGCTGTCCATCCTTCTTCCGTAAGCTGATCTCTAGGTAACTAGTCCGGAGTGTATAGGAGCTCTGCTCAGGATCAATCACGTGCCTGCAAGGAAGAGTAAAGCATTAATGAAGCTCGGTGGCTGAATTAATCCGTAACTGATTTGCAGCTCCATGACCATAGGATACATGGTCAGCAACAAAATCCATTGTTAGTTATCTTCACCAAACCAACACGATGCCCAGAATAACCCAGCCTTCCTGCTGGACGCTCTAAGCAAGGACCTGAAGCCGGTGTGGAACAAAAACGACTCGCAAGCAGTACCCTGAGTTACAAGGCAGCCCCACTGACCACCATGAAGAATCTGGTCACGTGAAATACGGCCAAATAACCTCCACTGCCCACATAACACGCGGAGGCCCTCATCCAGCAGTGGACTGACAAGTGGGCTGTACAACACGATACAATATTACCATGCAGCCATTGTAGCTAGTGCTGGAACAACTGACAGGTTAGGACGATTGAGTGAATATAATAAAACAAATGTAATAATTGTCAGCAGGCACTCTCCCTCTTCTACAGGAAATGCATTTGTGCTCTACGCCACTTGCGGGAAACTCGCAAGCTGCGTTCTTGGTTGGATGTATCGAAGGTGAACAACACAAAGGCACAAAAATTAAGGTGGGGAAGAAAAATCGAACGTGCATTTCGGCAAAATATCTGCCCAAGAGGTGGCTCTTACAAAAGTTCCAGTGTCCACTGGAAGCGGCTCTCGGGTGTGGCGTTTTCATGCTGCTTGAGAAACCTCTCGTCTCTATCGGAACACAGAAATCACAGGTAATGTACACAAGAGCAGTGGCCCAATAAATCAAATCAAATAATTAGAATTCACACTTTTTCTTTCCACCATCTCTTGTAACCAGGCTACATTAAAGTGACGTGTGTACTCTTTATCTAATGCAACTTTGAAAGTGCTGTTTTGTCGCAAGCCGTTTGACTTTTGGCCTATCGGTCCTGTGCTCAGCAATTAGTTAAAATATAAATTCCTACAGCACAAGGCTGTGACGAAGGTGCCACGTTTCACACAGCACGGGAGTGACATTGCCATTTGTTTTTACCCATTTAATTATGCGCAGGTAATTTATACAAATTTGGAACGTGATTCCAGGACCGATGGGCCTCCTCTTCTTCGAATGTCAAGGGATCTTTAGCGGCCCAATGCGAAGTAGACGGCGCGTAATTTATGGTTAATACACAGGCAGCATTAACGAGGATGGCCATTGGCCTCGAACCATAAAGCCCTGCAACAAGCGACAGACTCGTCTTCACTTGGCAATGTCACGTCCAACTAAGTCAGCCTGCACCATCGTTAATATTTTGGCTTGTTGCGCATTGCGCCTGCCACCAATTATCAGGTCATGAGGTCGTTATGCCAGTGAATCGTGTAGGGACACCAGAACTGAGATTTAAAGAAGTAAATGTCCCTCATTTATCAAGGAGAGTCTGCGATTTTGGCAGTTCCTTTTTAATTCGTGTTTTGGATACTCTTTGGTTCTTTCGGTAAAGTCACGTAGGTATAAAATAAAATTAATCACGTTTTGGGAGTAACACAAGCGTCCGTCATCAGGTGGGAAAGCATGGTCTGCTGCTGAGGCAAACTGTTTAAAAGGTTTGAAATGGGTGTAGCATGAGAGTGCAATGCAAAGGACATGTGAGCATGAGAGATCTGAGAGAGGCATAGAGAGAGAGACACAGAGAGTAATTTAAATCTCTCATGCTCACATGTCCTTTGCATTGCACTCTCATGCCTTTGGATTGCACTCTCATGCTCTCATGTCCTTTGGATTGCACTCTCATACTCACATGTCCTTTGAATTGCACTCTCATACTCACATGCCCTTTGGATTGCACCCGTTGGGTTGCACTCCCTCGTCGAGGAGGCCGCTCTCCTCCTTTTATACAGTTACATGCTAATTTCTCACATTAACATCATGCTAATCTCTCACATTAACATAGCCACTTCCGTGCCCTCGTCGAGAAGGCTGCTTTCCTATCTTACAGTTACATGCTAATTTCTCACATTAACATCACTAGCTCCGGCCACTTCTTTATGACCCTTGGGCTCCACCCATTTCTAACTTTTAAAACAGTCTGCCTCAACAGCAGACCACGCTTTCCCACCTGACGACGGACGCTCGTGTTGCGCCCGAAACGTCGTGATTTATTTTATTTTATACCTACGTGACTTTACCAAAAGAACCAAAGAGTATGGATTCCTGCAGGCACGAAAGCTTCAAATCAAGATTGAGTGTTTTGGATTTGAAAAAAAACCCAAGCAAACAAAAATACAACGCTCAGGAGGTCTTGCCATCTCATGGCCCTACCTTGCAACCCAGTGATTTTGGAAATTTCACATATCAACATGATACACCAACCCTCATCTTCAAAATGCTCGATTACAGGCATGTGCCACCCCCACCCAGAATTGTTCTGCTACCACCTTTGTAGAACAGACTGGGTTTAGGAGTTTTGACCGCCAGTATCGAATTTCAGCCAGAACAGTCCAGAATGCTTTCTCCAGAAATTATTTTGGCAAGCCACATCCATCTCGCCTTATTTTGTTCTTAACCCATTCAGTGGATTACAGCAATACTGTACTGGGTACATTGTTAGATTAATATAGAAGGGCAAAACGTTGTGCTCTAGTGGTAGTACCTTACACTGATAATCCCTACACCAATCCAGCCCAGCAGCGATCTGGAATATACGTGAGAAATTAAGCCCTGTTGACAGCAGATTATGATCTCCACGTGATCCACCAACCCTACCCTCGGAGCACTGCAGTGTACTTTCCAGCAACAGCCACGTCGCGCGCGGCAATCAGAATCTTTATTTGGGCTGGAGGAATCCGATGAGCTACGACAGACGTCCAAGTAGGGGCGCGTCAGCAAGAATCGTATCGGGGGACGCACATCAAGCCAGCGGGCAGCTCACCGTGTCTGAAACACCACCGTCAGGTGATAGGGCGAGAACGTGACGCGAAACCGATCGCGCTGCACCTGCTTCAGGTAAACGTTCACCACCATCACCTCCGCGCTCTTCTTGTACCAGTTCTTGTTAATGCTCCAAACACTCACACAGCCCCCGGGCTTGCCCACTGCTCCACGTGACAGGAGGACACGCGCGCGCGAAGAGAGAACGGAACACAGTGCTGGTGAGGCTGTGGCCCAAACTTTCAGTTGCATTCACAGTTTAAGGTTTGGTTTAAAAACAAATGTGTGTCCACATTAGCCACATGTACTAAATTGTTTCTTATTGTTACAGGGTTTAATAAGCGATACACACCTTCGTCAACATGCTCTTTAGAAATATCCGCCTTCAATGATCCCTTGATGTGCACAGGCAAAGGCTGGTAGTTTCTAACGAGACACATCTTGTTTCTGTCCTGTATTGTCGTCTGTCCAGTCAACACCTTCCCCGCAATCTGTAGCAACAAGGGCGGATGGGATTGCATTTCAAAACCATCACGTTAGTTGCATTGCAGGGCAACAGAGAGACATTGCTTCAAAATAATGTGTTTCATATGTTGTATGTTTAACTTCTTTCACACCGTACATAGCCAACTGTGCTAATCGGAGGTGCGAAAATTATATTAATATATTATAATTTCAAAATTATGACAGATAGAAAGAGGAATATGCAGATTAAAAAACATACCCAGGTAAAGGACATAATTCTGTTGATAAAAGAAAGTGGGCTTGGGCAGGAAATCATGAGACCGGCTCTCCGATTATTTAATCAATTACTCTACCAATTATCGGTGGAAATTACTCGACTACTCCGAATGCACAAATCAATAAAGTTTGAAAAAACGAAAGCGTCACCTCTGTTCACAGGTGTGCCACTGTACGGTAGGTGATGAACACGGCTTAGTGACGTAACCTGCATTATCATCAGCCGCGTCACGCTGGGCGTGGTTTGTCGGGGGTTTCGTGCCTTTGAGAGGCAGGGTGTAGGGACGATCATCATTTGTACAGAGGCCCGAGTAAGAAAGCTAGTTGACGAATAATACAGTATTCCTTTGTTATTCACGACGGCTATGTTCTGGAGATGCTTGCGAATGGCGAATTTTGCACATGTTGGCCTCGAAATGACTTACCTTGGATAAATACATCAACAAGCTATTAAATACATGAACAGTATCATTTCTCTCATTACTTTATCTCTCATCACTTTCGCGCATCACATTCTCTCTCATCACTTTATCTCATCGCTTTCTTCCTCTCCCTCGATGCAGTCGTGTAGAGTTCCAGATGCAATTCGCGGATAGCCAAAAATCGCGGATGGCAAGTTTCTTAAATAACGAGGGAATACCACAAACAGCTCGTCCCGGCTATAGGTACTATTATAATTTTGCAGATAGGTGCGAGTCACCGGTTGTTCGTCGGCTGGCAGCTCGTCCCGCTCAGTGGTGCTTGGCCATTTGGCTGCGAGGCTGTCTGCAGTCCTCCAGGGCTTCTGGTTTTTCTCCACATGTCCTGCCTCCTTCCAGAGGGCAGCAGCCTGTTCCACTAAGAGGTTGCCAGGATCCTCGAGACAGGACTGCCGTGCACTGGAGGCGTCAAATGCCAGGTCGGCCGAACTCTTTGGACCTCCTGCATCGTTCTTCGACTGCGGACAGGTAATAATTCACAGTCCTTCATCAATCCACCGCCACCCAATGCCGTGTCGGTCTTCAAGAGTTGTTCGGACATATTTCACGTTAGTCAGTGCGAGTTGGTGAAAGCAAGCGCCCAGGACTGGTTCAGATATCATCCGTAACTTATGTTAGCCATGCCCGGGAATGGAACTAGAGCACAAGCAAATCAGAAACATCATATTGAATGCTGAGCAGGGAATGTCGCTTCAAGGGACCACAAATAGAAAGGTTGTATGGTTGTTGTCGAAATAAACATGTCGGCAACAACAATAAACTACACGCATTATGAACAAAGCATCAAAACCCTTCTGCCACCAACATGTAATGCATTATAGGGCAGTTTAAAACAAGGTAAAGGGGATATCATGTCGACCATCATCTCTCACGATCCTGCAATGTGCCATTCTACATAGCAACTACACGCAAGTTGATACCATCACTCTATCGCCCTGACCAGGGGCGGTTACACCTGTGGCTCCGGAGCTGCATGGCGGCTCTTTAAGAACTGCTTCTGTGACATTATTTATTAAGCACCCACCGTCTCGTATATTCACGTGCTCTTTAAATATTGAGGGTTTTTTTTACCGAATTTAGAAAAAAAATAGCTCTTCTTGTTATTTTGATGCCAACCCCTAGTCTAGGCGGACATTCTCTCAGGTGAGTTCCATTCCTCAACTACAACTCCATCCATCAGCCATTGTCACTTCCAAGAGACATGTCCAGCCAAAGCCCACTTAAATTCTTAACAGTCTTAACGATGTGTGTATGTATGTTGAACTTCTTTCGCACCGTATGAAGCCAAGCGTGCTAATCGGAGGTGTGGGGGGAAGGACAACTAAACACAAAAAACAATTCTAAAGAAATTTATTTTCTTTTTAGATTTAAAAGCGCATAGCTCCAGTGGCTTCCTAAAATCAGGCGTACTAGATAGCAGCAGAAGCGCATTTGAAAGCACGCGATGCAAAAACTATGCCATTACCCTACAAAGATTCCACTTTCTGTCTTTTAATGTTGATGATTATGAGCAAAATTGTGAGTCCTGTAGGTCCACATTTTTGCGAGCGCGAGACTCACGGACAGTGTAGGCCAATCCTCGTGTTCGCGTTTCTTCTGCAAGTTAAGGATGAGCTGTCGATCTCGCTCCCGACACTGCACCTTGCTGCACGAAGCCTCGATCTCCCCGTAAAACGTACACCTCCACACGAATCCTCCTGCCGGGTCAACAAAGCAAACTCATCACTGGCAATAGAGAGGACATTTAATTTTATCATTCATTATTAATATTTGGGTTATGCCTTGTCACGATCTGGCCAAATTTGTGTCATTAAGTCCCTCCACCATCCAACACAGGCAAATACATTAAATTGACATGTACAAGTATTTAATAAGCTAAATGTTATTGTTTCAGCTTACTGGTAAGTTCTGTCAGGTGGTGGAGGGTTTCAACAACACAAATTGGGTAATATCAATGAGTGATTTAATACCACATTGCCGGCCCCAAAATCATTGTAAGAGCGAGTGGCGCGGTACCTGGAAACGCAACGGAACAACCTCTATTGGACAGGATCACGCTCAAGTCCTTCAGCCTCACGGCTCCGCTGCTTACAAGCTGAATGTTGAGGTAGCTTCCGTGCTGATTCCACTTGCATTGGACCTCTGCGGGCCCGCCAAATGTCACACGCAACACAATATAATTATTAGCAACTAGCCCAAGATGTCAATGTGGCCAAAGCCGCTGATGCCACCACACACCTCACCAACGCTAACCTCTGCCAGATCCCACAACCGCTGCACACTAGACACACGACCTGCAAAACCTGCACAAACAGTATCCATAATCTGGTCTTAGGTCTTTCGTTTCCCCTTGGTAACCAGTCATCCTAATAAAATATAGGACTGCATTGGCAGTGGCACACACGCAAAAAAAACTAATTTAAGTTTGTCGTTCATACTGCCTCAGTCCATAAATATATAAAATAGATTAACATTACGCGCAATTGCTATGTCCTAGAGACTGAAGTTATGCATAATTTCTCAAGTGGTATCTGTCCCTTTGAATGCAGGTGTGTACAGCGGAGGTCAGCAATTTAATTTCTGAATAGAGTAAGCAACTTGGAATTTTTGCATAGAATGTGGCAGCAAAGCGCAGTAGACATATCATGAAGAGGAAGCTCTGCTAGGTAGGGCACACATGCAGGATGCAGGAGGGCAGGTTACTGAGGCATGCAATGGAAATGAGCACCCAGAAAATGGCAACCAAGGTGCAGACTTATCACGAGATAATGTATGTATGTTGAATTTATTTCCCACCGGACATAGCCAACCATGCTAATTGGAGGTGCGGGGGAAGGGACAACAAACTAAACACAAAAAGTAGTTCTAAAGAAATTAGTTTCCAATCTAGATTTAAAAGTGCATAGCTCCAGTGGCTTCATAAAATCGGAAGGTAGAGTATTCCAGATGGCCGCAGAAGCGCATCTCAAAGCGTGCGACGCAGTGACCGTCTTTGTTCGATGGCTAGCCAAAAGCCGCTGCAAGGATGACTGGAGTTTGTGTGATTCTTTATGTTCCTTGACGAGATCACCAAGGGGAGCAGACCTTGTTTGGTCAGGCATCAACTGTGCACAGCTGAGATGATTACCATACGCATAGGACAGCCTGGTGCGGTGTGGCATCAAAAGCAATCGCCAAAATTACTTCACCAGCTTGACTCTTCTACCTACAGCCCATTAAACTGCGGTGCGGTCACTACCCTCTGCAGTGATGAATTTGTCTCCAGAAGCCTTGCACGCATGGTTACTCTTGTCCTTAAGCTTTTTCTTGCACTCGGCACTCCTTGCCCTGGTGATTATGCCACCGCCGTCGCCGTCGCCGTGGCCACGACTTCCGCTGGGTTGTGGAGGGCAGGCAGACGACGCTGGTGGGCACGTGGGTCCGGGCTCGCGTGGCGAGCCGGGCGGAGAGGGCAGCAGCAGCATGGAGACGCAGAGTTGCTTCAAAGGCCTGCCGCCAGGGTCCCACGCGGGCCCTCGCTTCCTTCCTGCACCGGCAATCTTGGCAGCTGCGCGAGTGGGGCGCAGTACTGCCCCCGTCACACTAACGTGAAAAATAAAATGGTCAGTAAGCAAAGTGCATAAATGCCATTCCGTTGTCATGATCAAGTTCCAGTCAGCATGTTCCACCTCTGTATTTTATTTATTCACACGTGTATCCTGTTACAAATCACAAATGTTCACCAATGATGTGTGTTTACATGCAATGTGTGGAACGTGTCAACCCCATTGTTCACCATTTCCCTACCCGTTGTCACTCTCTCATGCTTACACCCCTCCACCGCACTCGATTCCTCGACAGGCTCCACGTTCCGACACTCACCTCCCCGTGAATCCCCATTCCCTTGCAGCGCTGGTGGGACCATCCCTCCCGGTCCAGCTCCACCCCCCCCCACTTCTCGCGCTCTCACTCGCAGCCTGCGGGTTCCTCACTTTCCGTTCCTTCAGCCTCTGACACATCTTCTTCCATGGCCCTGCACCACCTTTTATCTCTCCCTTCCTTGTCTCCCATGCCAATATTCCTTACCCAATATTGATATATTTAGTTTCCAATGCCAACATTCAGTTTCCCCTGCTACTGTTCTCTGATCTCCTAATGGACTGACTTCCCAGCACGCCAAGCCCGTGGCTTCCTGGTAGACTGCTCCCTATGGGTGCGACTTCCTGAAGCCATGGACCCATTGTAAGTGCTGCACACCGTCTGCGTCGGTCGTAGCCGTCCAGAATAAACACCTCATTCGAGACCCAAACATCACACCTCCGCCTGGATTTGACATTCCTACTCGAAGACACTGGTGGTGGAACTATCAACCGCATCATCAGAACATCAAAAGGCCAAGGTGCAACATCTCCAAAGTGGAAAATTAAAATACAAGCCACCACAGTAGTGCAATTACATACATGTCAACAAATACGGTTTACCCATATTCCTATCCAGGTAAATTGAGTTTTCAGGTCCATACGGCATACAGCCATTTCAATACGGACAAAAAAATGTTTTGTCTATTTGTGTTGCTCCCCTGCGACTGGACTTTGTAGGATGAACGTTGAGATTTATAAGGGCACGGGGTGACCAATAAGGTCTGAATTGGTGCGTGTAATAAACCACTGTACTCTGCGTGCCGTCAAAGCACGAATAGCAAAACTACACGAACCCTCTCCTGAAGAAGCCTTTGCCTCGTGGCCAGCAGACCTCAACATTGGCATTTAGCCTCTGGACACATTGTCATACATAATAGAATAGTTATGGGCATTCAGGTCATGATTACGGTTGTGTAAAAGTGTAATGCGCGACTTTTGCGACACGTCGGGTAGAGGGTACATCTTCATTAATACTCACACTGGGCACAACACAGGCCAACACTTTCCTCTCCTGTGACCTTTGTCCCAGATACTCCTCCTTCTCTGATTGGTTGGTGCTTAACCGTGCTGGTACCCGTAATTCCCTTTCCGGCCAGCAAGTGTCACCCTGTCATTACAAAAGAATGACGTGTACTGTATTTATTCAGGATAATATGCTGCATTAATTTACAATCACGTTGTAACTTCTTTGGTTCTTTCGGTAAAGTCACGTAGAATGAGAATAAAATAATAAATTGATAAAATAAAATAACTCAATAATATTCTAACACAATAATATAATATTCTCACAGAGAATATTACAATAATATAATATTCTCACAGAGAATATTATATTATTGTGTTATTTTATTTTATCAATTTATTATTTTATTCTCATTCTACGTGACTTTACCGAAAGAACCAAAGAAGATGAATCCTTGCAGTCACAAAAGCTTTAAATCGAAATCACGTTGTATATTATTGTTTGCATGTTCACAACAAGTACGTGAGGGTTAATGCAGACATGATTCCTTGCAAAAGGTTTATATTTGGTGTTTGAACATCTTAACACCTATATTCTTAGCTCTTTCGGTAAAGTCACGTTGAAGGGAAACAATAAAATAATAAAATATATACAACAATAAAAATTATCACGACATTTCGACCATAACACAAACGGCCATCATCAGGTGTGAAAAACCAACGGCAAGAAACATTTGAAAGAAGTGGCGGTTCGCATTAATTTATTTATTTTAAAACGGTTCATTTGTTTCTTTAAAAAACGTTAGCACCACGGGTAGCGATTTGACAGTTTATTTAGAAGGACTAGTCCATCTATGTTCTGAAAAGAGAAGGGGGGAGACGAAAAATTAATGTATGCTGTCTGAAAGCAACCGTAAGCGTGAACAATCAATTCAGACCTGAAATGGTTTATCAGATCCTTCCAATGATTGCTAAGCCAGAATCCATCTTCTCGGTTGAAATTGTCTCTGTGCTTGTATATGTGGATAGCCTCATGAACGAATCTCTCATGGTAGCCAGATGGCTTACAAAGAACCTCTGTCTTGGAAAAGTCAATGTCATGTGAGCCTACTGAATTATAACAATGATCTGCCATGGCCGAGGTGTTGGTCCTATTGTGTTTAAGGTCTGCTTTGTGTTCACGAATGCGGTCCGAGACATGGCGTTTGGTTTCTCCAATGTAACTACTACCACAGAGGCAACTTAGTTTGTAGACACCAGGGTACTGTATGTCCGGAATCACATCTTTTACAGACGGAAACAGATCACGGATTTTATGTAATGTGTTGAAACGGACCTGGATCTTGTGTTTATTCAAGATTTTGGAGATCGTTTTTGTGATCCCAGCAATGTAGGGTAAAGTGATGGTTTTGAAAGGCTCCTCAAGAGGGTCCTTCTTCATGGTTTGAGTGATAGCTTTGCGTATTGTATAGTCGGAGTGACTTTACCGAAAGAGCTAAGACTATGAATTACTGCAGTCACGAAAGCTTTAAATCAAAATCTTAACACCTATTCTTTGGGTCCATATTCTTTGGTTCTTTCGGTAAAGTCACGTAGAATGAAAAAAATAAAATAAATTAAATCGCGACGTTTCGATTGCAACAGCCACCTTATTTTATTATGTTTGAATCTATCTGCGTGACTTTACCGAAAGACCCACACAATATGAATTACTGCAGTAACGAAAGCCTTAAGTCAAGATCTTAACGCCTGTTTTATTTTGACTTCAAACTTTCGCGACTGCAGGAATTCATATACTATGGTTCGTTCGGTCAAAGTCACGCGGATATAAAATAAAATAAATATCTGAAACATAAAAAAGACGTTTCGATCTCAAGCGGTCGTCATCAGGAGGCCTGTATAATTTACCTTAAGAACCAAAGAATACCTAACTGAAGAGACAAGTCTAATTTGCAAGATTACCCTGTTTAACCAGTGGTACACTGTATGTATTTAATGTTTTCATTTGAAATAAAATGACTGTACAAAAAAAATCAACAAAAAAAGATAAGAATGGTAAATTACACCGTGCGAAAAAAAATAAACAAAAATAAATTTACGTAATTTCATGAGAGATTGCAATCGCACGGTTAATGCAAGGGCAATTCTCTCTAAAAATATATATATAACAGTTTATTGAGTGGTAAGCATTATAACAAGACACACACTTGTATTCAACACATCACTGGGTGAAAGCACCATTCGCGGTGGTGCAAAGGCAACAAAAACATCGCAAACGTAAGGAAAACTCAAAGTCGTTAAAAATCAGTAACAGTGGCCTCAACAAAACAAAACGAAACCGTGTAAGATTATCAAGTTATAAGCAACGTTACGCGTGTGTGTGTGTGTGTTATAAATACGAGCAGGAGTAACAACACGCCTTGAACATTGCGACGAGCACTGACCGCGAGGCGAGTCGCTCCAATTGGGCGCTCCCGCCAGCCGTCTTCAACAAACAGCAAAGTTCACCTCGGATAAAATCGTAACAAGCAACAGCTAAGATGCGAACGCCGGCTAATTCGGCGAGCGCGACCACACATACGGACACCCACTTGCCCGCCTCGCCGTTACTCTGGTGTCAGCGCGTAGCGCATGTATCGATCCACAGTTTATATTATCTTATTCGTCGAACCCGCGAGTCGATTCCACTTTTTTTTTACCGTTAACTTGCATGGGGGAATCGATTGCGTGATTTTTTTGCGCTAATCGGAGGGGAGGGGAGAGGGAATGGGACACAGCGGGTTATGGGATCGATGGATCGATCCGCGTTGTTATCTCGCGATTCCTTGCGGTAACGAGAGCATGGGGAATTGCGGCTTTGCATTGGCAATCGGTGAGAGGCGAGCACACTGAGGTGGGGGGGGAGAGCAGTGGAGGGGGGCTGACGACAAATTTGACCAATCAGAGAGCGCCAGTAAAAGGCGGGAACGATGTTGGACTTAGCTACTAAATTTACCCAATCACAAGGCGGCATGCTGAAGAAAGGGCGTGGCGATTAACAGAAACCGGCCAATCAGGAAGCGAACTGTAGAGCAGGCGGTGTGGGGTGAATATGGGGGTTATTACCATTCAACCCCTTATCAGTGCTGCCTACCTTATTACAGATCAATACCCGCCTTATTGGTCACCCCGTGCCCCTTATAAATCTCAACGTTCACCCTAAAAAGTCCCATCACAAGGGAGAAACACAAACAAATAAACAAAAAACATGTTGGGTTTTTTTTGCCCGTAATTGAAACGGCTGTGCGCGGTGTGGGCCTGAAAACTAAATTTCCACGTTACCGGAATCCCGGGGGGTAAACCGTGTGGGGGGTTGACAGCTGTGACACGGGGGATGGGGGGAAGTTGAGGGGGGGGGGGATGGTGGATGTGGTGGAAGGGGGGGGTGGACGAGGGGTGGTGAATTCGGGGGGGGGGGGGGTTCCGGTTGTTCCGGAAGTCACTGCTCATTCACCCGGCGTGCCCCGCGCGCAATGGACGCGGAGGGTGAGTGGCGCTACCGTGCGGGTGTCGCGCCGATGTAACGAGAACTCTCGCCATTTCACGGGGGGGGGGACTGCGAATGTCTCAACGCACGACGCGTTTCGCGACAAATACACGCGAACCTCTGCACCGAATGTGGGGAGAGAGAAACAACATAACAAAAAACGCCTTCGTTGTCTATTTCGCCCATTCCCTTTGAAATGATCGGGCACATTTAAAAGGCCACAGAGGGGAAGTTTAACGGCACTGTGAGGAGGAGGGGGTCTTTGCAGGGCCACGGCCAAATTGTAAGGGGGGTGAGGGCGGTGGGCTATAACGAAGCAACTCGGCGTGTTTGGGAAGAGGACGCGACTCGGAATGGGGCGACACGCGATTGCGTGCAACCAAATGAGAGTGGCGGGAAAGCGGCGTTACGCGCAACATGAGGAAGAGAGGCGCGCGCGGCGATGGTGTTGGGGACGCGTGTGATTGATTATTGATGATTGATGGTGATCGTAGATTAAAGCAGTGGGTTTGGTGTGTGGAGATTGTGTAGATGTAATCGGGAAGCGGGAGAGGTTGCTGTGCACGTTTCTTGTTTGCTTAATTTTTTTTTTTACTAACGTGTTTTAAGTACAGACATACGGTGCCTTGATGAGGGCCTCCCCATATTAATACGAGTCGTGTGGGTTATTTTACCAATACCTCACGCTTCCTAGTGCGGGTTTGTGAAGACGGGCGGCATAGTAGTAGCACAGTGCAGCAACGATGTTCTTCTGCATTGTCCACCACGTAGCCCCTGCAAGCCCTAGAGCAACCTGTTCATGATGTCGCCCATTATACATCATAACTCAATGTTTAATGTGGATATCATTCGCATACATTTCACGATTATGCGCGCGTTTCTCACACTTCGCCTGTCCTTCAATTCCACTGGCTTACCGTTTACTACAGTTATCTTATTACTTGACGCTCGTCTTTAAATCTTTCCATGGCCTTGCCCCACATCGTCTCGCCTCTGCCCCCTATCGTCCTCTTCGTTCCCAATCTTCTCCGGCTATCACCGTCCCCTCGTCCTTGTGCCCAATATATTTTTCGTTCCTATTTGTACCCCTTCCACTGGAATAAATGTGTCTACATTAAGCAGTCCCCTTTTTTAACCTGTCTTTCTCGCAATATCGGGGGTCGACAACCTGCGGCTCAGCATCCACATGCAGCTCTTTAAGGACGGCTTCATAAACGTTATTTATTCAGCACCGTATCGCAAGAAGAGCACACTAGTGTTGTCATCACATCTACCCCTCTTTTTAAGACCGAAACAATTCTGGCTATCGCCTGATGAAGCTAGTTGTAATTACTGGCGAAACGTCGTACTCAGATTGTAAATATTATGGCTTTGCTCTCCCAACACACCGGTGTGCTGTACTATTAACAAATTGCCATGTTCTGTTTACGTGACAAGCCTTACTAATTGGCTGTGTTGAGTGGTGGCGGGTTTAACGATACATTTATATATATACGCGATCTAACCCAAAAAAAACTGTATTATGGACCGTATTGTGTTCGCGTGCATTGCGTTTGTTGAAATATTGAGGTTTTTTTTAACCAAATTTGATACTAATAAAAAACCTTGTTATTTTGGTTGTCGACCCCTGCCCTATGGCAATAAAGTTGTACAAATATACCTCATGGATTATACGCCTCCCCTCTTAACGTTTGCTTTAAAATACAAGAGGAAAATGGCACCTGAGACTCAAGGGGAATGCGGTATATCTCTACCAGACTTGGAACTAAGAAGAGCGTGATTTCCCTGTCGTCGTGATTATTTTTCCCAGACCATGACCTGGAAGGAGAACCTGGTTCAGCAGCTGTGGGCAGCGCAGACGTGAGGCGCTCCATCCCCATCAAGCTGATCTCGGAGCGTGGTGCGGCTGCCTCCCGCTCCGGTGGCCTCCCCTGGGCTATGTACAAAAGCCCCAGGCACCCATCCCCCGACAGAGGTGGGCGTGTGGCTCTTCCAGGACGGAAGGACATTAGACTTGTATTTGTCGTCGCGACTCAGGCATGGCTCGGGCTCAAGGGAGCCCGCTTAAAGCCATGCTTAACTTGAGCCGGCTCTGAGCATTGGTCCCAGCCATGCTTAAGATTTTCATGAGCTGAGCCAAGCCATGGCTGAGCCGCTCATGCATCTTTGAAAGCAACTGAAGCCAGAGCTGAGCAGTGACTAAGAATATGACCCTCAGACTGTCTGCTGAGTTGCTGTTTATAAGAAGTACGTTTGTTATTTGCGTCATTGTTATAGCACAAAGACTATCATGAAGGTGCTATAGTTATGCTTTGTAGGCTCCACGAAATATTTATGTCTTTGAGTCTATTGGCTAACAGTTCTGCTGGACCGGAGGAACCTTTTCCATTCGGACGGCTGAATAGGTGAACGTGCAGCCCTTCAGAGCCACTGCTTGCATGAGGGCCTCCACTGGTATTTGCCCTTCTATTCATCATAATGATAATAAGTAATTGTGCTCAATGAAGGCCCTTTCCCATGCTATTGCAGTCCAGCAATGTGATTCATATCACTCCTGCACATTAACTGATCTCATTGCTCCAACCTTTAAAGTCGTTATCCTCTCAGGCACGTTCTCTTTCACTTGTAAATTAAACTTTGGCGCAAATAATGTATTTGAAAGCAAAAATCATGAATACTCCTTATAATTCGGGAGGTGTGTGTGTGATCAGATTTGTAACTTTACTGATTACGAGCATAAACTGTTCCATGTCTCACTTTACATAGCATCTTATAATCTGGAGAATACGGTATTACATTTAAAAAAGTATGTCAGATGATTGAAAACACAACATATGTGTGGAAATACTAATTTTGCCTTTGTGCAGAAGGAACAGGTGAGTATGCAGATGAAAGCTTTCGGGTGCATGAAGATTATGGCAGAGATCACGACAAACATCCCAAGACCATCATATGGGATTGTAAGGTATAACATATAGTTTTACAATTATTTGTTCTTTGCTATTTTGGTTCAATGACAGAAATCAAATCATTTTCAAGTAAAAAAATTTTTAATAAGTCTTTATTCTATTCAAAGTGAGGTGGTTGGCGCATCGCTGTAATTCAGTGCTTTGGAGGGAAGAGTCGGAGTATAAGTTGGACAGCAAGGTGGATGCAGTAGTAACAGTTATGCCTCGCAGCAAAAACAGCCTGGTTGTCATTCCTGACTGACACCTCTCCGTATGGAGTTTGTACTCTGTCTGCTCACATTTCCTCTCACTTGGAAAACATCCCAAAAACCTTGACGCCAACTGAGCTTCTCTTAAACAAATAACAACGTGTGACAATATTACCAGTTTGGTTGAATCTCGCAGTCAGCCGCCACTCGACATTGGTCAGTGCAAACATGGTGAGCGACATGATGTCGAAATATAATGCTAAGTTTTGCGTGTGTCTGTTTCTTGCAGATTAACATATTTGGGAAGAAAGATGAGATTCCGGTACATTTTTGCGACAAGTGTGGCCTGCCAATTAAAGTCTATGGTCGAATGGTCAGTACCTTATTAATTTGACACAGTCATCACATGTGCATAATTGAAAACTAAAAGATGATTACTAGTTATTGTCTAGGTTTTTGCCTATTTGCTGTCTAGCTCTAATTTGTTTCTGGGTTGTACCAAATGGTATAGGACAATCCAGACCATGTGTTGGGGATTTTTTTTGTGCCTATAAGAACACGTAATTTTCATCTCCAGAAATAGTTTTTTTTTATTATTGTCGGGATAACAGAGCTTTGACAAATTAGATGGTACAGAGAGATGGAGCAAATGAGGCAATACAGTCAAGGCAGATCAACTTCGAGAAACAATGGAAACTAAATTGTACAAAAGATGGTATAGACAGAATGAGACTACACTGTGCTAATGCAAATTAATATTGATTGTAAGTTGCATAATTATCCTCAACCATGGCAATTCATCACACCACTCTTGTCAGGTGATTGACTAACAATGTAACTGCTTTAAATCACAGATTCCTTGCAAGCATGTCTTCTGCTTCGACTGTGCCAGTCTCCATGAGCAACGGGGAGACAAAAGTTGCCCAGGGTAAGACATTCACATACAACAGGTCCCACACATTGATAAATTCATTTCCTTCATCTATCCATGTATAGTGGTGTATGCTTTAATCATGTGCAGTAGATTTTCCCTATACCCAGCAAGATCCGAATCTTAGTGTTTTTTTTTTATTAGTATTAATTTATTGTGTTTTTTATTTAACGAAGTGAGAACTCAAGGGACCAGGATTTTCTCATTTGCAAGAGAGACCTGCGGACATAATCTTTCAGAAGGGGGAAATGATTGCTATGTATAATTCCAATTGAATATCTTTGCGGATAATCTTCAAATTTTTGAAAATCTGAACCTTGAATCCGGCACACAATGGCCTCTTTCAAATGACATCAGGGGATCTTTAAGATCCACTTATAAGCAGAGGGCACATGTTATTATGGTTATTACACTTGCAACAATAATCAGGTAAGGTGTAATCAAGTAGGTAATTTAAATATATTTGTTGCACTTTGTACATTTGGGGTAATAATTACCCACTTGCTTCAGGACCGTCGTCTCCGTGTACACCGACCCAATGGCAAGCGCACTGCCTGCTAGGTCACCCAGGTACACAGCAAGGTAATGGACTTCATATGGGCGGTGATGTGACTGAGCAATGGTGTGTTTGCAGCTTGTTGCATAGGTCCGTGGTCCGAGCCGTGCGGCCCCGCTAGTTAATACTGCACGTTTTTCGCTATGAGTATGCGCCGTCTCTGTTTCGCAGTGGACGCCAACGATTGGCCTTTGAAAAGGAATAAGAATAGGCCACGTGTGTCGGCGTCATTATACAAATTTGAGAAATTACCTGCCAGAGTACGTGACCTTTTTCCGTTCCGATGACGTACGTGCACGTCATTGGTTTTCCTTCTGAGTCCGTTCCGTTGACGGAATCAAATCGATTTCGAACGGAATCTGAAGTAAAAGGCCATGCAGGAGGGCGTGTGGCACAGTTTGGCGCCAGCCATCACAGAGTGTGGTCGTGTCGCTGCAGTTCTATGTGGTGAGTACAGTACAATGTCTTTAAAAACAGCAGCGCTATGCGTCTCTAAATAAAAATTAATGCAAACCGCTTGCGCGTTCTGAGATTAAGTGGTCAACGGTACCCACCCTGCGACTTTTCAGATGTCTCGGAACGGGAAAAGGTTAAGAGAGAATATACATAGCAATGTCGACCCCCCGCTGTGGAATTACTGCAGCCCGTTGTGTTAGCCTTGCGCTGTTAATAATTCCGTGCATACCAAATGATTTGATTGACGATTTGAGTTGATTCTTCAAAGCCAAATGTCCCGTTGTGGTACGGGGGTGGTGGGCTGCTTTGTTCACAGGTGCGTGGACCAGGTGCAGCGCATAGAGCAGTGCTTGCGTGGCACCGTCTTTCTGTGCAACGTGGTGTCGGGCTGCAAGCGCACATACCTGTCGCAGCGGGACCTGCAGGCACACATCAACCACCGGCATGTGCGGCACACCAAGCCGCAGCAACGGCCCCTCGAGCCGCCACTCGGTAATTCTTTTGTGGCTTAAGAGCTGTGGCCTGGCAGGGGGTGGGTCATGTCTTTGATTTTCAGCGCTTCTTCTTAGGCAAGGATTGGTGGATCGCACATTTGTAAAAACGTTCAGACCCACTAGCTTACTTGGGGCTGAACTCATCTATGAGAATATTGACGTTTTATCGACCTCACACCCTTGGATTGTTCACAAAGCCCGATTTAAATTGCGAGGGTTCTGCATTGGGATGTTTGGCCATCTTAAGGAGTATTTTGCCTGTTAAAGGAAACATAAGTATAATGCAACGTGGGGGATTTTGTTTTCATCGAAAGTGAAGCCATGCCGACTTTTGGAGATGATCACCAATTTAACGGCATGCACAAAGACCCCCCCCCCCCCCCCCCGACTCATCGTATTGTCCTCTTCCCTGTGCAGCTGTGGGGCAGATGCATCCCAGCGTTGTCAGCGAAGAGCACCATGTGGTGGCCCCGGGGCCAGGCGTGCACGACCACTACCAGAAGCCACCCAACATCGCTCACGATGAGTCGGCTCCCCCTCCACCCGACATGCCACCCCACCCCCCCATCGTGCCCTCATCCGCCGCGGCAGCTGCCGCAGTGGCGGCGGCCGTGGCATCGGCGGCCGCAGCGGCCGCGGCAGCGGCGGCCGCCCCGTCGCCGCGCTGCGCCCCGCAAGAGAGCTACCGCATCACCACCATAACGACGGCGCGCAAACACTGCAACCTCATCACCGTGCCTATCCAGGGCCAGGAGGGCGGGCAGGGCCACGGCCCGCCCTCCGGTGGGGGCGGCGGCGCATACGCCGAAGTGGGTCGCCGCGTGGACTACCCGGCGCAGGCGCCGCCCAACGGCCCCCCGCCGCCACCGCCCCCTCCGCCGCAGCCGCCCCGTCCGCCCCACCACATGCACTTCGTGGCGCCACCCTCCATTCCCATGAGCCACCCGCCGGCGCACATGGCCTACAGCCAGCCGCCCCCGCCCATTGTCGGCCAGAGACCGCCCGTGCCCTTCATGGGCCAGCCGCCGCCCCCGCTGCACTACACGCCGCCGCCGCCCGGCCCGCTCACGCCGCCCTACAGCCAGCCGCCCTCCGTGGGCCTGTGGGGTGCGGCAAGGCCGCCGCCCCCCGTGCCCCCGCCCCCCCGGGGCCCCGTGCCTCCGCCCGGTTCGCTACCCCCATCCGTAACAGCGCCACCGGATCAGGCGCGGTACAGGCCCTATTACCAATAGTGAGGCTTGTGGGAACGGTGGTGCCACGCGCGTGTGAGTGCCACCGGCCATAGGGGATTTTCTAGGGTCTGAATTGCGCTCCGTGACACTGACACTGAGGGTGGGCGAGCGTGCGGTGTGCTGTGTACCCCCCGCACCCAGTGATTAATTGTGGCCACGATTAATTGACTTGACCGAATGCCGCTTAAACATTGTACTGGTCCTGAGCGGGATGCATTTTTTCATTGACGTTTACTTTTCTTATGCATCTTATTGATTTTCAAGCTTTTATGTAAATTAACAGAACGACGTTTAGAATTGTATGATATCCAGTAACAGATTAAATGTATTAATATTCTTACCTCCTTCAGAAGACTTTTCTCCCTCAGGACCTGGGCAAATGCACTGGGTTCCCATGAGAGCCAGGTCAATGTCTGCATCTTCCTGCTAACTACAAGTAATAGATGGCATTCATCTCATTTGGAGGACCTGAGTTTGCTGTGTAAATTCCACATTGCAATGCCAGTGTCTTGTCTATCGCCAGTACTCATTTCTTTGACCCAGCTTGGAATTATTTTTTTACTCACAATCTTTCGAGTTCTTGGTCAGAGCTGTACTGGAAATTGTAGAACATATAATTAATGTAATAAAGTGGTTACTAAGCCAAAGATTAAAATACCCCATTCAAAATATTTGGAATCGCATGACAGGCGGTGTTTGGCACAACATAATATCTAAACAATGCTGCACCAGTGCATAAGGCATAGATGGTGAGGTAGATCAGTGAAAGAAAATGATATAAAAATGGTTAAAACAGTTTTAGGGTAAACCACGTGTCCATTTAATTACCATTGCTGCACAAGAATATACATTGTTTAGTGTGTTGTCCTGCACCTTTGATTATCGTGGTTGGCTATGTACAACGTACATACAAAAGAGTAAGTTCCCTTGACGGAGTCTTAAAATCTACAACTGATGTTCACAAACTATAGCTCAAACCACGTGTTTTTTTTTTAACTCCCAACCGACAGGGCTGCAAGCTGGTCAGAAGGTGGCAGCACAATAAATCAGTGGCTGTCAGATTCTTGAGCGTCATCACCTTGTATGCATGCGTTTTTTTTCAGTGTATTCCAGTTCATTCCCATGCAAAAGTTTGCTTTTAAAGGGACAAACATATCAACAAATAGCTCCATTAGACACTTATTTGGACTATTTCTGAGACTCCCTGATCAAATTTACAGATTTTTTTATATTCTGGTCTATTGGACTATCGTGATTCTGTAGTGATATCACCGCATGTCCATTAATATGTTTTCACACCTCAATGTACCTTGTCATTTTTTTTCTCAATAATGAAACCTTAAACTCATTGGATACGTAGTTAATTTTTTGTGAGGCGGCGTAATGGTCTAACCAAGTCTTTAGAGTTAACCCTTTACCACCCAACAGCCAAACAAATTAATTGTCACGTGTACACGAGTTTAATGCTTCACATTATAGTTGGTTTTGGTTCACTGCTAAATTCAAGTGCAATCCTCGCAACCAAAGTTGGAGACGACGTTTAATTTGAAACTACGTCAAACAGCAAAACGAGATCCAAAAAGTCAAGATCAATGGGCTCGTATAATGTGCGTTGACTCATTAACCCCCCCCACTTTGCGCAAGAGCACAAGAGTGTGGTCACCACATCCATGCCGCCTCTATATAAGGAATGAAACAGGTGGACTTCACAAATCTGCCTGTCGCCTGATGAAGCTAGTTGTAATTACTGGTGAAACGTCGTACTCGGAGTGTAAATGTTTTGACTTGGCTCACCAACGCACCGGTGTGCTGTACTAGTGACGAATTGGCATGTTCTGTTTATGCGACAACCCTTACTAGTTGGCTGTGGCGGGTTTAACGATACATTTATATATTTACGCGATCTAACCCAAAAAACGCTATTATTGAGATCCAAAAAGTCGGAGTAACAATCCAGGACGTCTGGCGGGTGGTGCGGGGTTCTTAATGATACACATTTGGTCAGATAATAACATGCCTTACTAAAAAAACTACGACTTAAAACTTTAGTGACTGCAGGAATTCATATTCTTTGGTTCTTTTGGTAAAGTCCTCTTAAGGCAAACTGTTTATAAAGGTTTAGAGATGGGCGTAGCCCAAGTGTGTCAGCATGGGCGGGGCAGCTAATGTTAATGTAGGAGACAGCAATGCCAACGCAGTGGGTCGACACCAATCGAAATTGCCACCAGGCAATCATTTGCGCCTCGCTCCACATATCCACGCTGCTGTCGGTGGAGGTTGACAAGAAAACACAAATCAAGTCATGACCCAAAGTGGTTGAAATGTGAGTGACTCGATCAGATTGCTTTCTTCTACATTAACAGCTGCCCCGCCCATGCTGCTGACACACTTGGGCTACGCTCATCTCTAAACCTTTATAAACAGTTTTCATTTAAAGGCTAGCCCCCCCTTTTCCTGATGACGACCGCTTGTGTTGCGATCGAAACGTGGTTTTTTTCCACTTTATTTTTGATTATTTTTCTACCTATGTGACTTCAAAAGAACCAAAGAATATTTTTAAAAAACTATGTTCAGTCTTATTTGATAGCCTAAGATAAACAATTGCCCCGCGTATCTACCAAGTATGAGCTGTTTGTTCACCATTTGCATCTTTACTGAACTAACCGTACATCATTTTAGTGGAAACCTCTGGGTAATGCCTTGAAATATATGCCAGTGGCTCAATAGTGAACATGCTTTGCTATGTACTCAGCGACCTGAGTTCGATTCTCAGTCATGGCTAACATGATTGGTGAGTGATAGCCGAATCAAATGACCCATCACGACCGAAATGGCCTTGGGACGCAATCATCAGTGAATTGACCAATGGCTGTACATAAATATGCCTATGTAGAGAGTAAACATTACAGCAAAGGCCACGCTTTGGACCTTAGAGGGTTTTATGAAGTTACTCATTGGTTTTTTCGGTAAAGTCACGTATGTAGAAATACCATAAAATCACATTAAAACAAATCACAACGTTTCGACCGCAACACAAGGGATCTTCATCAGGTGTAAAAAACAAATTGCACATAGGGTGACATCAACGCAACACATAGAGAGCGTAAACTGCACGGAGGTAAATACAACAAGAAGATGAGAGACGAGAATTCAAAAAACCTAAGAAAATTTTACGTGATGCAAAACCAGTCGGCCAACGACACAGACACTTGCCTGGCAGACCACGAATTTCAGAAGAGTGCTAAATTTCGTGTTCATCCTCTGGGTTGAACATACCAGCATAGACAGAGTGAACAAATACGAGGTACATCCACCTCGCGAGCGGCGGTGGATGCGTTGTGCGTTTCCTGACGAGGCTGTGTTGCGTGTCACGTTCAGGCTGCATGGATGCGCCGGTAAACAGCTTATGCCACAAATGTGTCATGCCGAACAAGGTACGATTAGCACGGTTGGTTACGCACGGTGCGAAATAAGTTCAACATACGTACACACAACGTGTCCTCGATCCCGCCTGGATCCCATTTTACACAGGTTGGTCGTAACATCGCATGTAATACAGAAATGGCAATCGCACTCCGGTAGTATTTTTTCACACTTATTAAATAGCAGCTGCTGCCTTGATTGTATCTATTGCGTAAAAAAATATTCTTCCAACCATGTTTGCTGGAGTGGGGTTCCACGTAAAATTATCGTGTGCTATTTGGGCACACGTGTTACCCATGGAGACGTTATGACGTCACATTGTTCGGAGGTCAAAACGTGACCACTATTTTATTTTCTGTCTGCACCTCTCATCTCTCTGTCGTTTATCATGCTGTCATCAACTAATTATGTCTATCTTGCCTACGCCTCGCTCATCGCTAGCTATTGTTTATCTACACTTCCCCTCTCATCCACCTATGTTGTCCGAAGCTCTCATCTCTCAGCTGTGTCTGCATCTCAGCGAGCCATGTCTCTTCGCGGGCCACTTGATGGACATCGCAGGTCACCAGTTGAGCCCTGTTTTTTAAGTAACCACACGTGTTCTGTTCCTTGTCTGAACTCAATTTCACATACCTGAGCAATTGGCTAGACCTCAATGGTCCCGGTGTGATGCACATGGTTCATGATGGCGCCTTCACATGATGTATCCACACACGTAGTGCTGTATTCTGTTTCGATTACATATTACAGTGAAACTAGAAGGTAAAGTTCAAATATTTGTGAATACAGCACTTAACGCCTCCCAAAAGATTCCGTCAATTTATTTGTGTTTCAGAGGATCGGCTTAAACATAGGCTTCGTCTTCATGCTCACACTTGAATACTTTTGCTATCATTTGCCCAGTACTGGTGCAGATTTCATGAAGTGCTTTCCACCAGAAGGAAATTGCCAATACCATTTACTGAAAGATTATTTTCTATGATGAGCATTGGTGATGCTTCTGTTTGTATTTATTTTACGTAGATACATTTGATACCAAGGAGGTAAATATATTAACCTGGCTGTTTTTTCTACAAAATCTTAACGCAGATGTATGTAGTATGTAAGTGCAGGTTACATCTCTCTAGCAGGTTGCCTGTAGATTATTCAGTAAATTCCATCGAGATTGAACAACGTGACCTCGTATAAAGTAACACCCCAAATGATTGTCTTGATTTGATTGAGAATTTTACCCGTTAAATGGAACATCGTAGCAAGAACTGTACTGCTGACAGTAATTGAATAACTTTACTGGCTCGTTTCAAGTTTCTCCTATGACCAAATCGCCTGGAATGGGCCCGTGATCGTATTGTGGAAGCTAAGCAAATATGAGCCCGTGTAGTGCTTGAACGGGTGACCACCACGCACAATCAGGCTCTCATAGGCGACGGATGAGACTGCAACTACACTGTGAGCAGCAGAGGTTAGTGCAGGGAAATCAATCGTTGTACTGATATTCTATGCTCCCACGTCTAAGCTCTCGGGACTTCACCAACCCAAGCTGACCAATTTGGTGAAGTACATAATAGCCCCATGACCTGCAACTCATGCAGAGGTGCCTCATCCAGCAGTTAATTGAAGAACACTCTGTCCGTGTACATATTGTGTCATTACAATAAAAAAAAACTGTCTCCGAAAAATGGAACACCAGTTACATATTTACTGTGGGCAGTAATGTAATAACGATAACCTTTTTGGTTCGATTGAAGATGCAGGCATAGTGCCACATCCATCCAGATACAGGAGGATTGGTGCATCACGCATCCTATATCGTGTGCGCGTGATTCCCAACTGCTGGGCTACAATATGGTTAACAAATTAACTGAACTATTTTTTTTATTTTACCAGGTGAAGCCCACAGCTATATAGCTATTTTTCAGAAGCGACCTGGCTATCACAAATACTAGCTGAACGAATGGGTTTATCATCATGTGGACATTTATAGCAACCAAGTACTCTAAAGGCACGTTGATTTGAAATGTGGAGGGAAAATCCGGAGGAGACGGATAAATATCCACGCGACCACGGGAGGAACATGAAAACTCCAAGTATACATGCGTCAGGGTCGGAATCAAACCCACGACCTGTATACAAGGCGAGGTTGTTAACATCTCACCACCGAAATAACAGTACAGCAAGCAGGTTGCTAACCTATCTATGACATTTTTATGCCCCTTAATGCATTTGTCTTACTAATTTTAAATCTGTGTTATTCAGGCCATCCTTATAGTTCAAGGCTATCACTGAGGCGCTTTGTTTCACATAGTACAGTATAGTCCGCCAGTCGGTGATGTTGCTGTGATTGTACCCAATTATAGTTTTTGTCTGTTTTTCTTTAAAAATTTCATGGAGTCTTTTATGTCCACTATCGGGAAGACTGCACGTGTCTATGGTTAATACACTCGTGCCATTAACCAGGGCGGACACTGGGCTTCATCTACGAACCGTTGCGACATGCGGCAGACGCACGGCCATGCTTTCTTTGGACGATCTATTACATTTCCGCATAAGCAACATTCTGCAGTTACCGGTTCAGACGATGTAAGATCGTCTCAACCGGTAACTGTCGAAATGCGGAAATTTAACAGATCGTCCAAAGAAAGCATGGCCGTGCCTCTGCCGCGGACGATGTAAGATCGTCTCAACTGCTTAAGTGAATTTGTTTTTTAATGCACGTTAAACTTTACAAGCTCATACAAAAAAAATAAAGCTCCCTGGATCAAAACGTTGTGTCCTTGTAGCGTTAGTATCACTTGCCTTTTTTTCTGATACGTAACTGATGTACGCGTTGTTTGAAATAATTATTAACAATTTCCATTTTATTTTCCTGGCAAAGAAACCCCCTGAATTTCTGGTCTGTTTTGCTTCATTGATTACACAGCAGACACTTTTTATATCTGTAACGCCTCTCGTAACTATCCTGGACTTAGTCCAGTGTGAACATGGCCATAATCCAATTTTACCGTTAGTTACTAACGTTCATTATTTATTGCATCATCTGCGCAGGCTATATGTGTCCCTGCAGCGTTCGAGGTGGCACAGTAATTTGGTGTACTCACCAATGTACCAAGTTGATAGTTTGTGGGAGAATTAACCAAAGTGTTCCGTCATGAAGACCTTGCGATGTCATTGACAAGAGTAGATCATTGTCCCTACTTCTCTACACGAGCCCAATTCCCACGAGGGAAGAGAACTCAGAAGTAAATGTATCGAGCGGAGTGACTGGCAAATTCCAGTGGCCAAGCCGCGTCGTGTGATTAAGCGACTCTCAAACAGCAGGGTTTCGAGGTGTCCATGTGATGGCAGAACAGAAAGTAGGCTTTCGCGACCAATATCCATAATAGAGGGGGTTTTGGGTTCGGTCGTGATCTAACGCGATCTAACCCAAATCGAATTTTTTTTTGGAGAAAGTGGTTCGCCGAGCGGATTTTAGGTGCCGTCTCCTTGTATGCGTGGAATGTCTCCACGAATCCCCTCCTTTCATCTCCAGTCCTACAAACGCTCGTTCAAATGCACGGGCCAAACATCCAGATGTGAGAAATGGAGTTGTTCGTACTCAAGTGAGGCTTTGAATAAACACTCGTTCCAATAGCGTCCTTCACGAGCATCCTCCACGGCCTCCGTACGGGGCCGGATTAAGGTTCTAGTTGGCCCTAGGCACTTGTGTTTCGTGGGCCTTCAGTGATTACTCTCTATGGTTGGGACTGCTGCCCCATGTTACGACTACTACCGCCGCTGTCACTCGCTAAAGCTGATTTTTTTTACGTCTCCGATCAACCATATGGCAACAACGCCTTGTCTCTATTGAGAATGACATTGTGCGAAAAACACCATTTTAAGAAGGTATTGCTAAATTTGCAATGAAAAAATATCGGAAAGTTAATCTCTAGTATTAATTTATCTCACCTTATGAAAAAAGAATTGACATTGACATGGCTGCCTCTTTGTATATACACTGTGCCTATCCTTGCTATATAAATATATTTATTATAGAAGATATCTTGGTACATTTTTTTAGCATACAACCATAAAAACTTGGTGAACTTTTTTTTCCCCCTAGGCACTTTAGCTTCCGTAGGCCCTACACACAGTACTTACTGTGGATAATACGGCCCTGCCTCCGTAGACTCAACAATCACAGGGGGACGCAATCTCAAGTGCAATTCTCATCACGCACATGGCGGACTTGTCACCTCCAGCGCACCCCACAGTCGCTTCCTTCAGCTGCATGCACTGCGACACCTAACCATCACAATGTCCACGCTTGCAGTGTGCCACCAACATCCCCTTGGTTGCCGACCTCAGCAATGTGTGTGTCGGTATTGTCCTCCACCACCCTGCATGTGTCCACGACCGACGAACGGCGCGAAAGAGAGTTTGGCATTCATACATTTATGACAACTAAACCTACACTTGCTGATTATGTCGACAATGCCTTATTGCCACGTCTTATTCCAAAGATCATGCCCGAGCCGCACTTTAATTGCAAGTATAAAAATAAAGAAGAGAAAATATTCGTGCAGGTCTTGAATGATAATTTTTAGTGAACATTTACTGTATATAAATCTAGATTTTTTTTTCAAATAAAAATAAAACCTCAGAAGGCATTCACTTGAGCATACCGCGAACATTGCAAACGCGTTATTGTGAACGGTAAAATAAAATACGGTTACATAATTCTAGATTTGAAGCTCTTGGGACTGCAAGGATTCATACTCTTTGGTTTTTTCGGTAAAGTCACGTTTACATAGCCATACATAGCAGGCGTTACCAAAAAAGATTTCCAAAATTCTAAACAAACACAAGATCCAGGTTCGGTTCAATACAGTACACAAAATCCGTGATCTGATGTCATTCTTGACTTACAGTACCCCGGTGTTTACAAATTGAGTTGTATCTGCGGTGACTTCTATATCGAACACAAATCAGATTTGAAACACGGCAGAATGAATTATTGGGCCGTGGCTGATCATTGTCTCAACACAGCGGGTTCTCATGACATTGTTTTCTCCGATACCAAAGTTCTATGCAAACCTTCCGTTTATTACCAAAGATTTGTCCACGAAGCCATCCAGATATACAAACATAGACACAACTTCAACCGAGAAGATGGTTTTAAATTAAGCAACCACTGGAAAGATGTCATAAACCAAGTCAAAACTTTGGCTGCCGTATAAGTGCACAGCTTTTTTTCCATTGCCCTCGTGCAGTGAACCACCGAATCCCCCGAACCCTCACCATAACAAAAAAACGGATTAACTCAGCCCCGCACCTCATCATCATCCCCGGCCTGGCTCCCCCCCCCCCCCCCCCACCTTAACCTGTATATAAGCTCGAGTGTCTCAGAGCTCCCCACTTGATGCAGCTATCTTGCTGTGACTGTTCCACCTGAAGACGGAAGCTTGTGTTGCCTCCGAAACGTCGTGATTTAATTTAGGTTGTTTTATTATATTATATTATTTTATTTTTATTTTACCTACGTGACTTTACCGAAAAAAACCAAAGAGTACGGTTACATAATCTAGAAAGTGGATCTGCTGCGGTGTTATTATGCTTTGGTCCCCTGCGCTCGGGACTTTCAATTAAGAAAGGTCACCGGTTCAATTGCATTTCACGGCGCGGCAGATAAAACAACTGGTGCAAGTTTCTCAAATCGTCCCTCCACGCTCCTTTGCCCACCTAGAACACGTCTCTGTCCACACATCACACGTCTCTGCCAACACATCACACGTCTCTGTCCACACATCACACGTCTCTGTCAACACATCACACGTCTCTGTCCACCCATCACACGTCTCTGTCCACCCATCACACGTCTCTGTGCACCCAGCACACGTCTCTGTGCACACATCACACGTCTCTGTGCACACATCACACGTCTCTGTCAACACATCACACGTCTCTGTGCACACATCACACGTCTCTGTGCACACATCACACGTCTCTGTCCACCCATCACACGTCTCTGTCCACCCATCACACGTCTCTGTCCACCCATCACACGTCTCTGTCCACACATCACACGTCTCTGTGCACCCAGCACACGTCTCTGTGCACCCATCACACGTCTCTGTGCACCCAGCACACGTCTCTGTGCACCCATCACACGTCTCTGTCCACCCATCACACGTCTCTGTCAACACATCACACGTCTCTGTCAACACATCACACGTCTCTGTCCACCCATCACACGTCTCTGTCCACCCATCACACGTCTCTGTCCACACATGACACGTCTCTGTCCACACATGACACGTCTCTGTGCACCCATCACACGTCTCTGTCCACACATCACACGTCTCTGTGCACCCATCACACGTCGCTGTCCACCCATCACACGTCTCTGTCCACCCATTACACGTCTCTATCCACCCATCACACGTCTCTGTGCACCCATCACACGTCGCTGTCCACCCAGCACACGTCTCTGTCCACCCATTACACGTCTCTGTCCACCCATCACACGTCTCTGTGCACCCAGCACACGTCTCTGTGCACCCATCACACGTCTCTGTCTACCCATCACACGTCTCTGTCTACGATTAGACATTCGGCAGGCAGGCCGCGTGTGGTGGGGGTAAAGTGTGGGTACACCTGACCTATTCCAATATTTCTGCTCAACGTGGAAGAGTAGGCCAAACACCACTCCAGAGTTCACTCCAGTGGAGGCCCTTTCCGCCACGAATATCAACACATAATCGGATAATCTCTTATCAGTACATGTGGACGCGCCGGAACACGTAAACACGTTACTAATGTGACGCTCAATAATGAAGACGTGAAAGGAAAGTGTTCACAAAGGTATACGTGTGGGCTGGAGCGGGGCACGTGGCTCACGAGGGATGATGATTGCCGGTGGTCAAGATGGATAACGGAGCGAGCGAGACAGCCAAGGAATGGAACGCGTCTGAGAACTACACCTACCGAGGAGACGAAACGATGAAAATCAGTTCGTGTGCAAGGTGCTCGGCGAATTATTATTATTAGCTTTAGTTTATAACATCGCAGGATCGTGAGAGAGGTGGTGGTGGCGGCCTTCATCCAGCAGTGGATTGACCATGGCTGCTGCTGCTGATAATGATGATATATCTGATTTTTTTCTAGAATCTGAATTTCTATTTTAAACTGCAGGAATCCGATGAGCTATGAAGCTCTTTATCCCAGATGTCCAGTATGGGCGGATCAGCAAAATACTTAATTCTCCCATCTCTATCAAGAAACCCAGTGGAATTAATTCCATAAACGTGCATTTCCCCTCGACCAAACAGAACGTTACATGGAGTTTAGAAAAAAAACAACAGCAAATTGAACGCATCCACTACCGCTTTCCAGTATCTCTCATCCACTCCCCTCCCTCCTCCTCCTCCACCCCACACCGTCTATAAATACGACAGCGCGCAGGGAGCCCCCAGTCAGACTCAGCACTGCCGCGAGCTCACGCGGAATAGCCGGAGGAGGAGCGGACGGCGACCTCTGATTTCCCAATCCCTCATTTGCTCCGAGCAACTTTGTTTCACTAGGCGCCGGCTTTTTGGCTGCATCTCTCGCAAAGTAGAGAGAGAGAGAGAGCGAGCGCGTGATAGCATTAGATAGACAGTGGGGTGGGAGCGGGGGGGGGGGCTTCGATAAGGCGTGAGAGAAGTGTGAGACACCGAGTAGACACAGTCTTGACCGAGGACAGGAGGAGCCCTTCCCTCCTCCTGGTAGTTCGCCTGCTTCTTCACAGCGGCTCCTCGCCCCACATGCGTTTTTTTCGGCTCACGTTCAAGTGCTTCGTTGACGGCTTCTGAATCATCCGCGGCAGGCGTCAGCGGCGCCCTTGCCAAAGAGCGACTCCGTCCGCGGTCAATTCGCACGAAAGGACGCAACGACGACAGTCGCCGGGTGGACGAGGAGGAGGAGGGAGGGAGGAGGAGGGAGGACACGAAACATCCCAGAGACTCGGACGCCAGACACACAACAGAAGCAGAAGGGACGGACGGCTGGTCGTCTGGCCCTGTCGAACGCTGCGTCGGCGCCCGAGCGCTAAAGTCGCAGCGCGAATTGTGACCGATCGAACGATGCGAAAATTAACCCTTTGGGCGGAGAACCCTTACGCTGAGAATGACGGTGACGGTGGCGTTGGTGGTGGCGAAGCCACGGATGTACGCGTGGTGCCTCTGCCGACACCGCCGCAGAAGCTGCCCGCGGTGGAGGGCGAAGCCAGCAGTAGCAGCAGCGGTGGTGGTGGTGGAGAATCAGGAGGGAGCAGGGCAGTGTCACCCGAGAGAGACACCTGGACACGCCAGCTGGACTTCACGATGTCATGCATCGGGTTCGCAGTGGGCCTGGGAAATGTGTGGCGATTTCCGTACCTGTGCTACAAGAACGGCGGAGGTGCGTGCGTGCGCGTGCGCATGTGTGTACATGTGCACGTGTGTGTGTGTATATCTGTGTGCACGTGTGCACGTGTGTGTGTGTATATCTGTGTGCACGTGTGCACGTGTCTTGACGTGGTGCCGGCCACTCACCCCGTCGTGTGCCAAGTCGAACCTTCGTAGGTGCTGCTCGCTAAACAGCAATTGCCCCGACAAGTCTCTTAGAGGCTATACGGGTGATCTTTGTCTGTGTGCGTGCACGTGTGTCTCCGTGTGTGTGTATATGTATCTTTGTCTGTGTGTGTGTGTATCTGTTTGTGGGGGTGGGCGGTAGTGTAGCGGTTAGCTTACTGCGCAACCCTCCCGAGTTCGATTTCCGCTCACGGCCAACACCAGTGACAATTATCTGAACCGGTCCTGGACCTCCGCTAGGTCGACTCAGCCTCAAATGAGTAACGTGGTGCGGTGCGTAAACATCGCCACTAGGGAGACAAAGGCGGCCGGGCGTGGTTGCTGGCCACCGAACCCCTCGTGTGCCGTGCCGGCAAACACAGGTGCTACTCGCTAACAGCACTTGCCCCCACAGTCGGTTAAGGCTATACGGGGGATCTTTGTCGGCAGTGCAGCGGTTAACGCGCTGCGGCATGAACCCGGCGACCAGAATTTCGATTCCCGCTCACGGCCAACACCGGTGACGATTATCTGAACCGGTCCTGGGCCTCCCCTAGGTCGACTCAGCCTCCAATGAGTACCCTGGTGCGGTGTGCAAACATCATCGCCAACTAGGGAGACAAAGGCGATCGGGCGCGGTGTTGGTCACCCACCCCCTCGTGCGCCGTGCCGGCCTACATAGGTGCTACTCGCTAACAGCATTTGCTCATACAGTCTGTTAAGGCCATACGGGGGGGGGTCTTTGTATTTGTGCAGTTATCAATCCGGCTCAATGACACCGTGACCTCCTGCCAGCGAGCCTTCGACAATGCAATTGATTGCCTCAAGGTGCACCTAGCCTGGCATAGCTTCTGTGGTGACGTCGCCGTCTCATCGTGGCCAATGGCTGCTTTTGATGTGACCTTCCCCCGCACATCCGATTGCCACGGTGGGCTCCGTACGGTGCGAAAGAAGTTACACATACATACGCTTGTCCGTGTGCACGTGTATGTGCTTCCCATCTCTCCGCATATTTTCGTATCTGTCTCAACGTGTCCGTCTCTGCTCGTATATATCTCCGTGTGTCTGTCTGTGTGTCTCAATTGTCGCTCTCCTTCCCTGTCAGAGTCTGCATCTTTGGATCTGTCTGTGTCTCTCTCCGTGTCTGTCTTTGGATGCCCCCGACCACCCCTCACCACTTACACATACTTGACAAAACATCGATCATTTACGTGATGACGCTCACGATATAGCTGATAACGCTAATAATATGTTATTGATGTGCTGTGACGGGGACCCTTCAAAATCCATTTTTATTCACGCCGCTGTCATTAATGATTGAATGCAAATGCCGGGCTTCAAAATCAGAATATTTATACTGGAGGAATGCGATGAGCTATAAAGCTCTTTTTCACACATGTCCAGTAGTTTGTCATCATCTGAATCGCTGCCCAGCGCGACAATGTAAAGCGAGGTTTAATTTATCATCCCTACGCCCCTCAAATCCTACGTCCTAATACAGGTGAGCGGGTTGGGGGTGCGATCTTAAACGAGATACCTGGTGAGGTGTGCAACCATCATCATTGGGGGAGACAGAGACGCCCGGGGTGATGCTGGCCACCCACCTCCTTGCGAGGCCAGCCGGCCTTCATAGGTGCTCGCTTGCAGCACTTGCCCCAAATGTCTGCTACAGGCGATACGGGGGATCGTCGTCATGTGTGGGACTTGAACCATCACTCCACAAAAACGTTGCACGCAGCTCAAGATTCCACACGAACGCCTGAGATGTTCAGCCAATCGGAATGGCTTCTACCTGCATTTTCGTCCGGCAGTGGATTGATCGTCGCTAAAATGATTATTGAAGGGGCCAGTCTCTCCGCGTTGCGTGTGTATGTACGTGGAACTTCTTTCGCACCGTACGTAGCCAACCGTGCCAATCACTGCCCCTGACCTCCCTCTCTCCCACAAGGTGGTACAGATTGCACGATTGACATTCGGAATTGACACTGCGCCATGCAAACAAACAAACTGTACACTCCGATAGACATATAGAGTACAGTTATTCGCATGGAGTGTGGGAGGACAACAGCAGTGGTTGTCCATCGGTCGAGGCTGCTTCCCGCAATTGTCCTCATCAGCGTGCTGGATGATGGCCTCCCACAGCCTTCGCCAACCCTCCAGAGGCTTTAACAACATTAAGAGCTAAGGGGGTGCGCCAATCAGTCAGGTGGGGGCCTCGAGGCGGTTGTCAAGTGGGCCCCCAACTCCTAGCTTTGATCACGAGGAGTTGGTGGTGGTGGTGGTGGGGGAGGGGCAAGGCATCCCTCCACCCTGCCCCCCACCCCACGCGAGTTACGCAACTGCAATCTCTGCACGTGAGCCCCGATGTGAGCGCTCCATCGCTGTGGTTTGCTAACCCTCTGACATTCTAGATTTGAAGCTTTCGTGACTGCAGGGATTCATACTCTTTGGGTTTGTTTCGGTAAAGTCACGTAGGTAAAATAAAAATAAAACAATTAAATCACGACGTTTCGGAGGCGACACAAGCTTCCGTCTTCAGGTGGACTGTTTTCAGGTGGACTGTTCCACCTGAAGACGGAAGCTTGTGTTGCCTCCGAAACGTCGTGATTGAATTGTTTTATTTTATTTTTATTTTACCTACGTGACTTTACCGAAAAAATCAACAAAGAGTATGAACCCTCTGACACATTCCCTCCTTTGGCTGCCACTTTAATACTCGCCTTGACCACCGCGGAAACAGTTGGGTGGTGTGCGAATGTAATGACCAGAGGTTGTCTATTCTTATGTAAGGGGCCGTCCATAAATGACGTCACGCACCTGGGGGGGGGGGGTCAGACATTCGTGACGATATGTGACGAGGGGGGGGGGGGGGGTTGAGAAATGTGACGTCACATAAAAATGCGCAATTATCAACAAATATAGACAAAACGTTCTACTTAATTAAATCGACTTTGTAATAAATGTTTTCTCCTACAACATCAGAGTGCAGCGCCACATTAAATACGCACTACAATGACAATAATTTAAAGCGATTTGAAGTATGTTTTATGTTTTTTTTGGGGGGGGGTAGAGCTTTATGACGTCATATTTGAGGGGGGGTCTGACTCTTTGTGACGCCGTGTGGCGATGGGGGGGGGGTCAAAAATCGTTCAAAATCGCGTGACGTCATTTATGGACGGCCCCTAAGCCTGGGGGGGAGGGGGTGGAGTTTAACGCTGTGGTTCGTTACATGACACACCAGAAGTACGTTAATGGTGGTGAAATGGTTGAAACACCTAGACAAATGGAAAAACTATATATATAATCTCCCGTGTGCAACTGCAGTCACCCATATTATCAGACCACGGAAGGAACGTGGACCCGATACCCGATTCGCAAATACAAAAGGAGTTATCACAGAGGCACACGCCGCTACTCCTGACGCAATTTCTCTGACCCAACCACTGAAATTTCAAATATCGTTACGTGTTGCTCTCCATCGACGTCAGCCACATGGAGAGGACCGGACTTGTAACCAAGAGGTCGTCGCTTTAATCACCTGCCGCAATATTCCTTGAATCGCCCCGCCTCGGTCCGCCCAGAAGTGTAAATGTGTGGCCCTGCGGGAGTTGTGCGGTAATCATGGCGTGTATGTCAAGTTAAGCTTGTGACCAAATCACTCAAAGTGCAAACCGCTCTCGTCACTTCTCGAGAAGCTGAACGTGGTGGAGCCTTACGCAGTCCTGGGACGTTCGACCGCCATGCGTAAGCAGGTTGTTAAGTAGACCGTGGGGCTAGGTGATGTGCGGCAGATGGCACTGCGTAAAATCCACGGTTGTACATTAGACGTCCATTTCCCGCATGTATGCATCCCACCTTCACCAACCCGCATGGTTTTAGTTGTTGGTTGGCGAGGCATCTAACAGAGACGGTCAACCGCATCGCGCGCGCGCTTTCAGATGCGCTTCTGCGGCCGTCTGGAATGCTCTTCCTTCCGATACGAAGACGCCACTGGAGCGATGCACTTTTCAATCATCTAGATTGAAAACTCGTTTGTTCATAATTGTTTCTTGCGTTTGTGTTTGCTATCCTTCCCCGGCACCTCCGATAAGAACGGTTGGCTACGTACGGTGTGGAAGAAGTTAAACATACGTGGTGAACTATGAGTGAGGCTGTGAATCGGTACAGAACATTTGTTACAAATATGCAGTACACGTAGTTTATGTTTTGCACATGGTTGGCTACGTATGGTGCAAAAGAAGTTCAACATGCATGCATGTTTGTGTAACTTGATGAACAATCCACAGAGTATATGTTTGTGTGCCCTGTGAGATTCATCCATAACGTCATAAGCAGGACAGGAGTAAAGCACGGCGCTTGAGGGGTTGCAGCCTGGAGCCCCGAATTTAGAGGGGCCACAATATAATACGCACATATACACGCACTACTTTATGATTGAATTGTAATAGCACTATAATAAATCCTGTTGTCATAGCATCACAGTGTGAATTTGCTACAAGTTATGGGCCGAAATTAAAAGTTGTGTTCGATTTACCATTTACCGAGCCTTGCAATTCGCATATTAAAAAAGATACCAGAACTGAAATAACCAAAGTAAATGACAATGGAGTATTTGATATTGGGTAGAGGTGGTGATTAAAACAGCCGAGGGATGGAATTTTAATTTATTACTCAATTGGACGGTTGCGAGCTCATATCCTGGTTGGGCTTTGATCATTCCTCCGGGATCGATAAAAAGGTTACCACTTTTAGGGGAAGTCAACAGCGGTTGAAATTTACTACTATAATGAGCCAAGAATGTCTGTGTGTCCCGCGGGTAAGACGTCACTCCACGTCGGCCAGCCCCCCTCATTAATAGTCATGAGTGGGTGACGTCACTCCACATGTAGCACCCCCCTTCTCATTTATAATCATGAGCAGGTGACGTCTTCCAAATGGACACCCCGCCATTAATAATAATTAGCGGGTGACGTCACTCCACATGGGGGGGCGAGGCGCCCCCCCCCCTCAGCGTCAACTCACAACCCTCACTACAAAGGCAGAAACCCTCAAGTCACGCGATCTCCATAACGCTATTGAGACATCAAAGTAAAAAGGACGTCACGATGAATAAGGGTTTATAACCTTCAAAAAATGAAATAGGTCTGTGTCACCGCGGCCTTACAAATCGCACACGAATGGGTGCAATGAATATCTCACGTCGCGGTCTGATTTTCGCTTGCAAGTTTCAGATTTACTGAAATACACCCGTCCTTGGACGGGTAAAAGGCTAGTATTGATATATTCACCCCCCTCATAGGAATATGGAATTTCCACCACTGACACATGGTTGTGAACACCCACCCATCCACCCCACCCACCCATCCACACTCACCCAGACCAACCCACGCTCACCCACCCACCCAGCTACACTCACCGACCCATCCACCCACCCCCAACCCCCACCCACCCACACTCACCCACCCACACCCACCTAAACATGAAAATGAGCAGGAAATAACTTTGACTTCGATGTGGATTTCATAGCTTTTTGGGCTGAGTGAATGAATTGAATATGCTTTGGGCCGATTGAGTGACTTTGTGTGATTGCGTTTGTGTCTGCAGGTGTCTTTCTCATTCCATACTTTCTCATCGCTGTCACGTGCGGAATTCCCATCTTTTTTATGGAGATCGCCCTGGGGCAGTTCATGAAACAAGGCAGCATTGGCATTTGGAAGATCGCGCCCCTGTTCCAAGGTTGTACTCTGCACAATGTTACACACGTGATCTTGATGGGTTTCACAATGTTACACACGTGACCTTGATGGGTTTCACAATGTTCCACACGTTACCTTGATGGGTTTCACAATGTTCCACACGTTACCTTGATGGGTTTCACAATGTTACACACGTTACCTTGATGGGTTTCACAATGTTACACACGTTACGTTGATGGATTTCACAATGTTACACACGCTACCTTGATGGGTTCCACAATGTTCCACACGTTACCTTGATGGGTTCCACAATGTTCCACACGTTACCTTGATGGGTTGCACAATGTTCCACACGTTTCCTTGATGGGTTTCACAATGTTACACACGTTACCTTGATGGGTTTCACAATGTTACACACGTTACGTTGATGGATTTCACAATGTTACACACGCTACCTTGATGGGTTCCACAATGTTCCACACGTTACCTTGATGGGTTCCACAATGTTCCACACGTTACCTTGACCTTGATGGGTTTCACAATGTTACACACGTTACCTTGATGGGTTTCACAATGTTACACACGTTACCTTGATGGGTTTTAGGCGGCGGTTTAAATGTAGCCGTAGGTGTCTGGTGTCTTTTTTTTCTCACTCCAGCAAAAATATTCCACGATACATTAAGTACGGGGGGTTTAGGCTACTCAAGCCTTATAGATAATTCATAATTTTTAGGCATGCTGAAGATGTGCCAAATTTGACAATTGATAATAATTCTAACGCTCATGATACATGCATATAATTGCGAGCGCATTTAAAAATCTATTATTTACAATGTTATGCTAATTATATACACAAACGATACGTTCAGACCTCAGAAGGTAGGCAGGGTGGAGTCTGGATAGTACTTTAATGAGTGGCCGCCATGCATCATATCGCTGCAAAAGTCTTCGTGGGCAGTAGAAGGCAATGCATATCACGGGACCTTTTGGCCAGTATCAAAAATATATTATTACCCTTTCTGGCAAGAATATATTATCAGAGCATGTTTGTTTGCATGTTCACCACAAGTACGTGTGGCTAATGCTAACTTGGTTCCTTGCAAAATGTATCTATTTGGTGTTTTTTTTATACATCTTAACACCTTCCGTTTTACTGCGATAAGTCCAGTACAGTAAAAGACATTGTTGAGTTTGATTCCCGGTCGTGGTAATCATCGGTGGCGCGGTGAAGCATGATCATACTTGCCCACGCTGTCCAGTGGGGGTTTACGAGAGGGGGAGGTCAGCTCCGGCTCCAGACCTCGCTCGTGAATGATTGTTAGCCGTGACCAGGGAATCGAACTCAGATCGCACGATTGAGGCCCGTATTCTTAGTCAGGGTGGCTCGGCTCACGATTGGCTGCGGCTCGAGTGAGCCGGCTCCACGCGCTTAAGTTGGGCCGGCTCTGAGCACGGTTCCCGGCAAGACTCAGGCTTCCACGAGCTGAGGCTGATCCTGGACGTTGCTGCCGCTGCTCACTCGCGCTGCCGTTGTCAGTTCGACAGAACGACACGAGCCTTACCTGAGCCTGAGTGTTGGAAGGCCAAAGCCAGAGAGCTGAGCCTTGACGGAGCATTATGGTTCTCAGAATGCAGTGCCTCGAAACCACTGCGCGTGATGGGTTCTTTGCATTGATTCATTATAAACATATGGTACGAAATTTGTCATTAAATATTGCAGAATTTACTGTGTGTGGTCACAGGAAACAACGCCATTCAAATTCACGCAAACTGGTTTGGTCGCAAGAGTAGTTAGAGACGTGCTAATAACACTGATGCGTGGAGGGCAGTAGGGCACTTTACACCATGCACGATGTGAAGGTAATTAGTGCCTTTTTGTGACAAGTCTATTTGCATTTTGTTTACAAATATTTATTTTACCGGATAAGGCCCACTGAGTTAGATAGCCCTTTTTCGGAAGCGACCTGGCCACAAATGATAGCCCAGTGGAGTGGCTTATCACGTGGCATTTTATAGCAGCCAAATCATCTAAACGCATGTTGATTCTAAATGTGGAGGGAAAGACCGGAGGACTCGGAGAAAAATTCACGCAACTATGGGGTGAACACGCAAACTCCAAATATACAGGTGTCAGGGTTGAGATATAATTTGTGGCCAAGTCGCTTGTGAAAAGGGCTATATACCTGGTAACTGGGGCCTTACCTGGTAAAACACATTTTTTTGTTTAGTTTATTTTATAAAATAGTTTAGTTTTACCACGGCGGACGTTCTCTCGGACGCATTCCATTCCGTTGGCTGCCATTCCATCACTTTTGTTGACCATCGGCCATCCTCCATTTTAGCGACCGTGTCCTACCCAAGCCCACGTACATTTTATTTTCGGTCATTTATCTGCTTATGTTCTCGAGTCCACGTCTCGCCAAGCTTGCGTCTTCACAGGCGTCTCACGTGTATGTATGTATATATGTATGTTGAAAATGTTAAGCGCCGTACGTAGCCCAACCGTGCTTATCGGACGTGCGTGGGAAGGACAACAAACTAAACAGAAAAAAGCATTTCTAAACAAATTAGTTCTCAATGTAGTTTAGAGATGTAGAGTATAGTAGTGTAGTGTATAGTGTAGTGTATAGTAGTGGAGTAAAACGTTGTGTAGTGTATAGTAGTTTAATAGTGTACGTATGTATGTTGAAAATGATTCGCACCGTACACAGCCAACGAGTGTTAATCGGAGGTGCGTGGGAAAGACAAAAAACGAAATTCACAAAGAGAAGTTCTAAAGAAACGAGTTTTCACCCTCGCTCCGCGTGTGCACCACATGCGTCCCAGGCCTCGGAGTATCCTCGATGGTGATGCTCTTCTTCAGCAACATCTACTACATTATGGTGCTCACCTGGGCAATGTACTACCTGCTCCACTGCTTCAGGGCCACCGTGCCCTGGTCCACCTGCGGCAACGAGTGGAACACCCCGGCATGCGCCGTTCACTTTCAGCACCAGCGCTGCTACAACTACTCGGACGACGCCAATGAGACCTCGCCTGCCCTGGCCACCACCGACGCCGCCACCAGCGTCAGGATTTTCATCAACAGCACGAACGGGACGGGCGGCTGCTGGGGAGCCGCGGAGACCACGTCTCCCATCGTGGAGTTCTGGGAGTGAGTTGAACGTTTCCCTGGCTGGTTTTCAACAATTTCCAGCTGCTGTTGGCCACCCGTCTCCCCCCCCCCCCCCCCCCCCCCTCGTCTTCTTTTTTCAGAATCCGAATCTTTGTTTAGACTGGAGGAGGAATCAGATGAGCTATGAAGCTCTTTCCCTCCCCAGAGATGTCCAGTATGGGCACGAGGTCAGCAAGTTACAACAGCGAACAAAACAAAAAAAACGATAGGAGTGCAAAATAGAGAAAGAGGTAAGCAGGTCACTAAATGTAAATAGATGAATAACTATTTATATAAGTCCGATTCATCAAGATTGGGCAAGGCACCAAAAACAACACCAGAGCAGTTCCAGACCACACCAGATAACACCACACAGCAGTAGTCCATCAATACAATGACACATGAACATCGAACTATCGATTCTACATGGGTAAGGATCAAAGTTTCAAATCACATTTGCAAATGTGACTGTGTCCGGCACAAATCTTCTGCTTCAGGATATATTTTTTTAAAGGAGGATTTACGATGTTAAGTGAGGAAACAAAGTTGTTACACAACGCCGTTGCTGCAACGCCAAAGGTTTTGGCACCTATTCCAATTCCTGTTCTATGGACATTTAAAAGGCAATTAGATGGACGCCTGAGGTTTCTTGGGTTTGACAATGGGCATAATGAATTAGCCAATTATAGTGCAGATTTGCCAATAAGGATTTCGTGGTTGAACAGAGCCCAATGTAGATTTTTGTTCTTGCATCAAGTGGTGTGAGATTTTATTTTAAGGAACGGAGGAGGAGACACGTTAACTCTCGCAAAGATGATCCAATTTGACGATATACAAAATAATAATTCAGCGTCATTGAAGGCAATGTTAATGACAAGATGAATGCCTCCTGCCCCGTATGTGTCCGTCCACGTGAAAACAAATGTCTCCCTCCAATCTCCACGCACCTATTACATATTGTAACACTCTGCTCTCCGTAACACGGAGCCATCGCATTCACAATATTCAATGCCCCTTATGAGAGGACAAAGGGTTTTTTTTTTAAATCGGCTAGGCATTGAACATTTACTTGATGGGCAGCAGAGGGAAATGCAGACAAGAACACTAATTGTTGTACTCTACCTCAATGCTCCCACATTTACACTGCTTACCTTCGACCCTCACTGGCCAGAGTGGTGAAGTATGGTCAAATAACCCCGCCCACCCACCCAGGTCCTGCACAGTGTGGGCAAGCCCTCATCCCAGCAGTGGACCGACAGAGGGCTTTACTTGTACTTTTGAAGTGAATATTGATTTTTTTTAGTTTGTTAACTTTAGCTTTGTTGCCCTTTCAGAAAAAAAGTCCTGAGAATTTCTGAGGGGCTCCACCAGCCGGGTTCGATCAACGTTCACCTCCTCTTGTGCCTCCTGGCTGTGTGGATCATCATATACTTCTGCGTCTGGAAAGGGGTCAAGTCAACGGGCAAGGTGAGCACGCATCCCATTGTACGTGCGTACGCATGTGTTAAACTTCTTTTGCACCGTACGTTGCCAACCGTGCTAATCGGAGGAGTGGGGGAAAGGACATCAAACTATGTGTGCGTGTTGAACTTCTTTCACACCGTAGCAGGATGGGCTCGGGAGGAGAGGTGGATTTAAGGGAGGAATGGAAGCAGGTTATTATTATTATTATTTTCGTACTTTGCTTCACTTCCAGGAAGAATAACGGTCACGTGAAAGTTCTTTGCCAGTGAAATCGGTCATTCGCGGCCAACAATGCTATACTATGGAGGGAGCACGTGAGCTTCTCAATTCCGTTTCTTGAAGGTTCCAGCACGTCGATTGAAACGTCGGACATCGTGCCAAAAACACACGGTGGCACAACCCAAGAATGCATCGGAGAGCTATGAGGGTTTAAAGTTTAAACCGGCACTTTTATTAATTTTTTTTATAGAACGTTAAAGCTGCTCTATATTTTCTAGTTATTTAAACAGCGCCAATATTTGTGTAAAATATCAACCCTGCAGCAGGGTTGATATTTGAAGATTGATCGCTTTTGATTTTTTTTAAGTTTTTCGCTTGGATTTCAAGTCGGTGACCCAATTAACGACAACAAAAAACAAAAATTCGCACACAGGTTTGCAAGCTCATTAATAACATTCTGAAGGGCGGTGACCAAAAATAGCCGTGTGGTGTCCAAGGACCCCCCGATGCACCAAGGTTCAGTGTGTGTATTCACACGGGAACACAAGATGCCGTCACGGTGAGCCCCGTCCAACATCCATGCTCATATTCGGCGACCCACACATGTTGGAAAGCGAATCTCAGTGCCGGATGAAGCTAGTGCGGGGCCTGTAACATATGTTATAAAGGGGCCCTAAATTTAAAATATAAACACATAAATATTAAAACTAGCCTAGTTATTGTATTTTGTATTTGCTATACAGCCAGATAATACGACAAATCGCTAACCTTAAACACCCAGTCGTTCATAAAAGTTGAAGGCGGTATAGTACTATAGTAATAGAGCTAGTGCATTTAGCGCAGGAACCTTGAAAGTGCGGGGCCTGTAGCTTATGGTACTTTTGCTACTAGGATAATCCGGAACTGACTTGCCTATATGCACACATATCTGTCAACCCTTACGGTTTACCCGTATGCTTGTACAGGGAACATGAGTTTGAAGGTCCATACGGCGTACAGCCGTTTCAATACGGCAATCTTTTTTTGTCCGTTTGTTTGTGTTTCTCCCTAGTGATGGTGACTTTGTAGGATGAACGTTGAGATTTATAAGGGCACGGGGTGACCAATAAGGTCTAAATTGGTCTGTAATAAGGTAGGTCATTTATAAGGGGTTTGACAGGTATGTGTACAGTTACGTACGTTAACGTGTTCTGACTTGCAAAGCGTTCGACTTACGAACGGGTCTCGGGAAGGAACTGCGTTCGTAGGTCGAGGACTGCCCGTATCGGGGAATTAGATGTTGCTGCAACTGTCAATAATTTGTGTAATTTTCCATACTGTGTGCGTGTTGGCGGTTGTTAGTACGCTATATACGTGATGTGTTTATACAGTTGTATAATCTTGGAGTTGCATGGTTAGCAGCAGAGGGCAGTGCAGCCAAACCCATAGTTGTACTGTACCGCTGTGCTGCTCCATCTATGCTCCCCGCCTTCACCATCCCGCACTGACCAGCGTGGTGAAGTATGACTAAACAACCTCCATGACTCACACGGCATCGGGACCCCTTGCTGCATGGGGATGTAGTATACTAATTAAGAGACACTAGTAGGAGGCACTCTCTCTTGTTCATTCCGACCTTCACACCCATAGGCGATAACTACATACCAGGTCAGGACAGCCAACGTGCTTCCAGACTGTCAGTCGGAGCTCGGCCACGCACCCTTCTGGATCCCCCAGAAGGCTCCGGGCCTCGCCCACGTGTCCCACTGATTAGACCGGGCTGCTCCCCTTAATCCCGTTCTACCAGTCCCCAGCGCTACGTGCTCCAGTGACTCATTTTATGCCACTACATGGACACGCCAAAATGTGGCTTGACTCCTTTGAATGACAAACAGTTAAATATTCCTATTTCTTCCGCTGATTTGTTTTACATATCCTGATTAACATATGCGTGCAGTGCATCGTCACTTCACACGACACAATGCAAAGAGCATTACAATTAAACGAAACACCCTGCGCTTTCTTGGTTGACCAGACCTGTGCTCCAATTGGAGTGGTGCAGTGTGGTTAGAGTGCTTGAGTCATTGAGGAAGGTTGTGAGTTCAAATCCCAGTTGGTGCTTGGCTCATCCGACTCCACAGAGTTAAGGCAGCGAGTTCCGTTTTGCGCACACCCAACAGTGGTTTTCTTATCGATAGACTTGCCCTCTCCGCCATAGGATTGTGGAAAGTTCTACCACTGGCTCAGCTTGGATGAATGAATCCCACCGGCATGCTCCTCGGTTGAGCTGGTAAACACGTTTGCTTGATTTTGACTTGAGGCCAATTTCCCAGCGTAGCAACAAATCCAATGGTGGCACCTCTAGTATAGAGGAGGCTCATCAATCAACCGCCATCCCTATGAGGAGTGTTGCCTGGTGGCTGTCTATGGTGTATGGCACTGGAGACCCGTCCTGTACAGCTGTACGGGTCTCCAAAGCCGAAGCCTCCATTACACGATTAGAGCACCGCGTGGCATTTTTTTTGTAACTCACGTGGCCGAGCGGTCAATCATATATCCCATGTAAACGCTCACGCACAAGTTTGTCAATGAGCGTGCAAAACTAATCTGGTATTCACTCCGCAGCGAGTGCGGTTTTCATGCGTAACAATGGAACTCTTCAATGGAATTTACCAAACATCCCATGAGCAGGACCCTCTTCAAAAAAAGGGGCTTAAGACTCAATACGGCTCTCTCTGAATCAACAACAGTAAATGCAGTCCCCATAATTACTACAGCAACGGTTTATCTATAGAGTACGAATGGGTAAACCACAGTTAGTCAATTGGCAGGTTGCGTGCGGTGGCTAAAGTTTGGGTAGTCTCATTTTTCCCAAGACAGTCCGGCTAGGATGGAAGAGTAGGCCAAAACACCCTCTAGAGCAGTGGTTCTTAACCTGGGGTGCACGTATCCCCTGGGGGGGGGGGGGGGGGGGGGGGGTGCGAGATGCCCTTTCTGGGGATGGGAGACATGACCAGGTGTTTTTTAGAAGGTGAATCATAGAAACACAAATGAAGCATTGGCTCGTAAGTACAACTACTTTGTTTCATCAACGCTATGTATTTATTAACATAACACATTGTTTTTTTACCATTGAGAATCCAAGGGGTGCAGGGCTGCAGTAAAGATTAAGGACCACTGCTCTAGAGTTTGGAGTGACTCTCAAAACGAGAGCACCATCTCAATTGGGGCTCTCCAGAGCCGCCTTTAGGTGGGGCCCTTCCACCACCCCCAAAGGCATAAAGAAGAAATTGCAAAGCTGCACCTTCACATTTTAATTTGTAATATAACCGCTGTTTTGTTGTTTTCAGAGAAGCATTGCTTACAAAAAAAGAGGATGCATTGCCAAATTGGAATGTTCCAATATGTGAGAATAAATAACGGGCGGGATGTTGGCCAGGTTAAATTAGTGACTTACCACGCTCGTTTTTTAAAATTATTATTATGAAATTGCCAATGAGAATTATCGAGGGCACGCAGCCGCGAGCACACGACTCGGCCGCAGAGAGAGTTGCGTACGCTGAGAGTTGCGTACGCTGAGAGTTGCGTACGCTGAGAGGGAGTTGCGTACGCTGAGAGTTGTGTACACTGAGAGAGAGAGTTGCGTACGCTGAGAGGGATTTGCGTACGCTGAGAGTTGCGTACGCTGAGAGAGAGAGTTGCGTACGCTGAGAGTTGCGTACACTGAGAGAGAGAGTTGCGTATGCTGAGAGAGAGTTGCGTACGCTGAGAGGGAGTTGCGTACGCTGAGAGTTGTGTACACTGAGAGAGAGAGTTGCGTACGCTGAGAGGGATTTGCGTACGCTGAGAGTTGCGTACGCTGAGAGAGAGAGTTGCGTACGCTGAGAGTTGCGTACACTGAGAGAGAGAGTTGCATACGCTGAGAGAGAGAGTTGCGTACGCTGAGAGTTGCGTACGCTGAGAGAGAGAGTTGCGTATGCTGAGAGAGAGTTGCGTACGCTGAGAGAGAGTTGCGTACGCTGAGAGAGAGTTGCGTACGCTGAGAGAGAGTTGCGTACGCTGAGAGAGAGTTGCGTACGCTGAGAGAGAGTTGCGTACGCTGAGAGTTGCGTACGCTGAGAGTTGCGTACGCTGAGAGAGAGTTGCGTACGCTGAGAGAGAGTTGCGTACGCTGAGAGTTGCGTACGCTGAGAGTTGCGTACGCTGAGAGTTGCGTACGCTGAGAGTTGCGTACGCTGAGAGTTGCGTACGCATGCCCCCGGAAATTCTGCAGTGCGAAAACCCTGTGAGCAGCATTCACAAAAGTTTCAAAGTCACCGGATGACGCACCCACCCACGCACGCACGCACGCTGGCACACAAACGGTGGACACAAAGCGATAAGTAATCCACTCACGTCCACCCGCGTCTTGCCAGCCCACTCGCTCACTCAATCCCCCTCCTCCTGTGCCACGTCCAACAACAGGCTCATTGCTTCCTCTACTCCAGGATACGTACTTGTATTTGTGTCTCGCACACTTGGACTCGCGATCCAGAGGTTGCAGGTTCAGGATCGATCTCTCGGCGTGGCACGTTTATGAAACCCCAACAACCGCCACCTCTGTCCACCCAGCAGCGATATTAATGGGTTCACCACATATTCTTAGCTCTTTCGGTAAAGTCACGTTGAAGGGAAACAATAAAATAATAAAATACATATAAAACAATAAAAATTCTCACGACGTTTCGACCATAACACAAACGGTCGTCATCAGGTGTGTCGGTTTGCATTTAATTTATTTTTAAACGGGTTATTTATTTATTTAA